TAATTCAGACCGACTATGTGACGATTTATCGCTCAACTGCTAAACCTATTGTAGGTTTATCTGAAACTATTAATATCTAAGGAAATATATGGCTTAGATGAAAATTGAAATGGTAGTTTTACCACGTAAAAGTTGTTAAACATGTTTCATTAAAGATCATAGGTAACAGTTATTCCGGTAAATATATTTTATTTTTGTAATACAACGTTAAATTTGTTTTTATTTCTGTGATCATACAATAATTTTAAATATTTAGTTTACAGTGTGTCCCGTGACACGTAGGTCTCTAGTTCTCTTTACTTAGTTCTATCCCGGGCAACACGCAGCCTCCGCCGTGGTTTGCAGATCGCCTAACCTGTGGACCTCTTTTCCCATCTCGGGACTGCCATTTAGTAGAGAATCTTGTCCATTTCTCACGACATGGCATGACACACATATATACCTTTTTCTTAATCGAAATGGACAGTATTAGTTTTGAAATATATCACCGCCATGTGTATGTCAATTTCTGTGTCTGTTTGATCTAAAGTTGTGGTTTTATTTAAATCTGATTTTATTGATGTTGAGTCACTGCTAGGAATACAATTTATTTCCATAGTAATTTTCTAATTTCCTTTGCTTAAAGTGGGCTATTCTATAGACAACCGTATACAATAAAGCAATTAGCCTTTAGTTGAGTTATTGCAAAGTGACCGGGACATTGTTGTCAATTAAAATTAATTTAGTTTTTAGTTGTATAGATAGCAAGTTCGTAAACCACTTTAAATTCATAATTTTTTTATCCATAATAAAGTACCATGTTATTTTTTACTTAGCCCCCTTCTAGTACGTATCCAGCCTAATATAATAATTTTACTAAGCCTACCTCATTGACACAGTTCCAACGTACAAAGAGTTTAAGGAATAAATAAAAAGAATTGGCTATGCTACCGTGACGCTTCGAGTTTTAAAGTAGAATTAGTTTTTACACCCTTATTTGGTGTAAATTTTTCTGATAATACATATATTTCTTTCCACTAACTCTAGAGTTTAAGGAATAAATAAGTAAATGCCTCAATTTGTCTAGGCTGCAGATCTTACGAGTGGTGCAGTTTCCAAACGAGCGCCTTGTTATGAAACATATTTTGATCCGATCTGTCAACACTTTTGAAGTGGATATAGATAGAATGGTTTATTCGATTTCTAAGCGATGGTCAATGGTATTCTATATTTATACGTACCGAACATTTAAATTTAACAAATTGTGAAGTTTTACTTAACTATACATAACGCATTTGGTTGTCATGGAAATTCTTCACTTATAATACACTAGAGTTTGTTACATCAAATAAATAAATTGCCTCAATTTATTTAGGTGCACGTGATGTTTAACCTGAGTGGTGCATTTGTTTCAAACGAGCCCTTGTTATCGTGAAATACCCGATAATTTTGAACTGCGTGTGGATTCCGGGGTTATCTGTCGACACATTTGGCCAAGTGGAACAGAGATGAAATGTAGGTTAACAAATTCGAATTTGATAATGAATAAAACAACTATTGATATTCTTTATTTGTATGAACTAGAAACATTTACATTTAAACAAATTGTCAGTTTAATACTATGACTAGGGTACCACGTTACGCATAGGTGCAATTATATTGGGATATTTGGGTCCGGAAAAAAATCGATAAACTCCTTCCTCCTTCGTGGCCTAATCGTTAACGATAACGCGTTTTCGGTCCTTGATTCGAATGTCGGCGAACATGGTTTCAGGGATAAGCAAAAAGATTATCTTTATAAATGGAAACGAAAAATTCCACGTCAAGTCATTCCATTACTCCACATTTTTGTCATGACTTCTAAAGTATATGTGGATGATATAATGTTTTTACTATACAGAGCAAATACTGCAGAACCGTTGTAAGTGAGATCGTTTCAGTCCCTCATAGGCGAGCTATGCGTTCTCGTTATGTTTGCCCTACAAAGACATGTGAGGCATTGGCTTTTCCTTGTTTGTAAAAATAGGACAATAAGTCTTTTGAAGTATGCTACATTATTTGCCCATTCGTAACTGTGAGATTCATCGGTTACCAGCGAAGGGTTTGTGGAACGACCCTTTTTATATAATGACTACTATTTTGTTACAAAAGCTTTTAGGCACTGAGTCTAGTCAAGTTCGCTTACGAAAAATTTGTAAATAGTACTACATTTCGGAACTTCGTAGAGCTAGGTACGTTTAAGATGAAAGGCATAAAACATATCAAAAACATTTTTTATTATATTTTTTGTTTCATTGTTTTTTAACACTTTCATGCCTGGTCAAAACTATTGTTTTGGTTTGGATGGCAGATAGGGGACCTACTTGTGAAAACTAAATTATCAATCGATTGCAATGACCTCAAGTCACATAAGAAGTCTCCATATGAGCCCGAAAATCTAACAATTGTACATACAATTTGATCCTCGTGATATTAGTGTTCTAACGTAGACCCAAAAGCAGCGGAGGCTCAAATAAAAATAAAATTTTGTGACCTAATTATTAAAATACACAATCGGCGCGTATAAATAATAAATTTAGTTGCTCGAAAAGCCTGTGGAACATTTTGTTTTCATGAGATATGTCAGTAGTGTATAACGTATATAAATTAAAATAAATGGTTGGATTTGCGTTAATGACGATTTTTGTGTATATTTGAGAATATGTTTGTACCCGAGACATAGACTTATAGACGAGAAACTAATATGAAGGCTTTTTGTTATTTCACGGAAGGAATTATAATGAACTTTGCTGTAGAGGGTTCTAAGAGATAGCAGCATATTGCAGCAGCTATATGTTAAAATCGAAATACGAAAATATTTTTTATCTGGCAATTTAGAATAGAAACATCAAAGTAATCTCATGCTGTTAGAAAATGTAACTTCATATAAATTCACAACCTATTTCCTCCCGATTCCCTTGCGATTGCCGCCTCTTCAAATCAATATTGGAAACGCTTTTAAATTTCAACGTTTGATTTGCCATATTCATTTCAGTTTTTTTAGTTGGACGAGTGCACATTGCTAGGCAAATATTACGCGAGCCTTTATGGATTTTTATTTATCAGTTAAAATGTGGTTGATTTCTGTACGTAAATAATTTTGGTCGATAATTCTGAGCAGTCCAGTGGCTTCAGCGTGCGTAGATCGTAGGTTCAAACCCCGGCTGTATACCAAGGGACTGTCTATGTGTGCGTTTGTGAAGTGTTTTATGAAGAAAATCATCCAGAGGAAACCGGCATGCCTTAGGCCTAAAAAACTTGAAGGCGTGTGTCAGGCACAGAAAGGTTTATCACTTACCTGTCTATTTGAAAAACAAATGAAGATATACATAAATCTGAGGCCCAGACTTAAAAGGTTGTACCGCCACGGTTTGATTAAGTCGACAAGTTATTGAAATGTTACATAACATATGGCGGTATATATATGAAGATGTATGTAATTACGTCAGATATATATATATATGAATTATTTTGATTCATATATACTTTATGCGTGTCTAAACTACTAGTTTATATTTACAAGTGTCTGTCATTAACTAATTGAATGTTCTGAACACTTTAGAAGCAGCTTTAGAAAATATGCGTTTGATAGTTAATTTTACGGCCTTTAAATTTTAAAAAAATAGCGGACCGGGACACCCATATTAGTGGATACGTTGCCGGCCTTTTAAGGAGGCTTTAGAAGGGTGTCCTTGAGCTGCAGTAGTCCTTTTTATGGTTGTTTCGTTGGCTAGTTTTCCCTCTTAGGCTATCCTCCAAGGCTTCTGTACCTTTGAACCTAAACTAAATATTACTTCCTCCGAAATTCAAACACACAATAAAGTATAGTAAACTAAACTACGAAGGTGGGTTAATTGATAAAAACTGTATGTATTAGCAATCTAAATGCAAAAGTTAAACCAATTCAAAGCTCCCTTAACGAGTTTGCAAACAATCAGAAATCAATAATTGCTTTGTCTAGTTAATCCATTAGCTAGTTTCCGTTTGATCAATGGACGCCAGATGGATAATAGCTATTATTCTTTTAATGCAATGTAAATATTTTACGGTTTTAGAATTGAACTGGGTATGTACTATATAATTTAACTTAAAAACAGTGTGCTGATGTCGTAGGTAGTATGGTAATGTACTTTTTGTCTATGTGCTCATCTGACAGTCGCTCGAATAGTGAAGAATAACGTGAGGACGCCGTCATGTATCAAATACAAAAACGTCATGTATCAAATACAAAAATCGACATGTGTCAGACAGAAGGCTGAGCATCAACTTGTCTATGAAATAAAAATGAGCAAAGCAACGGATGTAATCTGAGGCCAAGTCCCGTCATAGAGGGTTGTAAGGCCACTGTATTATTATTATTATTGGTAACTGTTTACTTTAGCTCAGGATCGATTCATGATCCTGGTACTCTGTTACACCCGGACCCAAGCCAAGTATTTTTTATCTTGTTGAAGTTTGCGGATTAATCTTGTTGGATTTAATAATACTGCTTTGTGAAAGATATAAATGGGTTTTAGGAGGTATAACAATTCGATAGATTCGTGTTATTGTTATGGGATTATTCCAAAATTATAATTATTATATACTACGCGCTTCGAGTTGAATATTACTGTTTACACTTTGTTTGGAAGCTTTATACTGCAACTGTCAATCTCTTGTTAAAAAATTGCTTAATAGAGATTTACTATGCTAATTCTAAGAATGCGCGAATTAATAAACAAATCAACTACAAGTTTTCATGACGTGAGCACATATGCCAAGCGCATAAGTGGCCGAGGGCAGGTACGTAGGGGAGATGGATAAAAATAACAGCCGTCTGATCCGATCAATCATTTATTGAACTATGAAAATCGTTTATATTTTTTTACTTATTGCAAGATTTTTATTTAAAGATGTACCTAATAAGAAAATACACCTGATTTAATCGCATATAATTAATACAATTTGCGGATTTTTTGTAAAATTATCCAAGCGTTAATGTGATGTTCGTTAAGTTTAAAACAATTGGGTCAGTATCCAGGAATCTAAAAATAGAACAGATCAAAGCGTGTGATGACAGTGTACCACTGTGGCCGACGCTAAATATTATGAGGGTAGGCTAAACAACACTCGAAGCAGGCTGTTTAAGTGTCCAGTAGGAGAGTTTATAGAAGAAAAATAAGATAAGCAAAAATAAATCATTTATAATGTGGCAAACAATATTTCGTACAAGGATTTTTACTAGAGTGACAGCATCAAATAGACAAAAAAACGTTACTAAAGCTACAATTCAATAAAAAACTAATAGGCCGTAGATAATGCAATAAAAAACTAATACATCCATATAAAATAGGTTACAACATTTTTACTTTAACAAGAACTAGTGGAAAAAATCTGCACGTTATCCTTAAGGCCCAGATTTTACGGTGCTAGTAAAATTTATTTGTTTTTACAGTGAAAAATGTCACGTTTTGGTTAGGTTAGATCTGTTTGCGTAACTGCACAATATTGATTACTCATTCTATAGGGGTAGAAAGTGGGTTAATTTTATTGCTAATTTAAAATACATCTAAACCCGACCTGTCGTTTAATATTTTACATTATCACCTGCAATACAATTATAATGTGATTTTAACGGTATAAAAATTAACGAATGTTATTGATACATATTAATGAATTGAAGCCGTGATTAAAAATGCCCAATTTAATATTTCCTACACGGTGTTAAAGCTTGCGGCTTAATGATATTAATGGCTGAATATATTAATTATATGTTTGATTGATGAATTTGGTTTGATTATAATTTAATATCGATGAAAATTGTAATTAAAACACAGTTTTTAAGTAATAATTAACGCTCATTAAGGCTTGTGTTAATTTAGAACCGTTACAGTTAAAATTAACAAAAATGGTAACTATTGGAAGTATTCGGTGATTATTTTTTAGTTTTCTTGTTGCTGATCGCCGATATGTAAAAGGCCGGTTTGCAAGTTGTCTTTAAAAATGTACATACGATTCTTCAATCGCAACTTAAAATATTTATTGGAATCTCCTTGGTACTTCTTTTCCAGTAATTATTATTTTAATATGTTTTTGTTTGGGCGTTGACGGTATACAGATTTTTTCGGATAGGTAATCTATTATTAGAGTGCGTCATAATAGTGAATCATTTTGATGTTCGTAATTTAAATATTACGATACGAGATTACACAATGTTTTTATGTATCTCGACAAATGTTTTGATAAAATATATTCCATATTTTATTTGTCTTTATGGGAACAGAAGCTCATGTTATTGTATGCCAATAACGTTAAGAAATTATCCTTTCTCCTTTGCCGCCGCACGTGGCTCATGGGAATTTCCTATTAGTCCTTCGACTGTCATAGATGCTTCATAAAATCGCCTCCTTTGCGCTAAAAAGGTATATCGTGTTATTTCTAAAATTTTCTTATTAATATTGTGCATAAAGTGTAATACACAAGTGATTTTCCTAAAAGAGGTATACTATGGCTCACTTGTCCAAACACATTTGCAATATGTTATACATTTTTAATAGTGCAAATAATGAGAGCGACGGGTTTTATCGCTTTCGAGCGATCTCTTCCAGGCATTCCATCACTTCACTTTTACATATAGTAAAAATATTCTCAATGACAACATTGCTTATTCGGTATATTCATAATACAAGTAACTAAATCAAAATTCTGATGCTAACACAGTCCTTGAAAAAAAAAACAGAGGAACGCGAGTACTAACAAATTATAACGGAGATTCAGTATAAGGCCCTTTCTCCACTGCTGGTGGCGTCAATACGGAATGAGTATGAGAAAAATATCGGAAAGCGGATTGGTTCTCCACTATATCGATCCGACAATAATCGATACTTGTATATTTATCATGCAACACTCATATTAACTAAAACCCATATACTTTATTTTATTAATAAAACGTTATAAATTCAGAATATTTTATTGCCCTGGCAACTTTTTTTTATATTGTCTATCTTAAAATATTATAATCTACTTAAAAAATAGTTCACTAATACTATGGTATAAAAATATAAATAAATAGCAACATAATTTGTTTGGTAGGTTATCTAGATTCTTTCAAATAAAAGAAACTATAAATAAACCTGTGAATAATAATTTATAACCTCTTGCATACTTGGATATACTTGACCGATAAAACACCGCGTTCCGATCTAAGTTATCGGATTAAAAACATATAGTGGAGAAGTATAAGTATGTGAGTTTATAGTTGAGTGGGGGTCATTGTTTAAACCTATAAACGGCGTTGTATTGAGTACTTGAACTTTAATCAACTGGTCTTATTCATACACACAATAAGCATGTCTATTAGCGTAGGCATGTTTTGTCACGTTTATTTATTTGCATAGTTACATCAGCAATAAGGACAAAACATTATATAGTTGTATCACGTGGGGGTAAAATGTTTTCTTTTAAATAAAAAATTTGTTTTTTCGGTGTAAACATTTATGTTTTTTGCTCATATATTATAACATAAGCTTGCCCTTCGTTTTACTCTGTATTATCGGGATCCTGGGTTGGATTCCCGGTCAAACATTATCGAAAATACTTGCCTATAATGAAAAAGTATCAGTGAAAGAGAAACACATGTAGTCTTCCAATTAGACGATCAATTAGATTCATTGTTGAGCCCTATTTATATTTAGTTGTAGCTATATCATTCGCGTTGAATACATGCGTATAAAAATATGGAACAACTTTTTACTATGTCTAGATTTCTAGTCATATAATAAATCCTGCAAAGTATCCTGCTATGGAATTCCTTACCAATAGATCATTTTTCTTCTGCCTCGTAATTAGCTAGTAACTTATACATATTAATTGTGACTCAATTAACGTTTGGATTAGCTTTAACATTTTTGTTTATACATATTATTATTTATATTTTTCTTTAGATCTTACTTTATTTAATTTTAGTTATAATTACATGTTTTTTGAGTTTTTTTTGTTAATTGCACTTACTTTTTAACTTTACCCTCTGTAGGTGTTTATTTTTTTATTGTTCCATATTATATTGGAAGAAATCGCTTGTTAGCATAAAGGCCAGGCCACCCGTTGCCTATAAACTTATGTAACCTGCTTTTTTTTTGTTTTTTTATGTATGATTTTGTATATTATGGTAACGAAGGTGTAAATAAATAAATAAATAATTCTAATGTTAAATAATGCATTAAAATCTGTTGCGGCAGAAAGCGACTTTCTTTATGTTTTGACAGTGACTTTATTAATACAAAATCATAACCTGCAATAACCCGAGACGCGAGGTTGAAGGGATCTTGTGGTGCTATAAATTACTCTTCATTACTGTTCACTGTGCCTTTTCAAGGGACATGTTAGTTTTCTATTCAAAGTTTTTTCTATTAAATGCTCGCGTTAGAAATGATGACCTTTGTTCTATTGTTTTATCTTTTAAATGCATCGCTGTTAAGAGGCTTTTTACAGTCTGTACTGTGATGTTAAATCATTGGCGCCTATGATTTTTTGCAATGTTGTGGGCTTGAAATATTGCTTATTTGTATAGTAATCGTTCGAGATTAATTTAAATTAAATTAAGAGTGATATTGAGACGATTTAGTGGAGGTCTGGTGAATTCAAATATTGCAACATTATCTACATGAATGATTTTGTTTGTGAGGATTTTTTTTACAAATCTCGTTAATTAACCTTAACAACATAACTAAGTGATTACGAAAATTATATTTTCATCAATATTCTCAAAAAATAATGTATTTAATTTTGTTACAGTCGAAAGCGCTAGGCAGAGTTTTGTTTGACCAAGTTTGTCGACAACTACATCTATTGGAAGCTGATTACTTCGGGCTGGAATATCAAGATGCTAATGGAAGCAAGGTATTATCTAGAAACTCTCTTAACTTAACGATGTTATTAAAAATTTGCCCTTGGTAAGTGCCAAATAACAATCACAACAGGCACTTCACTACTTCCTTTAAAATATTCTTTGCTATTTTTTATGATTCGACTGAACCTAGAAGCCTAATAGTTAAATTTCTAAATGTATTAAATTCAAAGATCGCTCGAGGACTAAATTTATTATTTTCTCTACAAAATTCCTAGCAATCACTTCGGCGTAGAAACACTAAGTTTCATAATGTTGATAACTTTTAAACTAGTAGCAAGAATTTTTTTTAAACAGACTTCATCTTCTGTTTTAGTATGTCAAGTAGATATTTATTTGTGCTAAATGCGGGTACTTCGCAATATTTTTATATTTATCTTATCCAACCTTTTTTGCGGTATATAGCTATTTTTAACCGGCTTAAAAAGTTATCAAATTAACTTGTGCGAGTGTGATATTGTAGGAGTTGTACAAAAGACTTTCGCACGTGTAAATACTTAAAACATACACCAACACACCCATACTCACGTTTGTCCACAAATTTCTCTGATACTAAGTCATATCAAGGTAAAATCAATCTGGCATTTCTGGATATGTACCACACATGTATTATATCGGCAAATAATGGTCATAGGGTTCTAAAATCGGTAAATTTTTTATAAATTGTTTTATTTATTATTCACACTTTAACGTAAATACTAGACCTACTAGAATTTAAAAAACTAATAACAATCTGAAGAAAAAAAATGGTGCTATGAACGTCCTTATCGCTATTAAGTGATCTCCTCCAAATTACGTTTATTTATAGGATTGGCTGGATGTGGAAAAGCCGATGTGTCGGCAATTGGGGTTGTCCATGCTGGAGCCGACGCTTCGTTTCTGCGTTAAGTTCTACACGCCGGACCCGGCAAGACTCGAAGAAGAATTCACGCGGTACCTCTTTTGTCTCCAAGTGAAAAGAGACCTGGCGCAAGGCAGCATACAGTGCAATGAGAATACTGCTGCGCTTATGGCTAGCTACATCGTGCAAGGTAACATAATTTATATACAAGTCTATTATGTCATGGTCATGTCAAAGTTTCCCGCGAAGTGTGCGCACAATGATTAGTCTCTAGATTGAAAGAATTTTGAGCATTTTTGCGAATGTTATATTACAGAAAATTATTAACGTTCTGGCGGGCCTTCTATCGAACGTTCTGGCGGACATTCTATAAACGGCTAGCAAAAGTCACTAAATTTGACGCGCGACGTCTAAAGCGTTCACTAGAAAGATCATGAGAATGTTGGTAGCTATGTTTGGCTATATGCTTGCTTCCGTTCCTTAGTTCGTCAATGTATAACGCCCAATGCTTGAAGTTCTGTTACAACTGATTGTAAATTCTATCAGCACGTCAAGGAATTTTACAACTTTACTTATATGTATCGTACAGACCCGCTTCGCACCTGTTATAGTTCCCGAGAATGCCGCATTCAGATATATTACACCCACTTATTTGTGTATTAGCCCAAAATAATAAATCCCGAGAATAGCCATTAAAATCTCAATAAAATAGCAATTAAAAGTAATTAGCAATGTTCAAATATGAGTCATTAGTACACAATTAGCTCGTTGTTGATAACAATTCCGATCTTCCGTTTGTGATACCCGGCATGTCATTATGCACTTATACACTAACAATGGCCTGTGTTCCGGCGACAATTGCTCTAGTTATAACTCTTAAATGTTTATTTGCGCCAGAAATAACATTCAATGTCAATGATGCGTTTTAACTATAACTTTAAACGCCTTATTCATAGCCAAGTTGCAGTCTTTGGTCTCCATTTCTCAAATTGTGTTTACGCTATGTACGGCTCATTGGTCTAGTGGTTAGTACCCCTGACTGCGAATCCATGGGTCCCGGGTTCGATTCCCGGCTGAGACAAACATCGATGTGATGAGCATTTGGTGTTGTGCTTAGGTCTTGGGTGTTTAAATATGTATTTATATGTCTATCTATCTATAATATGTATGTATATTCGTTGCCTAGTACCCATAACACCAGCTTCACCAGCTTAGCATGGGACTAGGTCAATTGGTGTGAATTGTCCAATCAAAAAAAATAAAAAAATATATATTTTATGTATAAGAGGGTTACATTTACCACACGTTATGTTCAGGCTGGATCCGTAAGTGCCACGTAGCATGGATTGTCGTATCTTGTTCATCTAGATAATAAACTTCTATTCTATCCCAGATAATATAAAATCGGCTCCTACAGCCAGCCCTGAACGGCTCTAATAAAATTTCACTTAGATCAGGTGGGATTAGGAGGTAAAACGTTTGTCCTGTTTATTAAAAAACTTATTAATAAGTATCACAAATGCTCAACATGGGCAATAGGCTGTTTAACGAGTGTATCGTTATATAGTTGTCTAGAAGTAGCAGAAAAGTGATCCTTTGTTTACCAGCATTTTTAGCTCTATATATAAAAAATCTATAGTATTATAAACCAAACCAAACCTATCTAATTAAAAATACGACTATAAAAGACAACATTATTTGTGAGTGTCATAGCATAGGCTATATTAACACGAAAAATGCTCTTTCGTGGTAGTCGGATTTCCAAAGTAAGTCGGCGAAAAATCTGTCCAATGAATGTCCCTTACATTGTCTAAACGATGAGAGATATATGATGAGTTCTAGAGAAATGGCGTGGAGCTTGATAATGCCTACAAAAAACCAGCATTAAATTTTATATTATACTAGTGGACCCCACAGACGTTGTCCTGCATGATATTTAAAGCGATTAGGATATTAAGCAAAGTATGAAAGTACCGACTGCAGTGCCATCTGCCGGGCTGTTTTGTGAATCTAAACCATTCCCAGATCCCCTTGAACACACACAAAAAATTTCATCAAAATCGGTCCAGTCGTTTAGGAGGAGTTCAGTCACATACACACGCACAGAAGAAATATATATATTAAGATAAAAAAAGTCCCCGTCGCGTCTTTCTATCTGTTTCGCCATAAACTTAAAAGCTTCTTAAACGTACTTAGAACGCAATTTATTGCGGTTTTTCACCAATGTCTAGAATAATTTGTGAGGAAGGATCTAACTTTTCAAGGTTAGCGTAGACGGTTGCCCGTGCGAAACTGAGGCGGGTAGCTGGTTCATTCCATATAAATTGTTTTGAATTTATATTTATAATTGATATATATTTCTGTACAGATGTGGGTTTTTCAATTTAAAATTCAATTCGACCAATATATGCGGGACTAACGAACTTAATGTTTGGTTTTCATCAGCCCGCATATGTTTGCCTACAGTGGTGTAGGGGAGGGGAACGCGGTGGAACGACGTTCCCTAACCTTTTTTTCAGAACCGGAACGCGTTTCAGTACTTTTTTCGTAGAATTTTTTTTAAATCGATTATGTTGCAAATTTATTGTTTATTAAACTTATATATCCTTGGAATTTTGGAATCCAATTTTCTACGTAAAAAACCTGGTTGCGTTCTCATCGATCCGCTGCTGCCGATTGCTGACCAGCAAACTAAAAGAGCAGGGGCAAATGATAAAAATGTGTGTGATCCTATATGGGAGATTTTTAGGACACCAAAAGTGTACTACACAATAATTATATCTTTCTGATTTTCATCTTTTATTAAATTTCTTTTTTTGTGTTCGTTAATATTTTGTATAGTAAGAATAAGAAAAAATTAAAACTTACATAGAAAAGAATAGTTTGGTGAAAATAGGACTTTTTTTTGCTCCCACTATGCGTTCCCATACTTCTTATTTTACCAATACATCACTGTTTACCAAATAGAAAAAACCCCCCCCCCCCCACACCGGGCGGGCCCGGCACCAACATCACATGTTTTACTAATGAATAAAAGTTATTTTACCAATACATCACTGTTTGACTATTCCACATTTGAAGCTCTCAAATGTCTCTTATATTACAGTGGGAACGATTGTCAGCTATAACCTCATCAAAAGGCACTCTGAATGTGACCTAGGCCTCTAGGGTTAAATATCTGATGAAGAATGTTCCGAATGCCTAGGCTCGGCCTTGGCGAGTTATGTTTTAATCACAAATACTTGAGTCGAACTGTTTAATCTTCAATCAAAGCGCAAAGGAATAATTATATTTCAAATAACTTCGTTAAATGTTGAGCAACATTAAAGTTTAATAGCTATTCGCTACAATAACTTAGGTTTGAACATTTTACGGTTTCTTATTTAGATATGTCGAATCGCGTTGGTTACAGTTATTGTGTGATACACTATTAGTACAGAGTGAACGACCTTCGATTGTTTAAAAAAAAGGCCGGCAACGCACCCACTAAAATAGGTGTTCATGGGCTCCGGTGACTGACCTTTGTGGCGGCTCGTAGGCTCGATTGCCTCTCCTATTCCTATAAAAAAATACGCTTATTTTCATATTACCTAATCTGATCCAGTTTTTTTAAAGATTGCTATAAATGCATAAAAATAGATAACAATCTTAAATTGATATTTTAACACTTACTAGTTTTGTCTTACTTGGTTAAACCATGGCCCTTGGACCATCTGAGAATTAGCCTATCCTAAAACGCTTTACATCGATATATGAGTAATAATTTATATCTTTATATAATTTACCTATGTAAACCATATGAACATACGTTGCTCTTAAAAGTCACCTGTTTTTTGAAGTTTGAATTTTTTGACCCAGATTTCTCCCTGATTGTCTAAAGCCAAGAACATGTACGGTGATTATCTTTTGATTGATGATGATAATTGTGCGACGTATAAACCTATGATTATATTGGTTTCACTCAATTTATAGCTCTAGAATGGATAGTTTATACTCAGTATAAAAACAGTATTTTCTCATTCATATTGTGGATATGTCAATTGTTAAAGCAATTGCAAAGTCACACATTGTTTGTTATTCGTCATGCTTATTTTCATTTATTTTATAACAGTTACGTAGGCGCCGAGTCAGCATGAAACATAAAATGTTAACATATATTTTGTTTATAAAAAAAATATTCTACAAATGCATGCGCAAAAGAGCAGTGTTGGCTAGTGGGTTAAGTGTGCGACTCTCATTTCGAAGGTCGTAGGTTCGATGAGCACCAATAATTTTTCCGTCTATGTGCGCATCTAACACACGCTCGTGGGGTGAAGGAAACATTTTGAGGAAACGGAATCCCTTAGACGTCGATCGCTTCGACGTCTACAGAGTGTGTCAGACACAGAAGGTTACTTGCCTTACACGAAACAAAAGAGAAATCTGAAGCCAGATCTAAAAGAATAAAACGCGTCTTATGGTGCACACATTCCTTTAATAGTTTTGATTGTAATTTGACATGTAGTAACAATTTTAGCGACTTTAGGAAAGCTAGCACACCAAAGTGCCGCAGCAAATATTATTACAGACAACATCACAACACAAAGTTGGAGAATAAAAGTTGGGCGAACCATTAAACCACTAACCAGACAAAATCTCTAAACATCGTAAAAACGTGTTTATTTTGAAGCTCACGCCTTTACATTCTGTCCGTTGCACTGTAATTAATGTAGAGTTTAGTATTCAAGTGGTTTTTACGAATTTCACTTATACTTTGTTTTTTCAATGACATTTAAGGGTCATTGTATTCCTATAAGTGGGCATTGCTTACCCAGTCTCTGAATATCAGAGACTCTGGCGTAGGTCGAGTCGTAAACCTGTGCTACTTTCGCGGGCAGAGATGCGCGAGTGCATTTACGAAACCTTAAACATTTACGACCTTACGAAACGATAGAACGAAAATAAAAAATATATTTAAAAGCACTAAAAAGCTTTAAGGAATTTAATATACTCCTATTTCCTTATAGAATTACGATCCTAATTGTGATCTGATTCTAATTATGATAGTATTGGATGGAGAAAATATTACATACTTAATTTATTATATTAATTTTTATATTTAAGAATCGCTATTCAAAACTTTATTAATTTTGATAGTAATTATATAATAAATGATTTAGGTACAATTAGCGTCTGGTGTTAATATATTTAGCCCCAACTTTAATTGGCAGTTCAGTGTATTTAATATGCATCTTTCAATTTCGGAAGCCAGAAAATAGATCCATAATTTATCGCAGCGCCCAGCTTGAATTAATTAAGTACGTAGCGGGCCTTGTTCGCCATTTCTCATTACCTTAGTTCTTGTAATATGAACTAACAGGCCGTCAGTCAGTGATCTTTGTTGTTTAAACCAATTATTGTGTATAAAAAAGATACATTTTTAGAAATACTAATCCTATATAAACTAAATGGTAAGAGATATTTAAGTGCAGTTCTTAAATCACTGATTCATCACAAACTAAACAAAACACCGAAAAAATCAGTTGATACAAATACAAATGAATACTTTATTTAAACAGTGTAATTACTGATTTAGTATTTATAATATGTATATGGTTACTTAAGATACAATTTCACTTTCAATCCTGAAATGAAAAGTTATGGTTATTTTACTTATAATACTAACTGTATATAATATATCTCGTTTAAAAATTTGAGTACATAGAAGAGCAATAACAATGAATCATACCTTTGTTAAAGTTATTGCTATTGTTTAGTCGCTGTTAAAATACGTTTTCCTTAAGTCGATATTCGGATTATTCTAAAACAAGAAAATACCATATTTCTATAAAGCAATACAACAAGTGTATGATTATTTATACTTTAATTTTTTTTAAATTGTCTCTTCACTGAGAACTCATTGAATATTACATCTTTTTTTACAATTGGTGGAAAATCAATTTAGGCACCCCGCGCCGGGGCAACATTTTAAAGTGACGGGATTGAGGGGGTCAGTTCGTGAGGTTCGACCCACTAAAACCCAACAATCTGCTCGCTATGGACGGGAGGCAGGGTAACAGATTCCCACAATCCGTGCCCCCGTCAAGAGCGTGTGCTGGCTCAATGACACTTGGACAGTCCAAGATAGCGTCTCAATAAAAAACACGAATAAAATGAATTCAGTGTTTATGTGCTTTGCGCCAGTGGCGCTACAATCTCTTTAGGTCTTGGCCTCAGATTTCTGAATCTGTTTCATGATCATTTTTAAATCTAATAGGCAAGTAGGTTATTAGCCTCCAGTGCCTGAGGGAGCGAGCAAGTCTAGTAAAACATTTCATGACCACCTAGTGACTCTTTAGTTACTATTATGTGGTGTAAGTAGAAAATAATATTAACTTTTTGGGTCTAAAACATGTCGGTTTCCTCACGATGTTTTCCTTCACCGTTCGAGCAAATGTTATATGCGCACATAGAAAGAAATTCCACTAGTGCACAGCCGTGCATCTAACTTACTACTTCAGGTATGAGAGGCGCACGCTGAAGCCACTAGGCCAACACTACTCAAGAAGAATGCATAACCAATAAAAAATAAATTTACTTATTACTATAGGCACTAAGAGTAAAAAGTCCCGTTAACCTATGTAAATCGAATCATATGTGTCCTCTTTACAAGGTTAGTCCTAAATGTGGGCACATGAAGTAACCGCGGACGATGTCGCCTTCTGAAGGCACATTGAAAATGACCTATTATGGTGGTTGAACTTCAAAGTTCTTATATGCAAGTTATGTTATTAGTGGAACTCGTTTCGAGAAACATTTGGAGTTTCTGGTTTATATATTTTAACTTAATGCTATTTTTTATTGCAGCGGAGTGTGGTGATTACGTTCCCGAAGATTATCCGGATCACACCTATCTTAGCGGTTATAAGTTTTTTACCGGACAAGACCCCGAGTCCGAAAGGAGAATATGCGAAAACCACAAGAAACATATGTAAGTTTTTGTGAATATTGGAAAATTTAATTTAAATTATGTTCCATTATTAAGCAGACATTTCCTTTAGGCGCTATAATTTTTGGTAAATTTATCTATATTTCTTAAAAATTTCTTTGAAAACATTACAATTATAATAAAAAAAGAAATACATAATACAATAAAAATAACTAGATTAATGAATACAAATATGCAATTTAAAAATTAAATATATTTATTATTTTCAAAAAAATTCTCAAAATTGGTCCAGCCGTTTAAGAGAAGTTTAATTTCAAACACACGCACAGAAGATATATAAATAAAGATATACATATTCGGAGTTACAAAATGTTGAGAGGCGAAAGCCGAAAGGCTTGAATAATGAATATGAAGCCTATCAAGATCTGTGATATAAGCCAGAATATACCATTGTTTAAATGTTAAACATCATAGACAAATAGTACATCACACTTGAAACTGTATCCGTTCTAAAATGTTAATATTACAAAATCAACAAAACCTTTTTTCAACGCTTTAATCGGAAATACATACTTAAAAGTTAAATATGTTATTACATTTTCCAAAACGTTATGTAAAACTCTTAATTGTAATCATTCACTTCGCTATTGTTCAATAATAATCGCTTTATCGCAAATTTACAGTGGCCAGAGTCCCGCTGAAGCCGACTTAAATTTACTAGAGACAGCCCGGAGATGTGAACTATACGGTGAGTGAACTATAGAACTGTGAACTGAATGATTTTGTATGCTGCCAACAAGGATGGAAATATTTTGAACTTATTTTGAAATTCGAATGACACTTAGAAGAACCAGTGGCGCAACAACCTTTTAAGGTCTGAGCCTTTCTGTATATGTTTTGTGATATTTTTCCCCTTTTCCTCCCCTCTTTTTTTTTTTTTGGGCTTTTTTTTTGTTTTGGGGTTTGAAATTGGGGGGGGGGGGGGGGGGGGGGGGGGGGGGGGGGGGGGGGGGGGGGGGGGGGGGGGGGGGGCCCCCCCCCCCCCCCCCCCCCCCCCCCCCCCCCCGCCCTTCTCGGGGGGGGGCGCCCCCCCCCCGCGCCCCCCGGGCCGCCGGGGGTTTTTCCCCCCCCCCCCCCCCCCCCCGCCCGGGGCCCCCCCGGGGGGGGGGCCGGGGTTTGGGGGGCAAGTGGGGTTGTTTTTTTTTGGGGGTTTTTTTTTTTAGGGGAGGGGGAAAAAGGGGGAAAAAAAAAAAAAGAGGGAGGGGGGGGGGGGGGGGGGGGGGGGGGGGGGGTGGGTTTTTTTTTGGGTTTGGAGGGGGGTCGGATTTTTTTTTTTTTTTTTTTTTTTTTTTTTTTCCGTTTTTTTTTGGTGGTGTTGTTTGGGGTGGGGGTTTTTGTTTTGGTGGGGGGGGGGGGGGGGGGGGGGGGGGGGGGGGGGGGGGGTTTTTTTTTGGGGGAGAATTAATTTTATTTTATAAAAAAAAAAAAATAATATTATAAAAAAAAAAAAAAAATTTTTTTTTTTTTTGTGGGGGGAAAAAAAAAAATTTTTTTTTCCTTAAAATTTTTTTTTTTTTTTTTAAAAAAAATGTTTTTTTCCCTCCCGCGGCCCCCCGGGGGGCCCCGTTGTTTTTCTAATAGCCATGTAGGCGATCAGCCTTCTGTGTCATATAGGTAGATGACATCGAATTTTGGGTTGGAGACATGTCGGTTTCCTCACGATGTTTGCCTCCACCACACGCACATAGACAGTAAATCCATTGTTGGACGGGGTTCGAACCTGCGATCTCAGATGAGACTCGTACGCTGAAGCCACTAGACTTCTGGAGCAGTTTCAAATAGGAAATACTTAGATATACTTAAATGTAGTTGTAAAACATCGTATAAAACAAATTTAAAAATTGTAGAAGATACGTTTTTATGAAACTAATTAATAAGGACTATAAAAAAAATGTGTTTAGCCTCTGTTACAGATATTTGTTAAAAAATAGTATTAATGTGAGAAAAGTTTAACAAAATAAGTTGTTTTATTAAAAGCAACTCAAATTAGATACGTACCTCGATTCTGAAAATAAATTTGTAGTACCATTCGACATAGTCCGCTTTGAAACTAAAATTAACCCTGCAAATTTATTACAAGCCAAGTACATAAGTTCTCTTTTATTTTCGTTATTAAAAGCAAATTTAAACCCGAGTGTTTCCCGCAGTAAATGATACTGGCATTAGCTAGTCTATATTTTTTTTGTAAATATTTCTTTCTGTTAAGCAACTGAGAGATGGTCTATCTCCAGACTATGAACTTGGATTAGTTTAAATGTAAGATCCGGTTTAATATATTTCGGTTCCCTCGAACACTAATTAATTTCCTAACTATTTGTATGTGTGAGATATACATACGCATACTACATATAAACGCTTAACGCTTAAGTACTGTCGTAAAATTCTCACTCTTTGTTTACGACGTCGATAAATTATTCACAATCTCAAATCCCCGGGGTTTGGAACTTAGTTAATACTAAGCGTGTGTTTGTAAACTGTGAATTTTTGTAATTAATTTGTTAGTTATCAGTATAACAATTTATATATTTTGTTTACCTCTTCTATAGGCTTTGGTTGCTGTAATCGTTAGGTAGATTTGGTAATTTTTATAATTCTGTGTAACGATTACGGTATTTTGACTACAACGTGTATGTTGTCTATTAATTACACATACTGTAAGAATTCTACATGCATTTGTTATCAAATAGTTTTTTATTTAGTTAATTTTGATCACGGGTTGACATAACATACTGTATATTGTAATAAACGCGCTTAAATCCGGTAAAGTTATTTTGATTTACGCGCTTACCTGTGACCTAGAAAGAAGGCTGAAATGCGCAAGGGCTACGTAAACGTCTTACGAGAATTATTATTAATGAGTTCTGTAAGCTCCCAATGAGGGCAGACACATTTCCGCGTCTTTATCGCATATATGTATATTTTGCGTAGTCTTCCAATCCGTTATATAATTATATAATTACTGGTTGCCCTTTATCAACTTCTGCGTTTATTATTGTCTCAATTTTATTAGTTTCCGGATATATATCTTTCATTTTACAAGGCTCAAAAGATTCAGCTTATCATATCAGTGAAAGCAGATATATTTTTTCTAATACTTGACTGATATGTTATGTATGATAAAAATTTCTTTATTCGTTAAAGTACGTTTAGTAAATTATTATTTTTAGATTTGGGGACGCTTTTATGTACAATATGGTCCAAGATCCCAGGGCCGCCAGACGTCACGTATTTTCTGACGGATGAAATGTGGACGATTGGGTAGTGTTAGTATGTACTATGATCGTATGCCTACCTGCTAGCTTGGTCAAACGGCCAATTTCCAAGTATCAGGTAATCAAGGTACACAAAAACATTACTTACTTCACGTAAATTCTCATGGCTGATTTTTATATATGTTTTCGAGTGTATAGTTAAAAATAAATTGTCAATACTCCCAGACACTTTCCGTCGGCCATATTGCTTAACAGACGCTTTAAGGGTCTCAAAATAATTAGTCAACTTCACGTAAATTCTGACGCTCCATTTTTATATATGTTCATCCGACAACTATTTTAAAAGCTTTGACAAGAAGACAGACCGATCCAAGGGGCCAATCATCCCCTAAACTAAATTTTAATATCTCTATGAGTGAGAGAGCATTATCTACGCGCATGAGACTGAGTGAGACCGACTGCGCTGTTAAAGCCATGAAAATTACTTGAACAGATATTTTATAATTTTTAGAACTTTTGTTGACAAGTAAATTATAGCAACAAAAATAAGAAAAAAATTGACACATAATAAATAATACTAAAGTTAGCCGACATTTTTTTTTTTTTCAATTTATTAATTAGAACTAAAAAATATTTTTTAAAAAATACCACTTATATTTAAATAGCAGCAATTTTTTTAATTAATTATTTATTGGAAATTTGGAAATAAAGTGGAAAAATATTAATTCTTCAATATTTCTTAACAGTGGCTTTTAATCTTCATTATCATCATCATCAAATATCAATCTTGAAATTGAATATCTAAATCGTGATCGTCATCATCAGCATTATCCTTATTTTCTTCCTCTGTAAAAAACAAGTTAAACAATGAAGGTCTGAAAAAACTAAAAAGATACAAATAATATGAGAAACGAAAATAATTTACCTGATTGTTCTTCCAGCGACTCACTGACAAAACCCGGTAATTGATCTCCATCGAACCGATGAAAATCATATTTACCATCTTGTAGTGTCCAGCCATTGTTTTCGGGGTTGAAAATATTTATCATCTTCATACTTGCATTGTTCCAAAGCTAGCCCGTCGAAACTGTTGCCAAAGCTCACTTTTACAAGGTGGTAAGTTACTGGCATCGAAGTTTCTTAAATTCTTTCGATTGAATTCTTCATTTATATCAGATACCATGTATGTAAATGATAAACAACTGTAGTCTGGCAGCATCTACATCAATTATTCCAGGAAAATTGTAAACATCACAGATAAATTTTTGTATTATGTTGAATACACGTTCTTCTTCATCTACATCACCAACAAAATCCAACGTACCAAAACGGTGAAATGCTTTGTTGGTACTCTTCATTTTTCTTCAAAATATTAAACGGCTTTTGCTTGCCCTTTTTGAATAATAATAATTTTTCAAGTAATTTTCATGGCTTTAACAGCGCAGTCGGTCTCACTCAGTCTCATGCGCGTAGATAATGCTCTCTCACTCATAGAGATATTAAAATTTAGTTTAGGGGATGATTGGCCCCTTGGATCGGTCTGTCTTCTTGTCAAAGCTTTTAAAATAGTTGTCGGATGAACATATATAAAAATGGAGCGTCAGAATTTACGTGAAGTTGACTAATTATTTTGAGACCCTTAAAGCGTCTGTTAAGCAATATGGCCGACGGAAAGTGTCTGGGAGTATTGACAATTTATTTTTAACTATACACTCGAAAACATATATAAAAATCAGCCATGAGAATTTACGTGAAGTAAGTAATGTTTTTGTGTACCTTGATTACCTGATACCTGGAAATTGGCCGTTTGACCAAGCTAGCAGGTAGGCATACGATCATAGTACATACTAACACTACCCAATCGTCCACATTTCATCCGTCAGAAAATACGTGACGTCTGGCGGCCCTGGGATCTTGCTCTAATATACATGTGCCAGGGTACCCTGTAGTGGTAGCCCTTCTGAAACAAACATAACAATATATTCACAATATTTATTATGATTATAACGAAATACGATATGCTGCAGTAATGTAATATGTTTTTCATACATTTTATTTATTTTAAGGTATTAAAATGCATGCGGCAAAGGATCATGAAGGTGTACCATTGAATATAGCAGTAGCGCACATGGGAATCGTAGTGTTCCAGCACTTTACGAAAATCAATACATTCAGCTGGGCCAAGATCAGGAAGATATCATTCAAACGGAAAAAGTTCCTCATCAAATTGCATCCTGAAGGATATGTAAGAAAATAAGTTTTTCTATATAACGATAGCTATATAGTGTAAGTACTGTAGATTGGTTTTATTTTCGCGAGATATTTTAAATGTAGCACACTACCAATCGTGTCCGTATTTAAAACTAAATTTTACCATTATTTAATTTGAATTTAAATTCACTCCGCTCTTCGACTCAAAAAGTGTCTTGGGGAGGGTTCAAGTATTACGTAACGAATTTTATTCTTCATTTTGTAACGAACCGTTACGATGCGGGGCGGGGATTGAATTACGCGTTATTGTTAATATTATTTTCGACTTTCCAGTACTTTACACCACATAATGGTAACTTTTAGCCATGAAGAGTCACTGGGTGGTCACGAAACGTTTTACTATAGGGTACAGAAAAACGTTACGGCGCGTTACACGGGGGGGGGACTTTCAGCTGCAGTAGGCCCTCCTTCACTCTGAATTGAATTTAAAAAGCTTATATTTCACGAGCTTTACTTACAGTTTAAAGTAATAATGAATCGATTAAATGTGTCTTTTAAATAATTGTTTTATGGTATAAAAAAAATATGTATATAATATTTCAGGGCCACTATCGCGACGTAGTTGAATTCTTCTTTAAGGGACGCAACGAGTGTAAGAATTTCTGGAAGAAGTGTGTGGAGAATCATGGCTTTTTCCGGTGTTCGAGTGTTCCGAAACTGCCCAGACATAAGACTAAAGTGCTGTCACGTGGGTCTTCCTTTAGGTAAGCATTTATGTTGCAAAATAATCAAAAATTGTCCATTAGTTTCTTTGTTTTTGTTGTTGTTTTTAAACATTATGATCATAAAATGTTTAAAAACAGTTAACAAACCAAAAAATCATTAAAATTAGACTATAGTTCCTTCTTTAAAACTAATTTAAAAATATCGACAATATTACGAAATTAGCTATAACGTACGCTATCATTTTTTAAATATATTTGTCCGTAAATTATATTATTGAGCGTGTGCTACATAATTCAACTATATATCTACAAAACTATCTAAAAAATAGATTTACATTCTTGTCTTTTATAGAAGTCTACCATTTTAATTGAAATAATTACTTAAATTCTTGCGAATCATGAGGTGATTATTACCGAGATATCAAATCCTAGACTCATCGTCTACTTGTACAAAGAATCACTAAACTAAAAATTGTTTTCGGTTCGTTGAGGGGGTTGTTCTCCTTAAATGTAAAATATATAGAAATGTCTGCCCAATTTTGAGGTAATGGAAATTCAAACAATATTTATCTTTGATCTTAATTTATAATACTGAATTGATATTTATCAACAGATATAGCGGTAAAACACAAAAGCAGATCGTGGAATTCGTTCGAGATAACTATGTGAAGCGGCAAACATTCCAAAGGTTCGTTATTCTCTTACAAGGCTGTCGGTACAACGGCATTAATTTCCAACACCCGTTGTATTAACAGCCTATCGCATGTTCCTATTTATATGGGCAGGTATTAGAGCTTTTTGTTAGCATTTGTTAGGACAATCGATAGATTTTATTATAAAAATACATTTATTTAAAAAAACTTCCCACTTAAAGAATCTTATCTGTCTCTTTTCATAACAATGGTCTATTAACTATCATTACTTGGTCAATTAATATGATTTATTTTTAATAAATAAGGAATATTTAATTTATTTACGCAATCTCTAAGATAAGTCTCTTCTCGAAGTCAAGCTGTGATATCAGTGTCAGAAAGCCACGAAAAACTCCCAATTGTTTCAATGTCTGAATATCCAAGTTTCTGAGACCCTATTAGGGTTTTAGCTAATTATTACTTGTTTTATTTTAATTGTATTTCATAAATATATTCGCGATAGATGATATAATGCAATCGTGTAGTGTGCACTTTGTAGTTAATGTACGTAATATGAAGCGGTAAGCATGGGTTAGGCACTAGCTTTTGGTTGATGTGGGGATTTGCATGGACACCGAAAGTTGGCTAATTCAACTTTCTACCTGACTATCAGTACCATACGCTAACTGTTTAGTTATCATATTATTTCAAGCATTCATGTATCAAAAAATCTGATACAATATGCGTCAAACCATTTATCGATCTTAATTGCACAGTAAATGTAGACAAATATTTACGTGTATAAAATTCCAATTAACTTGTTTTTTTTTAATATAAACATTTTCATTAACACATACTGGTGGTCAGGTAGTCCTTCGGTATAGTTAAGTGGTGATTAGCAATTACGAGCATGCGCTGTATACGTTGAGACTCGCTTCCAAAACTTACGACGTGCGACAATGACAATCGGTCGGAGGATGGTTCTATAGGGTTCTTGTTCTAATAATAATTGTCTCTGAATACAGCGCCACGCTCGTGTTAATCGTATCGTGACGCTTGGCATCAGCCTGCACATGTGTTGTGACGTTACCCCCTCCTTTTGTCTTTAGAATCGATGTTTTATTTCAAATTATGCACTTGCACCTTTTATTTTTAGTGCAGTTTCTATTAAGAATTCTATATCATGTTAATTAGTTCATTTTCAGTTTTAAAAACTAACTAGCGTTAAATTTAAGCTTATAGACAACTGTGCCACTTTGCGTAGTATTTTTTTTTGGAATTCCAAATATGAATGAGGGGGTAACGTGATGACCAGAAGCTAGTGCAAGTGACCATCCTCTCGCCGACTGTCGCAGGTCGGGATCGTTCCGCGCGTCGCGGTCGGCGGGCGGCTCTCGGGCTAACGTGTCGCACACGACGCCGCTCAACGCGAGCGTCTCGGCACATCCACTATTGCCGCTGCCACCCGGCTCGGATGGTACGTATTTATTTATTCAACAAACTCATGGCAGCAATTAAACATTTCATTTTCATATAAAATTATTAAAACAGCTTTGTGGTCGTAAATTCAGTGTTAAGTTTACAAGAGTAAAATAAAAAACGCGCTTTGTAACAATCAAGGAATCATTCAAAACTATATTAAGCATGGTTTTCTATTTCTTTAGGGAACTATGCTTAGTACAGCTAGTTTATAAAATGTCAGCGCTAGTCAACATTTTGGTTGAGAACTTAAAAGTACACATAAATGGTTATTTTAAAAAGCTCACGAAAGAGTGTCGTTTGACGCATGGTTGCTTACTTTGTAGTTACACAAATATACTTTGTACAGTATGCTATTTGTTTAATTAATACATTTTATTTTATAAGCATTAATAACGTTTATAAGTATCGGAATAACCTCAAATATGTCGTAAATGTTTTAAATTATTTTTAAATGGATTGGCAACAGAGTTTGAAAGCTACAAATCTGTTCTGTGAAACTAAAAAAATTGAAAGATTTACTGAAGTGTGACAGTTTTAACAGCGTGACCATTTCAATTCGAATTCAAATTTGTTGATCGCCAATTTAAAAGAAGTTGGTATCCGCGGCTTTCACTATCCTCCTGTACTAATAAGCCTCTGAATATTCCAGCGATTTCCCTGGAGTGGGACAAGCAACCTCACTACCTGGAAGCCTCGCTGATGATGCGAGGGTATTCCGTGGAAGCTGCACGCGAGGCGGCTCGTCCCCAATCCTGCACGGACACGGACACAGCCACGGACACGGCCACGGACATGGACACGCCCACGGCCACAGCCACCCGCACTCCCCGCACACCCCGCACCCCTCTCGCTCGCCCGCCGCCTCCAGCTACCGCCTTTGCTTCCACGAGGGACAAGGTCAGTTTATTATCACTTACGACTTGGTATTGAGTGATAAGTTTCTTATTTGTTTTTGCTCTATAGACCACTTCAGAGTTCCGATTTGTTTAAATTTAAAATTTAATGTGAATTAATTGAATTGGTCCAAGTATTGGCTACTATCAAAATATACTAATGAGGAGATAACAAAGAAAATAGGTTCTTAAGTTAGATTATATTTTATTACCCAGGTTTGCAATTGTTTTAAAATTGTTTAACATAGATTAATTTTGTATTACTATAAAAAGATGCATGGTTACCTAGATATTAACTGTTTTGTAAATTATATAGAGTGGCGGTTAGTAAAAGTAGGAAATCTTTAATACTAGCTTTAGAGTAGTTTACATAGAATTGTAGTGCATATAGTTTCTGTTTCTATTTCAGCTGACAAAACTGTACTGCAAGCAAATCGTAAGAGCATCAATCATTTGCTGTCCCACTTTTAACTTAGTTTTTCACAGTTTCATAACATCAATAATTCAAACTTATGTCAGATAAATTACACATTTCATTAATATTCATAATTAGTAATATAATCTTGCCATAGCAAAAGTTGAAACTCAATAACACTTTCAGTAATAAAAAATGCCATAAAAAGGGTGCGTGTACTTATGTACGCGCGTAAGAAGTTATACTTCTTTGACATTATTAAAAATAGTTTTTGATTGCATGCAAATAATTAATTACAATTAAATAATCAAAGACTGGAAAAGGTGTCATTATAGTCAATAAAGTTCAGTTTACATTTGAAAAATTAAATAAATAAATATTTATTATTATTCTCTTACATTAAGTGTAACATAAATTCTATTATTATTCGAATGTTGTTTTTAAATTATGTCCAATGCCGTAGCATCTTCCGTGGGCAATTGTTAATTTTGTGTCACGGCGCATCGTAAAATTTCACTCTCCTCTATTTTTCATAACGCGCCTAAAGAAGTATAACTTCAAAAAATGTTTAACATATGTAACATCTCTATGTTTTTTTTTAAATTAACTTCTAATGGTTTACATCTTTCAGCATTCATCTCTATTTCTTATTTAAAAACTTAGATCATGTATGTTGTTTAACTTATACATGTAGTGCTTGTGGTAGATTAATGCATCTTACTAATTTAATTGTGACAACGAGCTTTGTTTGAGAACGTATAAGGGATACGATTGAACCGTTTAACCACTTGGGTAAATCTTGATTGGGTCTTACTTAATAAAGAACGAGAATATGTTTTTCCTTCTGGAAATTAGCTATTTTGATACTAGATTATAATTCTGATTGTTGGTCGCGCTGGGGTTACAGGAGAGTCCCGAACTAGTGACCCATGCCGAGGTCAATCATCATCCTACGGAGGATTCACCTCTGCCTCATCGGACGATGACACCGTCGGTACGTTTAATTCGTTTTTTTAATGTTGGTGAAAGTAAATTGCAGACGTTAATTTTAGTCTGGTTTAGCCATTTGTACTAAGTAAAATTACAAAATATTCCAGGAATGCCAGGAGACGCCGTGGAAGGTTGGTCGCGAGGTCCGCGCGCGCGCTCCCACTCCGCCGCTTCGTGCCCGCCCCCCCGCAGGTCAGAATGCCGTCACCTCCCCCCCCTCTAGCCTCTACCCTGACTTCGTGCGCGCCAAGCATCGTTCCAGCTTCAGCGAGTCCTCCGAGCGACTTGAGTTCGAGCTGTCGCAGACCAACATCTACTCGGCGTGTCCGTCGGTTCGCTCGTCGCGATCGGGCGGGTCAGTGCCGCTGGATGAGGCAGACGAGTTCGGCACGCCCCCGAGAGCATTGGGGCGACGTAGCGCTTCGTGCCGCAACCTGCGCGACTTCAGCTTCGATGAGGCCGGCCGCTCCAAGCGCGACACTCGCAGCCTGGCTGCCGACCTCGACGCGTGTTCGCGCCGCATCGACTCTCCCGTCACTCGGTACGACGCTCGCGCCTTTGCGCTTTCCTTTCAAAATTCTATCGACTCTCGCGTCGGCTCCCTTTGTCGAGCTTACTCGTCCAGCTTTCCGGGCGCAATCAGCGATCCGCGTCTCGATTTGCCGGCGTTCCGAGCCGGCTCGCAAGACGACATATCGCACGACAGCTACGAAGTTATCGAGCGCTCGGACGACGAGGGCTCCGGTAGATACGCTCGTATCCGCCACAGCTCTATTGAGGGTAGGACTAGGTCGTGTTCGCTCGATTCGGGTAACGAGCTCTTGTCGGATGACGATCACTCGTTGTCGATAACCGAGGAACCCAATTTGACGGCGGCGGCATTAAAGTACAAAAGCGATAATGATTTGCCTATCGACCCGTTTCTCGCGGACGATCCGCGCGTTCTTCCGCGGGAAAAACTCTCGGTTCGTTCTGACGGTAACTTTTATAAAGAGATCAAACGGGTCCTCGGATCTCGAACGTCCAGTCAGGAATCTCGAAGCGATATTTACGATTCTAAAATGTCTAAAAGTAGTGCAGAATCTAGTAAGAAATCGCGTGACAGCGTTTATCACACTGACAGTAAAAAGTCACGCGAGACGATAAAGAGTAAAAGCTCTGACAGGTCGGGTTCGCGGACCTCCAGTCAAGATTCCAAATCCGATTATTATGATTGTAAAAAGAATTTGTACGATGCGGACGACGTAAGCCTAAGACGCCGTAGTATTGCTAGTATACAAGCTGCCTATATCGATCCCTTTGACCCTATTTCGCCTTCGTCGAGCCCAGATTCCGGTAAAGAGTTTTATGATGCTCAGTCAACATTTGTAGGTATGGAGAAACCCGAATATAGCGAGAGAACTCTCGTTGATAAGTCTCATGAAAACTTAATTGCAAGAATTGCTACATTACCCAACTATTACCATATTCCTACACCTTATTCGACATTCCCTAGTAATAACAAACACAAAGAGCATTCGCCTATGCATTCTGCAAGTCTACAACACGTTGAACTGGATCAGTATGGCAACTATTCTGATTTAAGCCCGCCCAAAAAAATTGATGACTTATCCACAGAAGAAGAGGATAATCATCCTAGAACTACTCATATTTGGCCCGATAAAATTGCAGGTTTAGACACAGAAATCGATAGTAATAGAACCGTAAAAATACAAAATTATCAGAGACGCCGATCGTCTGAAACTATTTTTAGTTTTGATAAAGATAAAATAGAATCATTAACACGATCAACGAGTAAAGAAAACCCACCGTGCCATCTCGTCAAAGAGTCGTCTAATGAGTCAGATGTGAATGTGAGGATATTACCGGCTATGGATAGTATCGAATATGCTAAAAGTCGAGCAAAGACTGCTTCGAAATCAGAGACTGCACCAATACTCCAATCAGAGTTTGATAAAACGATGCGGGGAAAGATCCATACACATATTATAAGAAAGGAAAATTTAAAAGAGGAGCTTATGGCTAAAACACACTTTGACGAATATCACCCTAAACTCATTTTAGACACTAGTTCTAGTAGTCGTCTCGCTGATAATGCTGCTCCATACATACATCCTACTGTTGAAAGAACAAAGAGTGATCCCAATAGCTTGGCCAATAGACCTCGATTCAGCAGTGTCAATTCACGAAGACATGTGTTGATGCACCAAAAATCCATTGATCTCACTCCAGCAGAGTCTAGCGACGAAGATTATATTTTTCGACAAATACCAAGTGCACCACCAATTGCCACAAAACGATCACATTTTGAACTACCAATAAGATATGCAGAACAAAGGCCATGTTTTGATTTGCCTAAAAACTACTTTAAGGAGTTTGATGCATTCAAAGCTGGATTTAATGACACAAAGAAAGTTGAAGACAGTTATGACATTCCATATGTTTTGCACAAGAGACATATTATGAATGGTACTGCACCATCACCTAATAAAGATAAAACGCAGCCGCCTGATATAATAACTTTACCGCCACAAAATGGTCGCCATATAATTAATGCCATTCCACGATGTAGATATCACGATCATCCAAAATCACCGCGTTCACCAAAGTCTCCTAAATCACCTAAATCGCCAAAGTCGCCGAAATCCCCCAAGTCACCCAAGTCACCGAAATCTCCGAAATCTCCAAAATCACCTAGAAACAGTATGCAAGCTGATCACGCTATGAAATTTCTCGATGTGGAGAATAGAGATTTCTTATTCACCCAAAATATTGACTTATCAAAGGTTGATCCCATAACATTAGAAGTGGATAAAAGTGGAAAAATGCAACACTTGCCTAGTCCAAAAAGGGATATTTCAAAATGTCTGGATTCTGCTTTGTTAGAAACATTAAATTCTAAACTAAGTCAAATTGAAAGTGACTCGGCCACTAGTTCTAAAACGGATAGCATGAGGCAGGATCAACAATATTTCCATGATATTAAGTTTGCCATAAATGGGCGGAATCTACCTCAAGCTCCAATATGTAAGGACCCTAAACCACTCTCAGCATCAGAAAAGTTACGAGCTGATATTAAATCTAAGTCTGACAAATTGCCTCCAAAAAGAGCTATTAAACTAAGAGGTAGTGGAAAAAAAGGTACTGGCGGAAGAATAAAAAACAAAAACAGTAATAAGATTAGAATTACATCTTTTTCATCGGATGATGAAAGTGTTGACTCTGATGACGTTTTTGGAATTACAGAAGCTGCGCCAAAACTTGAATTTTCACCACCTCAATCTCGTAAAGAACTAGAACCTATTTTACAATTAGAGTATGATAAGATAACATCGGGAGCTTGGCATAGAGGTCAGACCATGAGTTCCACAGAAATAGAGGGTTCTCCTCCTCAGTGTAGAAAGTTAGCGGAACTAGAGGCAATGTATAAACCTCATATTTTAGAAAATACATCTGGTAATGCAACAGAGTTGAGGCGTATCTCAGAACGATCTATATCGATTCCTAGTTCTGAAGACGACATAGTCTTAAAGGCGCCTGACATTAAACAGTTAAGTAAAGAAAGTTCTTCAACTTGGGAGTATAATGAAAACATTCCTTCGCCTATTTTAGAAAGTACTGAGTTTTTAAAATCTGACGATGAACATCTAGCCGATATGGAAATACAAAAAGTTACTGGAATGCCAACACCAACACCGTCAGAAGATAAAGGAGACAACACACAACCTATCAAAAAGGAAATCAATAAGCTGGATATAAAAAAAAGTCTTCGAGATGAATTAATATCTCCTATGCTGCGAAAAGGAGGTGGAACTCCTATTCTTTTCGCTCATGCCCGGTTAAACCTTTCAGAAGGTTCAGTATTTTCATTGCAGCGTCAAAAGGCTACGCAAGATTCCCCTACTGCAAGTAGGCGAGCGAAAAGTTTAGATACACCAGTTATTCAACTACATCGTTTACCTCCGATGAATGCATTTTCGTCAAAAGATGACACTATGGAGGATACAAATGAAGAGGGTGACATATTAGAAGAGAAACCTTTAATCGAAGATAAATTATCAAAAATTACCACAGTGGAAGAAGAGTCCATCGAAAAAATTGAGGAGGAAGACGAGGACCATAATTCTGATACCAAAACAGAATTAAAGTCTGTTGCAATTGATAACGAGGAAATGAAATTGTTAGAGGGATTAGTCGAGCAGAGACGTCCACGTTCATTTAAGCGACAACATGATTTAAATAAAATAAAGAACCAAGCCAAATCACCTTCGCGATCTCCAATTAACCCTTCACCGATATCTCGTTCGCCATTATCAAAATCACCCTCCAGATCACCTACTTCGTCATTAAACTCTCCTAGAGGAAGTATACGAAAACTGTCTGACTTAAGTGAAGATCAGATTGTACCTGATATAGAAAGGATTAAACGGAAAGATAAGAAAAAGTTTACCATCAAAGCTAAACCTGAAGAAAAGCAAAAGCTAACAAGCAAACTTAATAAATGTGGCTCTTTAGATACAAATGCTACTAGAGTAAAATCTTTGCAAACGCAAAAATCATTACCGTCATCGCTCAAAGAAAGACCAGATTTCCTGACTGTTCCACCATTAGACATGGTTCGTGCTAAAAGTCAAGAAATTGAGCAGACTATTAAAAAATCTACAAAAGAAAAATCTAAATCTCTTGAGAAAATGGAAGTTAAAAGGGGAGGTAGTAAAGAGCGCACGAAATCTCAGGAAGATAGTGATACTGAAATTGCTAAACGAAAGGAAAAGCAGCAAATGTTGTTTGAAGCTGCTTTAAAACAAACTAAAACCTTAATCAGTCCAGTAAAAGATACTTTACCTCCTTTCCCACCACCCGAAGATAAAATAGTCGTTAAAACAGAAGGGGATAAGATAATAATCGAAACCAAAATAAATAGTAAAGCAGAAGATCACGTCTTCATAGCAAAGTCGCCAAAAAAATTAGATAATAAAATAGGTGGAAAAATCAGTAGAAGCTTCGAAGATCAGAAAGCGGCAAGTTCCAACAGCAAAATTAACAAAAGCATGGATGATAAAAATAGTCAATCCTTAGAAGACAGATTCGATGAAATTGCAGCACTGACTAAGTCTCCAAAAACTTTGTCAAAGAAACAAGAAATAAAGCAGCAGATAGAAGGTAAGGTTGTATATCAAAAAGTTCATTCCAGTATTAAGTCTAAGAGCTTAGACAGAAAAGTGGAGAACCAGCTTGAAGCCAAAATAAAATCCAAAAGCTTGGATAGAAATTATGTTACTCCTTCAACAATAATGCAGAATGATGCTTATATATGCAATACAAATAAACATTTCAAACAGGAAGTTGTAACAGTTGACGTTCATCCAGTAGTAAAGGAAGAATCTGCTAAAGATGATACTAAAGATTTATCGCCCTCAAATAGTTACAAAGAAAAAACTGAAGATGACTCTTCTATTGAATGGATTACTAATTCTCAGTACACTGTTATTGAAAACGATACCCAACATGTCATTATGGAGAGAAGAAAAATTGAAATCTACAATAAACAACGCCAGCACGAACTCCGAGAAAGTAAAAGCGATAAGGATATTTATACCTTAGTTACGGAAAATAAACCTGAAATTACACGTCTGACTAGCGAAGAAGAGTCATTAACTGAAGTGAGTGAACTAAAAATGTCAGATGAAAGTAATATGTTAGGTTTATCGCTTCCTTATATTGATGCAGATAGTTCTTCGGATCAAGATCAAACAATAAAGGACAAGAAATCCAAACTGTACCGTGGCAGAAGTGATGATACGGGCTCGTGGATGACTGTTGACTATGACGATTACACTACTGAGACCGATGTGCCATTGTCAGACATAAGTAAGAAAGGCTTAGAACCTCAAAGTACTTTTGAGGAATCATCTGCGAGCTTGATTGAATTTTTAAAACATGAAACTATGTCCCAAATTCCAGATAATGACACAGAACGGTTGCTTCAATCAAAACTGCGGTCCGGTAGAGATGACTTATGTCTTAAATTCAAAAACAAAAATAAAATAATTGTTACTCCACCCCAGGAAAATAGTCCTACTGTTGAAAATATTCCGTTCATAGAGTCTAGTACATCGAAATATGTACAAAAATCGGAATCCGGTGAACAAACAGGTAGTTCTGGTAGCACAAATGATGTATCGCCTACTGAGCAGAAAAATGATCAAAGATCTTTATTAAGTGCTAAATCAAAACGAAGTGAATTGTTAAAGTTAAGCGCGGAACGATCCCGAAGTTCTGAGTCAACATCGTGGACTAGTATAGAAAAAGATTTGAGTCCATCCAGTTCAAATATTAAAGGTAGTTCAATTGATGATGAATCGAGTGTCAGTTGTTCGATAGCACGGCCGTTAGGTATATCTCAAGATATTGAAAAGTTAAATAAGAAAGACCGTGAGTGCTTAGAAGAACTTAAACAAGCTATGGAATATGGTGAAGAGCATTTGTTGTCTCAACATACATTTTCTAGCGAACATTCTAAGTCAAACTCTAAGTCGCCATCACCAATACCAGAATTGGGACGTATTGAAAGTCCTCGCAGTCCTTTAAAATTAGGAACTAGAAAGTCACCGACCCCCACCTTAGAGAAACAAGGACCGGTTGATTCTCAAAAAGGGCCTTCAGACTCTGAATCAAGTTCTGAGAGTTTAGATAAAACAGTTGAACAATTAACACGACCAAGTGTTAGAAAAAGTGCTTTGGATAAAATTGGTAAATGTGTAATTGAAGAATCCGAATCTAGTCAATCTGCTACATCCAAAGACTCTGAAATAAAAAAGGAATTAGAAAGAACTGTCAAGAAAACAAAAATTGCTATTACTATTTCCCAAGAAGATCAAAATACTACAATAGATTTTGATGACGATGGAAATGTTATAACATCATCCTTTGAGCGTGAATTAATGAGAAAGAGGGCATTAAAAGATACAGATCAAAAAAGTTCTTCCAAGTCTAGTATAGATACGACAACAACCCCATCTAAAGGATCCCTTAGTGTTGATGATTCATCGTCACGTCGTAAGTGTCGTCTTGACGAGCAAAAGAGTTCTTCTAAATCGAGTATGGATTCTAGGGGTTCACTTAGCGTTGAATCTAGAGGATCATTTGAAACAACTGAATCAACATCAGGTTCATTGGGAGAAGCTTATCGGCGAGGTGAAGAATTAAAACCAACATGGCGGCCGTTCTTCGGTGCTTCTGGAAGTGAAAATAGTACCAGTATTGAAGAAGCTTGGATTCCACAAGATCATGAAGGCTATGAAAGTCTGAATATTACCAAAGACGTTTTTGACTATGGAAATCAAAGAATGCTTGATGATTTCCAGTCATTTTCAAAGAATCCACCACTTTCAGCGAATACTTCAAAAGACTCTACAGATGCAGAGTTTACAGATGATCTTAATGATTTCCCTGTTAATTTTCTTTATCCAGCAACTTCTTCAACTGCTTCAGATGTCGTTATAGGTTATGGTCAGAATTTTGGACGGACTTTGTCTCGTATATCAGAACGTAGCACAGCATCTGAAAAAACCAGCGCTGATGAAGATTCTACAAAAGCATGTTCGAGATCAGAGAGTATTAATGAAGAATCGCTGAATTCAAGTGACCACCAAGCTAGTCTCAGTTCTGACCCTCCAAGTAATGCAAATGTTGCATATATATCTGATACTGATAGAAGAACTTCGGCAGAGATGCCAGATATTCCTATCGACCAGACAAAAATAAGTGAAATGTATTCAGAATCAAAGAAAGACCCCGATAAGAAGATTAGAAAGGGTGATGAGTCATACTTACAAGCAAAATCAGGCGATGGAAACGTAAAAGGAGCTTCAAGCCTCTTTCTGCCGTCTAAACAGTCATCAGCCAGTGAAAGTCAAGAGTCAGAAGATTGGCCTTTACCGGAATTACCACCTCAAGTTCCAAAAAGAAATGAGTCATCAGAAGTGTCTCGTCAAAAATCTAGCGATATGGATGAAGTACCTTCACTTCCCTCCAGTGAGGGAGTCTTAACAACTCCCATTGTTGATAAAGTACAGGTTTACTATATGAGTAATGAACCAGAACAAGCCACTAAAGTAACTATTCAGTCAGAGAGTTCGAAAACACATTTAGGTTCGGATGATGATAGTGACACTCTGAATAATGACGAAGAACTAGAACGGGATGTTCAAGAATCAAAGTCCGAAAAATCTCCCGAGCCAATATCTGATGATCCAAAAAAACCCCAAATTATTCCTTACGATAAATCTGGCTACATGGTTGAACCTCTTGACAAACAAGTTGAAGTGATATCTGTTAATAAAGGCACTATTCCTAGTTATGATAAATCCTGTTTAAGTTCAACTATAACGAAAGCTTCATGTTTTATGGGAGACGTAGGATCCTGTTGTACTACTGCAGATCCTAAATCGTTCAATAACAAAAGTAACATTGAAGATAAAGTTATTATTAACCAACCTCAAAAATCGCCAACTAACCATAGTCCGGTCTATGATGATGATCATGCTTACACTGATGATGTTTTTGGAGCTGATAGTAAAAGTCTATCACCAGATTTCGATAAAGGATTTTCGCAATTTAGTGGACACAAAGTATCTTGTGGATCGAACAATTCAGACACTTCAATAGATGATTTATTGTCACTAACTAATGCTGATGAAACAGTTCGTGCACTTGCTAAACTTAGTATTAGTGGTACAGGAACTTGTAAACGTTGTAGCCACAGCAGTCATTCTGAAGAGGAGACGAGTTCTTTTGGTACTGATTTGGATGGTACTGTTAAAATCGGGCTCCCTCAAAAGAAATGTACGCATAGCTCACATTCTGAAGACACTTCAATTTGTTTAAGCATTTCAGAATGGTCTACCGGCACAAACACTGTTCGGCAATATGCGAACCTCTCTGCGTCTGAGAGTATTTCAGCTGTATCGATACCGAAGAGTGAAAAATCGGACAATACTACTCCGAAATCTTTTCCATCTTCGCATGCTAGTAAAAAACTTGACCAACAGCCGAAAATTGGATCACAAACTGAAATCAGCTCTAAAAGTAGCAGCCTAGAAAAGAGTTCTGAGAATAATATCAAATATGATAAACTATGTAGTTCTGAAACTACGATTTCAAAAAAGTGCATGGATAGTTCGGGTACTAAAAGCGATAGTACATTAACTCTTGCTCAGTCTATATCGGATTGGTCAGCAAGTACAAGTCATACGCTTGTTGCTACCGCTATGGAAGATCAGCCTGGTCTAGAAACATCTGATTATATCAAACACGAATCTATAATTATTAAGGAACCCAGCATTGAGGAGGATTTTGAGTTCGAAATAGAAGAAGATGATAAGCAATCTCCAATAAAAGAAGGTGACGTGAATGTTGAGGAAATATCGCAGCTCTCTATGGACAGATTAGCAACTAGTTCCGCAAAACCTGAGAAATTTTCGTCTGTTAGTTATAGTGACAAATCTGACAAATCCAGCTCTAGCTCTTTAAGTAGCCTCCAAAAGCACACAAATGGAATATTTAAATTTGACCAAAGATTAAAAGGCTATCCCTCTTCTTATGACCTATCTCAAACGCGATTCCTTAAAGCTCCTCCCAAAAGCCTTAGCTATGAAGAACAAACGAATAGATTTATAAAGCCCACGCTTAGATGTCAAAGTGAAGATAGTGATTTTAAGCCGTATTATGGTCAGCAATCTGAAATTGACATAGATATGCCTTCGCAATTGTATAGCCAAGAAGACAAACATACTGAACGATATCAAAGTCAAGAGTTCTCGAATATAATTCGGGAAGAAACAAGTGGTCAATTCATCAGATCTGATTATAAACCTCTGTCTAAACATGCCAGTTACGACGATAAAACACTATCGAAAAATCAAATAAAGGAATACAAAACTTCTCAGCAATATCGTAGTAAACCTAAAAGTTGGTCTTTTCATGAACATTACCTTGGGACTGCAGATTTGCCAGTTATAGCAGTTCCAGAATTGCCACCCATACATAGAGACTTTCAAGAGAAGAAGTCTATTGAACGATCTGGAAAAACTCCATTGTCGAGATGTTCTCCTTACTATTCGAGTAGCCTTAGTTCAGAATCTCCACCAATTCAACCAATCAAAGCGCCAGTTAAAAAGTCTTTGCTTGTAAGAAATATTTCTTTAAAAAGTCCTCCGAGTGGGAATGATACCGATAGTTCTTTAGATGTTATTCGGGATCCACGCGAGCGAATGAAGACCTTTAGGCGAAAGAAGCAAGTTACTAGTACACGTAGGAGGCAGGAAAAAATACAAGATGTTTTGGAAGAAGATTCAACTAAAAGTCCATGTTCCTCTGAAAGTGATAAACTAAAAGGTTCATATTTAGTCGTTGAAGACACATTACGAAGGATGGAGAGCTCCGAGTGCTCAGACAGCTATGTCCCAGAAGTCGAATCTGGTTCCTCGGAGTTGTCAAAAGCGGATTCTCAAAATTATGACGTTCAAGAAGTAAGCTATTCCGAAGATGAAGATCAACATGAGTATACTATTTATAAAAATGTCTCGTATGATCAGCAAAACTTTCCTATACCGATCGCGCCAGTACAGTTTCAAGGTTTTGGTTCTTCTGCTGACGAAGATGAAATGGGTTTCCCAAGGTTCGATAGATTGGGACGACTACGTCATCCGTATCTCGATTCTCAAGAGCCACCGTTTGTACCTGAGGATAGTCCTCCCAGGGCTTCATACTCTAATAAGAGCAGCCGTCAATCCTCATTAAAAAGGGTAAAGTCAGCTGGTGGGTATCGATCTGAGGATAAATCGCTCGGTGAGTCTTCTGGCCAGCACCAGATGAGGTCTAAATATTATGAAGAGCAAAGTGACAGGGACGATTCTGATGATTACGCATATCCTGTAGATACTATTAAACGGGCTCCAAAGATGCCTAAATCTACTAGCTACTTATTGGAGCGCGGCGAATCTGTCGCTTACTCAGATTCGGACCTACCTCACGATAAAGATGAATTCGAGGCATATAGAGGCAGTCCCTACCCAGATCGGTATGAGGAGGACGACATGTTTCAAACGCAAGAATGCTATCCGCAATTTGAGCATGACAGTGAAGTTAGTCAACAGCGCTTTACTAGAGATCTTGACCAACGCTTTAGCTTGAACAACGTAGAACGGTTCTATTCCAGTCACTACGTGGACTCACAGGCTTCTAGCGACAGCCCCGAGCAAAAATTCGATGTATCTAATTTACCGCCTCCTCTTTGCTCGGACGATGAGCGCGATTAAACACGTCTTCAGACTCCCTATTGAGTGTAAATCCATTATTCGGTACTTCGGCCTTGTATAAACCTTTACTTTTAGTAATTCAATTCTACTTCACTTGTTATTAATATTTACCATTTACATTGTGACTTTGATATTTATTAAATATTAGCGTTAATCCCGAGTCAATCGATGCATGAACTAATTTACGGTACCTTGACCTAGCTTAATAATTTTAGTGGTAGGTGTATTTGAAGCGATCGTGGAATGAAAGTATTTTGGGAAAAACAGTATTATATTGTGCCAATTGATTTTTATACTTTTCCAGTAATATCGGTACGTACCTATGGCGTAAGACTAATATATAGTGCCAAATATTTCGCGAGTTATTCCGACTAGATATTATTTTAACCTAATACTTAGAGTTCGAGGCTGTGATTCAATTTGGTTAAGGCGCACAGATTCTGTTTCGTAATTATAGCGCTCAAATCATTTTGATAATTATGAAAACAGCACAATATCTACAGCAATACCCTTAATTATAATTTATATGATAGATGAACGATGTGCCAATGTGTGCTCAAATATTCGCTATATAACTGAACTTAAAACTATAAAAAATAAGTAATCTAAGTGGGCATGGTGGAAGTTTAATAATTGTATCGTCTCGTTACGTACCGTCAGTCATACAGCTGTTCTTATTTCGTTTGTTAGAACGATATGCAATGTCTGACGATAAAGAAACGTTTACCGTTAATCGTACAATCGAGGTTTTGGACTAACGTGAATTGTTTAATTCAATCTAAACTTACATTGGGCTCACTATAATCATCGAACTAAAAACTTATTATATTATTTCGATGTTATCAGAACGCGAGTTTATTGTACTAGTATACATTTATGTAGAGGTTATGGTTTAATCTAGTCATATTAAAAATGATTTCGTATAACGATTATATTATTTAGATATACTTTAACGATTTCTTTTTATAATGTGGTTTACACCACATTTATTGTGTATCTTTTTCAACTTTGACGTTTAATTAAGATCTCGTGATCGCGTTAAACATATGCGCGACTTGAATGAATATAGCACAAGCGCGTTATTTCATTGTTTGTATGGTGAAAAACAACCACAAATGAAGCGATTACGCAGTAAATTTGCGCTTCACCAGTCATTAAAATATAACGAAAGTAACATTAAGAAAGTTAATAGGTATAGTTTAAGAATTTTATTAGGAAATTCACGCTGCCCCTACACCTCCCATTTACTAATAAAGTATATAGGTAATATTAACAATTAGAGAAGTCGTAATGCATTATAAACAATTTAATCGTATAGTTGTAGCCGCTGTTAAACGCATTTGTTGAGACAATGTGTACCTACTTTGAAAGCCTAAAGTATTTTGCATCTTATTCTATACCTGATCATAACCTATACAAAAATATAAAAAAGTATTTGTCAATAAAATTAATTTTATTATACGAGTTAATGTAGCCTATGTGCTTGAATATCGAATACATTCGATTAAAAATTGCCAGTGTTTCTATAATATCGATAGCATCTCAATATTTTCATTCTTTGTTTCAAAAATCACTCTTCAAATTGAATCTGTTTTGTGCTATTGTTTATGGTAACTAGTAACATATGAAGTTAACACATTGTCTCCGACAAATGAGAACAGTGTTAGAATCAATCGATACAATTATCCTATAATAACATATGGAACTGATAACAAACGCTTTATAATAAGGGCGAGATTATTGTTTTTTGAATCGTATGTGATGTTTACAAATCCCTTCTGTATTTAAAAGACTACAGTTACCATAACGCCTTGTAGCAGTATTATTGATCTTCTCATTTGATTGGTAAAATATTTAACGTAAAAGTACTATAATAAATACTTGTTCTCGATTCAAATGTTTTCGAAACAGGTTATGCTAAATGCTCTATTACATTTACGATGTTATTTTAAACACATGGTAAAATATATTTGTTGCTATATGTACTAAGAATGTTCTATATCCTAATGCTTGTATTTTAAATAGAAGGAGAATGGGTACTGGTACGTTTGTGTCTGTTGTGTAGAAGTGTTGGCCAGCGTGTTCAGCGTGCGACTCTCATCACTGAGGTCGTAGGTTCGATCCCCGGCTGTGTACCAATGGACTTTTGTCTTTGTGCGTATTTAACACTCGCTCGTACGGTGAAGGAAAACATTGGAAACCGGCACGCCTTAGACCCATAAAGTCGACGGCGTGTGTCAAGCACAGAAGTTCCAGAAATGATCACGGAACAAATACAGAAATCTGAAATTCAGTCCTAAAAGGTTGTAGCGCCTCCGAGTAACACACATTTTGCGTCTTAAGTAGAACAAAGTATGAACGTTTATTCTTTATATATAAGGCCAAACAAATACTTTAACGTTGCACGACTTTGAAGTGCGAGAATGCAACGAATTCTAAAATAATACTGCTACAAAGTGTTTGCACGCTATGCCATGCCATGAATAATATATCCCTATAATCCTCAGGCTATTGTGTACCTTATAGACGTGAAATTTGTAGTTAGACGAAGGCAATTTAGGTTGGCATGGTGTGATGTATGCTATCGAGAACTAGTGGATGTACGTTTTCATGTAAGTTTTTTCTTTTAGATATATGTTTTTTCTGAGACGAGTTTTGGGTTATACAGTTTAAGTGAGAATTAAGTTATTATATACCAAGAACAAGCTGTCTCAACTGTATTATAATTTGTTTTCGTACTTTTTGCGTGGAAAAAACTTGATACTGATATATTATATGATTTTTTTTTCGTAAAGATGACGTTCTGTGGCCTAAAACTCGCCTCAGGTACAAATTGTTATGAATTAGAAATTGGAAATGTGATGTGGTTATAGTAGATAAAATTTTCTATTATTTAATAATGTTAATTCTTGTGATTTTTAAACTCGCGGTTAATAGTGGGCTTTTTGACTTGTTTCATAATTCATATAATTGAATAAATTGGCACTTTTTTATAAGTTTATTTTGCACAGAAGCGTATGTTGTGGCTCACATTGACCGTGTAGTGTTCAATTATAAGTCGTTAAGTGTCCGAAGCAATTTTTAGGATTAGAGCGCGCCGCACTACTGTCACATAACACATTGATTCATACATTACTTCGTGTTATAAAAGGGTATACTGTTAGACTTTAAGAGAATGTTGTTATGGAATGTGTGTAGAAAGTTTATTAACACAAAAATATTTAATTTGTTATAATATCTTTTCTTAATACACATTTCAACGCCATTATTTAATGCACTAATGTAAAGGTATTTTTTATAATAGTTTGTGTTTATGATTATTATATAAAAAGTAAAAGTATGCGGCGCGCGAGTTATGTCAGTGAAGATGGTAGCTAGTGCAATAACTTTCATCAATAAATCGAATAGTATTAAGTATTTCGACTTTTCGATGGAGATTGTACAATCCGTATAGACTGTAATGTTAATATTTTATTCATTAGTTTATCGTTTTTTTGAGGGATCGGTATGATATTGTATAGTTATATTTTTTTTTTGAATTTATATGTAAGTGTACGGTACCCCTGCAATACACTACCCTCAGGGTCGGGGATAGTTAAACAATAAATTAAAATTTAATGAATCGTCTTTTCAATTACACAATTACAATACCTCGACGTATGCCGCTGGGATGTTATGTAAGTCAATTGTACATTTCGTAGGTGTATTCTTTTGCATTATGTAATTACTATTTTCAGGTTTTTGTTATTTTATATTTTGTTTTTACAGGTTTAATGCATGATATAATTTTATGATTTTAATATATTTTTTCCTTACAGAGACCTATTTTTTTGCATGTCATAAATATTTAATTTAAAATACAAACTTTAAAGCATTAATAGGTAGTTCATATATTACAATAACTCATTTATTTTTCAAATTAATATATGACCTTCCTATGCATTGCAAACCATATACCTACGCCTAGTTTGATTATTACTTCAAGAAATTTTATATTTCGTTTGTACCTAATAATAAATACTAAAACTTTAGAATATTTTTTTTTATTAAATTTATAATTCATACCGCATGATTCCCGACTATTAAATAATCAATATTTTCATTTATATACAGACGAACTATCGCCCGAGGACCATACGATATCATCGGCCAGTCTTTGTATGTCACCAAGCGCGGATTTAATTCCCTCTGGACCGCCGTTACACGCGTCCACGCCGCTGGAGAGACGGACGTTAAATGGCTGCGTGGCTAGAGGGAGACAAAACAATAACAATGAGAATGACAGAGATAGCGATATTATTAACCACAGGGACGTTGTTGACGCAATCAATGGGAACGTACATGGTAAGTCTAAATTATTTTAATTCTCTAGTTTTAAGCAAATAATAAACAATCATACACATAAAAATAAAATCTTGATGTTAATGTTACTTAAGTTAACTAAGTGTTAAGTTAAATTAAGTGGAATAAGTGATACCTGTATCTTATGTTCATAATAAACATATTTTATTTTTATTATTTTAATATATAATATCAATTAATCTTTCACGAAGACTAAAATATTCACCATAATTCATAAAGGAATCATTTAATAAATTTGCACGTAATATCATGGTCCAAAAAGGGAAAATATCTTTAGCTACAATAAATCTTATTTCAGTCAACGTAGTTTCGGAGTCCACGAGTATGGACGTGTTGAGTGGAGGCGAGAGCGACGCGGGCGACACGCTGAGTAGGCGGAATAATAATAGGTAAGTTTTTATTTCTTTGTTTTGGTATACTTTCATTTTTTAAACAAAAAATCCTTAAACTAACCGTTTTCTTAACAGATTTTGAATTATAATTGTTCTTATGCAATGTTTTTTTTTATGGCTCTGGCACGGTTTGTGCATTAGCCAGCGACCAGCGTCAAGTATAAGATTTTTTATAATTCGTGCTTGCCTTAGAAATTCGACCGTGTCCTCCATGTACGGTTTAAGCACTCGCCCGGTACCGCACAACCCTCCCAAAGGCCGAGAACAAATTTAAATTAAATTAAAACTTGCCCTCGAACCGGGAATCGAACCCGGTACCCCTCATCTAGCTGCCACTTATTAAGACCGCTAGGCTATGAGGCCCTTATGCAATGTTTTACTGTCTTTTCCAGCTTATCGTCGCGTATGACGCTAGGTGATATGACTTGTAAGCGTAAGGCCGGTGACGTCACGTACTACGTCGCCAAGGAACTACTGATGACGGAACGCACCTACAAGCGGGACTTGGAACTTCTTACTGTTGTAAGTGCAGTTTGTTACTTGATTGATTACTTTTGGTTGCAGCTTGTAAATCTATTTTATGCATGTGAATCGAAATAAAAGTTCTGACGATCACGACGATAGTAGGAAATACCGGTATCTCAAAAACCGGTAGCGTATACACTATACGGGGGGGGGGGGGAAAAGGGGGGGGGGCCCCCCCCAAATACTATTTATTGATTTTACATAATATTTATTTCTTATTTGCATTTCAAATTTTATTTTATTTGAAACTTTATCGACATTCGCACGCAACCACAAAAAAATGCGTTCGTTCCGTGCGTATGTGTGCGTGCACGCAGGTACCAGTAAAAACTTCATGCGCCAGTGTGCTTTGTGACTTATTGTTTTATATCCTTTCTCTTAACTATTTATATATATATATTGTAATCGTAAACATTAAATTAATGACGGCTTTTTATTCTACCCCATTAACATTTCTGACACACGAAAGTAATACTTATACTACCTTCAGTAGGTACTCGAGTAGATAAAACGTTACAAACTTGTATATGCTTTACATGTAATATATTTTGATGGGCTTTAAGGCTTCTGCAATTTTAAGGATCCCGATAAACTTCATTTTCGGTAACCACTAAACCAAAAATCGTATATCCGTATCTCTTTGATATGTTCAGAAATACTTTTCAGACATGGTCAAAACGCGTTGGGTCTATTGGTCGCACGGCATCTTCGGGTGCTGAGGCAGCGGCGCTAGCGAAGGCCTGTCTAGCCCTGGAGCCTCTAGCTTTGCCCGCGGGTGCTTTACTGGCGAGACTTGATAGGGCTCTGGTCACCTCAAATAACAGGCATGGTAAGCTTTAATGATTTTTCTTTTTGTATCATGCCCCTTAACTAACACTGAAAGCAGGTTTGACATCAGGTCTCAAGTGTTCCAGAGAGCTTTTTCTCAATTGAGTAGAATATCCTCCAAGATGAATATATATTTGTTTTTAAATACAGTCTAAACTCTTTATAAGGAATTTCATGGGACGAGCGTTTTTATTCGTTATAGGGAGCGAAGAACTAAGGTATGGGTATTGGGTTAAACCAAATAAATTTGATAATAATAAAGTCATGTTTACCTTATAAAGCGCGTTTCGTTATAACTAATGACGTTATAAAGAGTTAACAATGTATATAAATAAAATATAAACATTTCTACCGATTTTTTCTATTCCGGTAGGATTTAATCTAAAAAAAAAATCTTGTTGTTTTCCAGAAGTCGAAGAACCGGAGTATAGAAAAATAGCAGATTTACTCTTTGACTACTTGTCTAATACCTATGATGTGAGTATCTTTTATACATTTTAAATAGTTTTAATTAAACTAATTATATTTTTTTATTTTACAATATGTTTCATATAAGCTTTTTGTCTTAGATAGAATTAATAACTAAATTATTTAAATTTCATTTTTGCATCATCATTGCTTTGGAAGATTTAATAAATTATTTAAGTTTATCAACAGCAAATTATATGCATCTTTATACAATTTCAATACATTAATTTGTGTATACGTAATAATAACGTACAATTCGTCAGGCGTACGCAGAGTATACGGAGCAAGCGGGCACTTTAGTGGCGTTAGTCGAAAGTGCTAGACGTCGCGGAGGGGCGGCGTCTCGTGAAGCAACCGCCTTCGACCTCTCATCACCGCTGCCACTTGCCTGTCTCCTGCTTCGCCCCTTGCACAGACTGCTGCATTATTGCACGTTGACACATGGTATGACATATATGGGTGTTGATAAATAAGTATTTTATGAATAAGTTATAACTAAAGTCCATATTCTAATTCGTATATCAAGTCACAATCTCCTCTTGAGCGCTGTCATATATGTCAAACTTCATAGAACAATGTTTTGACAGCCCTCGAAACTAGATTTAAGTTTGATTGACGTTCTAGAACGGACTTAAATCATTCCTACGTCGGATTCAATCAGTGTGAATGTTACTGATCTAATTGAGGAGTTTTATTTAAATTGCAGTTTTAAAAATACTTAATTGTAACATTAAAAAAAAGAGTGGGTGTACGTACACGCGTTAGAAGTTATACTTCTTTGGCGTATGAAAAAAAAATTACTAAAATGCAGTAGTGGTTAACGATAAATATTAAAATTAATCAAAAAGATTTTATTTAAATAAAAAAGGTTTTATTAACGTAAAAACACCAAAATAATATTTAACACTGTTTCATTGTTCTGTTACGAAACACGTGTTCTAAATATAAAAATACTAGAATATACAACTTGAACATAGTTATTATAGATTTTCATGCCACCTAGAGCTAACTTAACGATGTAGAATTTAGATGTCGGTGTGCGCGCGCATCGTAAAAATTCACTCTCATCATTTTTCTCCATCGCGCCAAAAGAAGTATAACTTCAAAAATGTACATAATATGTACATAATAGAAATATGTAAAGTCAAACATATTGTGTTTATAAATATAGATCATTGTTTTCTGTAAAACGTGTTCGATAATATTGTAATTTGTTCTGATGAAATTTGACAGAACTATGGTCAGCAACATGCGGACAGCAAGCCCTGTCTGCGCACGAGTTGGCGAGCAAAGCTGCGAGTCTTGCTCTCACCCAGCTGAGACACGTCGAAAACCACGCCACGCTTTGTCAGCTGCAGAGGGATATTGTTGGTAAGACTCCCTAACTCTTAACGATCTTATTCCAGAATTCAATATTGCCAGTACTGTTTCTTGGGATTTTATAATAGCCGAAAACATGACGTTAATACTATATACGGTGCAATTTGCATAAAAATAAATAATTTAATGTCTAAGACATCTCAAGCCACAATCTCTTCTTTAGCTTATTTATGTGTCGTTCTTTAGCATCCATATACATACATATATGTCGTTTGCGGTTGAACGGTTCAAAAGAACCAGATCTTGTAATCGAATGAGTCACTTCGTTGAAAATGATTCGTTTGCTCAATGAGGTCGCGGCTGAAGCGATCCGACGGAATGTGAGCTATGCGAGAAAAGATTAACGAAGTAACGAACGAACCAAGCGCGAGCCGACGATCAAATTAACGACAGAGACAATCGAATATGATTCTTAAATGTAGGTTCAGAGGAGGTGGAGCTGGAATCTATTTTATTCTTTTAGTTTGTTTCTACTTCAGTTTAATAAGCTATTTTATGTGATTAATTACGAAAGTTTATCTTTTTTAAAGTAAAAAATAACAGTATAAGTTTAGAGCTATTGATTTATTAAGTAAATTATTGAAAAAATTTATGTTTGTTTTGTTCGCTCTGAAGTATGAACCGAAGTTGTTTTACAATCCGGAGCCCTTCAGTTCGAAATATCATTTAGTTCGTTTGAAATTGTTCGTTAGAACGGGTCGAATGAACCAGATCTTTTTGTTAATGGCTCAGAATTGATTCAGATCTTTCAGATCGAGAGAACGACACATGCATACTTTAGCGCTGTCTAATATGTCAAATTTCATACAGAAATAGTTTGACGGCTCTTGAAACTAGATTAAAGTCTGAGTGACGTTGTAAAATGCGGTCCTTAGAATAACAGATAAGGAGTAACGAAAATTATAAATTCAACTTTTTAATTATGTACTAACACTTAATTTGTATTCGGTAAGGTAATATGTTATTTAATGATATAAAATTATTTATTTCTTCAAATTGGGCCTTTGGTACTGAAGTTATTTTTAATTATAGTTCAATACAATACCAATCCAAGATAAAAATACAATAAAATTTCGGCATATAGTGATATTTTTTTTACAGGATATGACAAGTTACTTGTAGCGGAGCGCGAGTTTGTTCGACTCGGATGCGTCTACAAGCATTCGTCGAAAGGTCTTCAACAACGGATGCTGTTTTTGGTGAGTACAATTATGGATACAAATGTTCAAGCAAAATTTATTAAAAAAAAAAAACGTCTTCACGCCTTTTGTTTCTAAAATTATACTTGTCTATATTGACCAAAAACTACTCGAAAGTATATTTTCACAAAAATACGGAATTTGATTGTTTGCTTAATCTATCTATATATTATATATAAGAAAAATGGTCTTCGTTTGAAGCTCCCTCACGCCTAAACCACTGATCGTATCGACATGAAACTACTGCCATTCGATGCGAATATTTTTTAAATTCCAACGTTCTTTCATTTTTTTATTCCTGTTTTACTTTTATGAAAATTTATACATACGGACTTCACCGCGGAAACATTCGGGGAGGCTTCCTAGAACCTCAAAACGTCAACATCTGTTAAAAACTCGATATTCGAAAATTTTCAAATTTCTTAGCGGGAAAAAGTTTCTTGTCGTTAAAAAGAAGAATAATAAAAATATGAAAAAAAAATTATAATGAAACATAAAATTTTATTTATTTCCTATTTTAATTCACCCAGCAAAGCGGGCGGGAAACGGCTAGTAACTTATGAGATAGATTCCGTCTTCTGCATACAAACGGTAGATTTTTGTTTAATGATACCCAATACCTGTTTCTTACTAGCAAGGTTATATCTTAACCTGTATCATAATTCTGAAAGCCTATTATGCAGTGCACTGAATATACAAATATTTAAACATGTTTTCAGTTCAGCGACTTACTTCTGATAGCATCAAAGTCTCCAAGCGGACACTTCCGTGCGCATAGTGTTCTTCCTCTGGACCGGCTGAGACTAGAACCTAGCGATCTCCCGCACTCCATCAACGTAGTTGGTAAGTCGGTTCAGACGAATTTCAATAGGGATTTCAACAATTGGGAGCTTATATCTATTTTTATTATTTGTCAAAGAATGATCATCATTCCCGGACAACGTCAGTAGCGGTTTAGTGGGCGTCGTGTGGGTAAAGTGCGAGCACAAATGACACGAATAATTATCGTACAATATTTAAGTTAAATTGATTTATTTTAAAAGTTCAGATAACACTTAAGCTTCAATTATAAGTAGCAGCGCTTTCAAGGCACCGATGTCACTTTTAATCATAATCTACTAGAACCAACTCGGAAAGGTCTCATCACCACAATCCTCACTGAATACTCGATAACTATCCTGCGTTCACGATATGATTGTGATCTCTGTCCAAATTAAAGATGGCGCCGACCCTACTCGAGGCATTTGCTCTGCTCCGATTGGTCGTAGCAATATTCGTTAAGTAATGATTCCAAACAAGGAAATTAAATAATAACTAAACAAATCGAATAAAAATAAATTATAATAATTAAAAGTAATAGAAGGAATCTCAACGATTCACCAAAGCAACAATAAAAACAGCAGCTTAAATAAATCGTGCAATATCCATTACAATCAAATAATACATTAATATGGAAACTGATGTACCCACTTAATAAAATTAATATTACCTATAGAATAAAGGAGCCATTTTGGATCGATAATTATATGCGACTTCCACACTATAAATTTAATTTATTTATCATCAATTGAAATATTTCAGACGAAGAGGCCACAGTTTTGATAAGTATGAGCAATGACGTGGAATACGCGGGTTGGTGGGAATCGCTTTCCGATAGTATTGAGGCTGCGCAGGATTTACGCACGCTCGTCGATACGCAGCTCACACATATTGATAATGACACAGGTATTTAGTAGGCTTGAATTTTATATTGATATATATGTAATATGTATCTACATGAAAGGTATATTTATACTTATAGATTTGTCAAACCTTGAAAGTTTGCTTGCTCAAAGCGTAATATCAACTCTGTGGGCTATATTTTAATAGCTTATTGTGGAGTGGACATTTCTGTAATCATTTCACTAATAATTAAAACAGAAAATCTAATCAAGAAAATGCTGTAATATTGTACAGAACACAATAGTCTACGAGTTATTACCATTTTATGAAGAGCTCATTGGTTTTTCTCAGACCATGGAACGCCAATGATAAACAAGATTGTATATAAATAAATTGGTATAACTTGAAAAATCATATGGTTACGAAAGGAAGAAATCACAGAATAAGCCTCCGATTTTTATGTAGAATTATAATATAATGCATATTATAGTATTCATTTATCCGTCACATTTATATTATTGTATTTAAAACGTAAATTATGATTAACCATTACGTATACGCACACAGAAAACACGGACGTAAATACGAACGTGTCAACGTCGAACGCGCTCAGTTACGTTTGCTGGCATCGAGCTACTTCGCTCACTAGGGATCATCTCCATCTCGCACTAAGAGTAAGTTGACAATTTATTACTATTTGTTGAAGGCGGTGGTAAATGCTTTGTCCCATATTTATAATCGTAAAAAGTTAATAATACGTGAATACTTAAAAACCCAAAACCAGTGGTGCCACAACCTTTTAGGTCTGGGCCTCAGATATCTGTATCTGTTTCGTGAGATCAGACCAGTCACAATCAAGTTCATGTGCCAGACTCACGCAGTCGAATTTTTGAGTCTAAACATTCCAGTCTCCTCAAAATGTTTTCCTCCACCGTACGAGCGAGTGTACAGATAATAGTTAATTGGTACACAGTCGGGACTCGAACCTACGACCTTAGGGATGCGAGTCGTACTCTGAAGCGACTTGAAGACATGTTGACATAAAAATTAGCAATGTCGTAATTTCTATATAGCAAAATTAAAACATTTTAATATGTTTTACATAATACTACAAAAACAAAGACTTGATTCCTCTTCAATACCATGCAAGTCCATATTTACAAGATTATTTAGATTTTATACAGAGCAGTCTTGGTCTAATGGCTTCAGCGTGCGACTCTCATCCCTGAGGTCGTAGGTTCGATCCCATTGTGCACCAATGGACTTTCTTTCCATGTGTGCATTTAACATTCGTTCGAACTGTGAAGGAAAACATCGGCTTGCCCTAGACCCAAAAAGTCGACGGCGTGTATTAGGCTGATCACCTACTTGTCTATTAGATTGAAAATTTCTGGAAACAGATTCAGAAATCTGAGGCCCAGACCCAAAAAGGTTGTAGCGCCATTGATTTATTTTATTTAGATTTTATGTAACATATTTTTATTTGTTCAGAGTCAGCTATCCGGATACTTACTACGTAAGTTCAAGAACTCGCACGGCTGGCAGAAGCTATGGGTTGTGTTCGCGCTCTATTCGCTCTTCTTCTACAAGAGCTGGCAGGACGAGACACCTCTCGCGTCCTTGCCGCTTTTAGGGTATGTACATACAGATTTTGTTATAATATTAGTTGAAAGAAAGATAGAAAAAAACCTTATTGGATTTATAGAAAATTTAAAAATAGGTAACACTGTTTTGACATAACTTTAACTGTCATTTTTGAAAGTGTCAAGAATCATCTATCGAATTTTATTTAGCATCGGTCTAATCCAGAGTTCCCCAAACTTTTTTGTATTGTAGACCCCTTGCCATGTTTTTCCGTGTTGGGTAGACCCCCTACTTACCTGATATTGATTTCCTGTAAATTTCTAACTATAGTGAAGTTTAGTGTTAAAAACTTAAAGTAAAAACATGTTAATTTATACATTCATTAATTGAATTTAAATTAAAACTACTCAAAATAAATTTTTGTATCTGTTATGTAAAATATACGTAGCATTAAATAAACATAAAATAACATAAGCAATAAGTCAATATAATGTTATATGTTTAGATATTATAAGATTGTATAATGTAAGTAAATAGGTACTATCAGTGTATGTGTTGAGATCCACTATCGTGGACCCCCGTTTTCATTTCATGGACCCCCAATTTTTTTTTTTCGCTGACGCAGACCCCTTGCAGGTTGTCATAGACCCCTAGGGGTCGACATAGACCACTTTGGGAATCACTGGTCTATTCGAATAAATGATTTTTTAGTTATTATTATTATAATAGGTACAGTGTAAGCGCCCCCTCGCCTACCGACGGAATTGAAAAGGACTTTGTGTTTAAACTGCAGTACAAGAGTCATGTGTACTTCTTCAGAGCGGATAGTCATTTCACCTACAATAGGTGAGTACTGAGTAGTGATTTTCAAGGAATTTTTAAATTTAAAAATAAATAGATGCTCAATTAATGCAAAAAATTACGACAAAACGTCAATGTAGAATGATAACCTCGGATGTCAAAAAAACATTAATTTTTTTTCTTAGGGTCTGTTTCACAATGTACGGATAAGTTCTACATAAGTTCCTAATTAGCTATTTATAACTTAGTGGTAGGATAAACACTGTTGTTGCGTTTCACGACTGTCAGATCGCTATCTGTCACATAAAGTACATGATAAGTTATGAGTCCGTCCGATTTATCTTCAAAATAATTTATGTGTTGCATAGCTATTTGGTACTTTATCCATACATTGTGAAACAGACAGACTCTTATGTCATTTAACGGGTATTAGCATGAAGTAAGGACTTAATTATGTTATTAATAAATAAGTAAAACTATGGACAAAAACACAATAATATTTTAACGAACATTGACGAAATGAAATTTTGTTTCGTTACCTGTAATGTTTGGTTCTCTGGACATACGAGGTTATCATTCTACAGCGACGAAAAGGTCTATTTTCAGACCTAAAAAATGACACTTACAAACTTTATTCTTATTATTTCTAGGTGGACGGAAGTGCTGCAAACTCCGATGATGCAATCTCGTCACAACTGTTAGATAATTCGTTTAAACAAATTCTAGAAACCAAACATTAAATTAAATGGGAACTTCTTGTCTTTAGTGCCATATATTGTATATTGATAAAAACAGATTAAAATTCTATTTAAAATCAAAAATATCTCGAAATGGCTGTTATATTTAAACGAAAGAAATTGACAAACAAGGTTTTGCTGGTATTTGAATATGATTGACGTTACTGAAAATAAATATATGTTCAAAAATATTTTTATAGGCGTTAAATAAAGTACAAAAATGAGACATTCCGCTTTTTTTAACATCGGCCTTACATTACCTAATTTCTCTATTCCAAACAGCTATTGTTAACAAGAGCCTAACAAATATATGAATAATAAAAAGACTTCCCGAAATATTCACTTGTCTTAGATATTGCTTTATGCTGTTTTATTTTTACCGTGTACACACCCTTCTGCGTGATGCCACTTTCCTTTAGAAATGGATTGTGACAGAGGAACTAAATTAGCCTTATTCCTTACCGTACTAGAAGCGTCTAATACTAACGGCCTATTACAAAACGTAAGTTAAAGTTCATAGTTACCATGGTTACATTCTTATTTTGATATAAAAATAATGGTAGCCATGGAAATATATACCGTACTAACCTGGGTAATATTTAGAAACGGAAATTCATCCGTACGTCAAAATTGTTTTTGACATATAGGAGTCATAGTTAGAAATATCTACTCTGTATCTCTATTTGTCTGAATCTTATCCTTATTTCATTTAATAGTAAGGCCGGATTTGCCTAAATCATTCAGGTTTAAAAGTATTTGAAGCTCGTTCGTTATTTATGAATAACACGCTTATCAAAACCAGGCAGAAATATTAATTTGTATGAATTTCGAACGTCAAGCCAAAAGTTTAGGATTTTGATGAACGTTTTGAACTAGATCCAGAGCTGATGTCTTCCGCTATTGGTGCGGCGGAGTACGTCTCAGCTATTTTCAAAATGATTTATTTATTGACATCTTACTAAAAGTATTAAAATTAATTTTTATCCAAATATAAAAATTTCCTATCTAGGAACGTAATATCTGTTTAATTTGCGGTTATGGTTTTAAAATCAAATGTATTTTTTTTGCAACTACAGACCATTTGAAAGTTAAATTAAGTATACTTAAATATATTATAATTTAAGTGAGACAAAGAAGAAATGTCCAAATTTTTAAGACATTAATTTATTTATGGTTGTATTTAATATACATCTCAAATAGATTTGTATAGTTATAGTTAAAAGCAATAAATTTTACACTTATTGAAATTCGTTTGTTTTACTTACCAAACACCATAATACGAGACCTGTCACGCAGGTTTTGTTTCGTAAGCTAATGAATTCTCTTGCACTGAATAATACGCGAGAGAAAGGAATGATAAGAACTTTCTCGAAGCCAGACTGATCACTCTAGAACACGTACGACAAGGACGAAGAGATGCTAGAGCACAAACGTTCTAGAATTGTACGCTAATGATAATCAACTACTCAGAACTGCTTCTGCCCAGAAAGTTCTAGAACCTGTACTGTTTTTGTAATTGCTGTTATTTTTGTACGAAATCAGTGTACTTTTAGTGAACTGTCGTACTGAAGTTTATGAAACTTGACAACTATAGAAAAGTTCAGTAAATTGCCAGCAACTCTGTGATTGACGTTTCTGCCCAGAAAGTTCTAGAACCTGTACTGTTTTTGTAATTGCTGTTATTTTTGTACGAAATCAGTGTACTTTTAGTATACTGTCGTACTGAAGTTTATGAAACTTGACAACTATAGAAAAGTTCAGTAAATTGCCAGCAACTCTGTGATTGACGTTTCTGCCCAGAAAGTTCTAGAACCTGTACTGTTTTTGTAATTGCTGTTATTTTTGCGCGAAATTAGTATACTTTTAGTGAGCTGTCGTACTGAAGTATATGAAACTTGACAACTATAGAAAAGTTCAGTAAATTGCCAGCAACTCTGTCATTGCCAGCGAAGGATTGCTGCGCTTTTATTACCGAGTCAATGGTACTTGATAGTAGTATGTTTAATTAGAAGGCTATGCTAGAAGACTAGCCTGGCTGAATATAAAAACAAAATGTACAGTTTCAAATGTATATTTCTGTTTTAGGTGGATAAATTTCGACAATTATTAATTAAATATTTGGCTTCATAGTTTAATTGTTAAAATCTAACATCAATACAAAAATCTATAAAACATTGACTACACATTACGTATATCAGATCTCATTAATATATACAGATAAGAGATCATTTTATTTGGTAAAATGGAATTGCAGATTTTAAAATAAGTACATAATAAAAAAATATAAATGACTAATTTTTTATACATTTAGTTAATAAAAATTAGTAAGTATTTCCTTAATGTCAGAACTATATATTGTTTGGTGGATGAGATATATTTGATATCCATTCTTACGTTCATGGTTTATAAAACTTAGTAAATCAAATGTCGTTTGGTCCCAAACACACAATATTTCAAGAACTCAATTACTCATTGCATACACTAACACTAACTTAATAAATAATACACAGTAAATACTTGACTATCTCTTCCTTTGGAAGACTTAGCGTTTGACATCCCCTTTAAATCTTATAAAACTAAATTAAATATAAACTTTGGCATTTCTACTTTTGCTAGATATCTTTGTCATGTATTTATCACTAATTAAAATCTAATGACACGAATGAATAATTAAATGGAAGCAACAAATGTTTTGTGCTTTCTAGTGTATTTGTGCGACTTTGAATATGTTAAAATATGATCATTTCAAAATAAAAATAATGGCACTGATCACCGGTCCTCTATCCAAAATATCACTAATTGCTACGTGCCGAAGTTTTTCTTAAATCAGCGACCCGTTGTAATTACGACTGGTTGAACATAGAATTCGGATGTAACAAATAACTATAGAATTAATATACAATTAACTTAAAGCAAGGCGCCTGCGCCCTTAACATTCAAATCATTCATTTATACACATAAATAAGCAGCTCGATACTTCTACATGAACTATTAACTCATATTAATATTTATCAATTATTCGTATTAAAAATCTCATAACATACCATGATTATTAAAGCAAATAGGTTTTTCATATTTTTATATAAACACAAAAGGAATTTAAAGATAAGTATAGTAGATCGTGCCAATATTGGCATACCTACGCACGTTTTCATACAAATATTTGACGCAGAGCTTTTACGTTAGTATTATGTCAAACTGATCGACACAGATTTTCTGAGCAAGGAACGATACACCTTAATCCTAAAACATCTAAGATATTCTCTTTAACGAATATAAACTCGAATTTAGTATCAACAAGACACACGGATCGTCCAGTAAGGTAATTATGCTTTCATATGTTAAAATTTTTAACCGACTTAAAAAAAGAAAGGTGGTTATCAATTTGACTTCTAAATTTTTTTATTAAACGTGTACGAACATCTACGAATAATAAATCCTACCTTTACATTCGAGTTGTGACTTCCCTCTCTTCGCTGACTTCTCTCCTCCTCTCCTTCCTGCTTCTAAAGAAGGAGCCAGTCGTCACGGAACGGAAGCGGAAGGAGCCCGGTGCCCCATTCGAAATGGAGTTTCCGGAACCTTCCTTATCTTCCACAATCTTCGAGGACCGAAGGCTAGGCCTGGTTTTGTAGGAGAAGCTGGCGGCTTTTAAACGAGCTCCGATACCGAGTTTGGTGGGGATGGCTTCGGGGGAGTCGTGGGGTACTGTGGGAGTGTGTGGGGCAGAGAGGCTGGCCAACACGGGAGGAGCCATGTGGGGTCTTCGAGAGACCATGCTGCTGGAGTGCGGCCGGATTCCCAACTCCACGTCAAGACCGTTGCTGAGTATTTAATATTCATAATTATAGACATGTCAACTCAAGAGCTGTGAGGGGTCAAAGATATTGTATTATCAATGGTTTTTCTACAATTTCCTATTTATTTATCTCACATTGTAGGATCTATAGCGAACCAAAAACTGAAATAACAGGGCGTATCTTAAACTGTATCAGTTTCAAATCTAATTTGCTGTAAACTTCAATATTGTTGACAGCGATAATAATTGATGAAATATTGTACTAACGTGGTGCTCTGTTCGTGTCGTGTGTGCGCGCGCCTTAAGTTGGTCGGGCGGCTTGACCGTGCCGTGCGTCGACGTAGAATGCTGTCATTGGTTGCTATAAATATTTTCATAATTATTTTTTATTTGAGATTATTGGTTTTAATAATGTAAAGCTTGGACAGTATTGCTTAAAGTAGTCAAATCCCAGTTTAGGAAAAAGTGGCGACCGAGATATGAGGATGATCACTTTTGGGTTTAAATAATATTTTAGTGGTTTTTAAATATACTCTGCAAATTTTATATCATTAAAGGCACAGACAGTCACAAAACAACTAAAGAGGAGTAGCCTTGTCTTGCATTTCCTTCAAGTGTGTTGACTCACTAGCGCATGGCAAAATTAGTGCATTTAGCGTTATAGTTCACCGAAAATAAGTTAGCTAGTGTCCGTAGATGCGCAGAAATCGTTTTTGAGTTACTAAAAGCACATGCGCAGACGTCCTCCTAACCAAGCAGTATCTGGCGAAACAGCGTGCCGAGTATACCATGACCTCTGATTCCAAAAAAATCCTAAACTATGTTCTAGATATAGATAAAACTCCGCGTTATTCACGTCTATGCTTCAAGCTTTTGGCTTAAAATTTATTCTTAACGTTATTATTAAAAGGCCGGCAACGCACTCGTAAGCCTTCTAGAATTGAGTGTCACTTAACATCAGAAAAGCCTGCCCGATTGCCCTCTGTTCTATAGAACAAAACACTCACTGGCCACATCCAAAGGGTGCGTATAGATCCTGCGCCTGGCCTGCAGCATGGTGTAGACAAGGGCCGCGAGGGAGCGGGGCGCGGGTGGGTGCGGGGGCGGACCCGCGCCCCTCCCGCGGCAACTGCTCACCCACCACGTTTCCATGTGTCCCTTGCCCTTCACCGCCACGGCCCCGCGGAGCTCCACTCCATACCCGCGACGCTCTAGCATCTACGGATAATGAAATTTGCTAATAATACAATTGAGTATATGGAGACGCTGAAAGGCTCTTCGCTGAATTTCTATACGGAAAGAAACATTGTGTGGACAATAAGGCAATCCTTCATTCGATCCTTACGAAGTTTGTGTTATAGATTTATTACTATTTATAGTAATAAGTATATACTTAATAATAGAGAGCACATATACTTGTTATATACTTTGATAAGAATTGTGATTATTTTCGATGTCAGTTGTAATGTATTAGAAGTTTAAATGAGAAAGCGTCATTTAGCGTAGAATGGTAAGTTCTTCTATTTTTGTACCAAATTATTCCAAGGCACCAATAAAATAATTGTCACCATGTTAACAAATGCTTTAGAGAAAATTTCTCTCTCAACTTTAAATTAAATAATCACAAAACAAAACATTTATAAAGAAATGATCACATAACAAGCCCCGTGCTTAAAATCAAGTCATCTTAAAAAAAATAATTTAGAAAAACAATACTCACTTGTTTAGTGTATTTGGTGACTTGTATGCGATCCATGGCTCCAGTGGACTCCATACGCGAGGCTTCGTTCACCGTGTTCCCCCATATGTCATACACGGGCTTGCGAGCACCAATCACTCCGCCCACTAATGGCCCGCAACTGATACCTTTACATTGAAAAATTTTTAGTAGTGAAAAAAATAAAAACATGCCCCATTGAGGGGTCGTACTTTAAATAAATCCAAAATTATTATGCGGATTCAGGAAGGCAGTTTCAAAACTATAATTTTATATCATAATCTATATGTACTAATATTATAAAGCGGTAAAGATGGTAGAGACGAATCTTTCGATGTACTTGAAAATATTTTTTTTTTTACCAATAGAACGTCCCGTATATGTGTCAAAGGTATAGCCTTCGGAAAAATTAAAATACTGTTTCGTGGTAGTTGTTTTTGAAAAGTAAGTAAGTCGAACGAAAACGTTCTTACGAACGCTGCGTTAACGATAAGAGGTATATGATTTTTGTAGAGAAAAGTTGATATCAGCTACATCATATTATGTCTAACTTTTATATGTTATAAAAGGAAGTTCACCGCCGCGTCTATTTGTTTATTTGTTTATTTGTTCGCGAGTACGTCAAAAGCTACTGAATGTATTGGGTTTTCAACATAATGATTTATAAGGAAGGTACCAATAGTTTTTGAATGTAAACGATTGCCCGTGCGAAATTGGCGGGTAGCTAGTTGAATATAATTATGTAAGAAATACTAAATTAAATAATTAATTTCAAAAACTTAGCGTGATGGCTTTTATTTAAGTAACACAAGGGTAATATATTGTGTTTTAATATTGATTTTATGAAATTCTTACCAACTCGAAGGCGGAACTTATTGAAGCTGTGTTTGTTGATCTCTTCCAACGCATCGCGAAGAGCGAAGGCATAATCCACTAACGCACAAAGATGTTCGCAATCATCATCTCCTTTCTGCAATATAAATTATTCATAAATCAATTTATGCGATCATAAATAACATGTAAACAGAAACATAGACTATAAACTTTAGACAAATATATAGTCAAGGTCTAAAGTACTTGGGTCTTACCTTATGATCGGGATTTAAGCCCGAAGCAGCCATGTAAGTAGCACCAATTGTTTTTATCTTCTCAATGCTTTTGAAACGTGGTTGCATCAGCAGTTTATCAAAGTCAACTATAGAACAAATATACTTAATTAAATAGTTTATTTGGAAAATACTATACATTGTGTTGTAACAGTCTGATAGCCCTAATTATTATAATGATTCCATAGCCAAGATCCAAAGTATTAAGCACGGTCCTTCTATAACGTGAGGGACTCCTTAGATTATAAGTTTTGGTATTTTAACACAGAATATGACATGAATAATTTAATTGCCTTTAATTATAAATAGACAAGAATAATTTTGATAAGAAGTAATAGGGAAAAATGGACCAAAGAAGTTATGGAATGGTGCCCTAGACATAAAACGAGAAGTAAAGGTAGACAACATCGTAGATGGGAAGATGATATTAAAAAGATGGCAGGAGCGACATGGATGAGGAAAGCAAGAGAAGAGTGGAGAACACTTGAGGAGGCCTATGCTGAAAAGCAAGACGATCAAGAAACCGGTGTCTAATAGGAAATAATATGATAATATTTACATTTACTTTAACAAAACTTTCGTTAATAACTAAGTAGAAATAAGATAAAATGTAAAATACAAGATTGTCAATAACGGCTATATTTATTTATTTATAATTAGACATGTGCTTGGAAGTTTTATATTGCTGATTTGATTTGCCAACAGGTGATTTAAAATGAAATACTTTTTTAAAGATTTAAATAATAAAGTGAGTTGTGTTGAAACAAATATGTAAAAGGTACATTACAAATAATCTCGTTGAGTAGTCGCATGCAGTCCACGGCCTTTTGCTCCGAGTAGAATTCGTGGAAGTTGGGAATACCCGCAAACATCACGCCCACTTCGTCCCGCCATTGTGAGTACAACTCCTATCAAATTAAAATTATTTGCGTATTTTCCGTATAAGTATCGCGTTACAGCGACGAAATTCTGCCAATTAATTTTACATTTATTCATGTATTATTTTTATGTACAGCTTAGGTTAAGATTATATTGTATTCTAGTTATTTGTAGATACTTCGAGTGTGTATAAATTAAATATTATAATAAAAAACATCATCTAAACAAGTTTTAAACTGTCCAAATGCTTAAGTCTAGTTTGTTATAAAATAAAACTGAGTACAGTTTTATAATTTCAAATTAAATTGAGGTTTCGAACGGAATGTAACTTAAAATATATTTTAATCAACACCAGGAAAATTATTATGAATATATTATTTATAACTTACATCAGGGCACCGATCTTTGCTTAGGAAATGATTCACGACGTGGTCCGGCAATATATGCTTCAAGAGGTGTCGGTTCATCCTTTGCGTCTCCTTCATCTCCTTGAGGTCATGCTCCGCTTGCAGCTTCCAGAGGAAGTCCAGGCGTGAAGTTACTTCCACCAATCGCGCGTGGTACACCACGATCACCAGGAACATTACCATTAGGATCATCATCTGGACGTAGAATGGGAGTTGCCTGCAATTCGAAAATTCATTTTCTATTTTGTATAATATCGAAGTTTTGATGGCTAGCCATGCGCTTCTGGAAGCTGCTTGAATTTGTGTTTAGTTCACAATATAATGTATACAATGCCTACTGCTGATAGAGGCAAAACATTTGTTTTTTATTTTTAGTATTATTATTTATTTTATGTGGTGATTGCCATTTACAAACATTATGTAGAATAAAATAATTGGTGATTGTTTAGAACAACGGAGAAGCCGTTCATGTCAAGAACTAGCAGAAAATGATAATTTAGTCATTTCATAAACTTATAATTTTTTAATAAATTACGTAAATATTTAATTATTAATTCTATCAACAATTTAAAAAAAGTCTTAATACGTTATTCTATATTTCCTTTATTCTAATTCCGTAATTACGAGTGAAAATTCGTAGTGAAAGAACTGGATTTTAATGTAACATGAGATTACTAATGTTATTTTATTTAATTATTGATTTATTACACTTCTTTGCATTAACATAATAAAAAAACAAAAGATTTCGAGCGATCTCTTCCAGGCAACCAATGTGAAAAAATGTATTTAATTGATAAGGTAAGCAAGAAGTGCCAAAATACATAATACATATAATTATTAAGACAAAACTAAACAGGAACAAAAATCTAAACTAAAAAATGGATACATGAAAAATAAAAAGTGCACATGAATATTATTTAAGTGTTATATTAAGATCAAGTTGAGGCCCAAAAACCAATACAATAAGTACGTATAATGGAATTTGATAACTTATAATTAAATAGCTAACAACAATGACGTGTCGAAAATAATATTAGAATGTACATTGCAACTGTTTGACACTAGGCTGGTATGTGATCTGGGTACTATGTCTAAACAGTTAATGGTTCACCGGAAATCAAACCTGTGATATCGTTATATCTGGATGGAGGCGGTCATTTGACTTTTCAATTTAAAAAAATAAACTTACGTATTCGTGTTTAAGCTGTCGAAATAGTAGACGTTATAGTAGATAAATAGTAGAACGGAGTACATGGCAACATTAATGATCGCCAAGCAGGTCTTGATCAGGTAATACAGCTTCAGTATGGACGTGAGAGCAACAAGGCACAGGATCCAGGTGAACACCACGTACTCTGGTCGATAGCATTCGCCGGCTTTGACTTCGTCATCTGTTATATTAGCTGTGAAGTTGTTGGTGGGAAATGATGCTGGGCAGATGTAGAGTTTCGTGGTGCTGGAAAAAGAGGGTAGTAAATAGTAGGTTATTGGTTTCCCTCACTGTTTCTATATCCAAAATACGAGTCATTGTTGCGAGTTAACGATTGACATAACGCGCATAAGACGTTCATAATAGAACGAATCGTAAAAAAAAACCAAGCGTTTATAAATTGCTAATAGAAGTCGCGATTACATATTATATACAAAATATAAATAAGTAATTGTGTCTAGGAAAGTATTTGTAATCATCCATTGTGTACACTGCAAGTGTCCCATAACTTTTATTATGTTTATTTGATTTGTTTCTTAACTAGGTATATATGATATGATTGAATAGTTAAAAAACAGTATATAATCGTTACCTGATGTTAAGTGATACACCGCCCATTGGTACACACACTGCCAGAAGGCTTTTAGGAATCAATTACGGTCTCATGAAGAATTCTTAGTCGAATTTATTCGGAATTCTTCGGCTGGCTTCCACAAAGTGGTCCAAAAAACGCTCAGTTATGGAACGACCGCTAATGAAACTCAGCTGCAGGGCCGAACAACTTCTCTGAACACTCTCCGTGATAAATGCGGTAAAAGGTGCAAAGAGACCCCACATCTCTAAGCAACACCAAGGGAGCAATAGCCAAAGTGACTGGTCGTCGACGATCAGATTATTTTTGAAGTGAAACTTCTTTATCGAGGTTGGAAAAAAATTTAGTGTAACATTTTTTCGTTACGAGTCACATTTTTCGGTTACGCGTCACATTTTTCGGTTACGCGCCACGTTGCTTTTTGAAGTCAAACTTCTTTATCGGCGTTGGAATAAAACTTCTTTATCGACGTATGGGAGAAATTTTGTAGCAAATCGTCACGTTTTTCAATGATAGTAATAATTCTATTACAATTAATGAAATTCTATAATAATCTTCGTAGTAATAAGGTAAAATGAAATATTTGTATTCATGTCTATGATAATAAAAGCCTTTTGTTAAACTTTATCTAATTTAACGAATTTCTGTAAAGTTGCATATAGTAGATCATTTTTCGAAAAATAAGATCATAAAGAAGTTTCACTTCTTACGTGTGTACACCTAGTACACGCACAATTTATTTTATTGAAATCACATATCAAAATTTTTGATACCTAACTAACATAAGACAGAAATTCGAATTATATTCACAACTAATATTGTTCATTTGAAACATAAATAATAAGTTTAAGTTAGGATCTCTACTCAACCCATAGGTTTATAAACACTACACTATTTTATAGATTATACCTGGATATAGACATAATAGTGACGAAGCAGCAGATATGCACATTCCTGCGCACGCGATTTCCACTAAGTGCCGCAGACATCTTTGTGAGTCGCGGGAGGCAGTTCGGGAACTCCTCGGCCATCACGAGCACAAATGACATCACCAAAGGTATAGTCATCACCAGTAGGACCACTACCACCCAAATACAACTGGAAAAATAAACTTAAATACTTTAAAAATTCTATATTAATGGCGCATTTATTTCTATCAAGCGGATAAAACTAATTAAAATTATTAAACAAGGGGTTATACGATGAATAACAATTAATTTTAGAGTTGATGTACGATGTTGATGCATATATACATTATTCAGTACTATCTGATTGAAAGATTTGGACGCTACATTGTGACAGAATTAACAAATAGAAATAATAATATTTTATCTATAATTAATGACTAATTATTGAATTAATGAATGGTAGACAGGAAGTTGTGCTTGTACTCCAACCTAAAGGAAAGATCTGGATCTGGATCAGTGGAAACCCTGACAGGCCAGCCCTAACTAAGGCCATTGTGGTTGTTGTTGAGTTATATTTAATATAAAGTCAGGGCTGGGTATCAGTAGAAGTATTTATGTATATTTACATACATATAGCCCCATTTAGGATTAGACTTTATTGTGTTATAGATGCAGGTACTTATTACCAGAGGAATGGGGAAAGATTAAAGCTTTATAAAAAGTCAGACAGAGACCCTCATCCCTGATATCGTGCGTTCGAATCACGATCTATCTATGGAACTTTATTTTTATGTGCGTTTCCAACAACCTCCTAAAACACCGACCCGTTTCAAAAACAAAAATTGACGACATTTTCCAGACAGAAAGATTACCTACTTGTCTATAAAATAAATATCGAAGAACAGATGTAAACTAAAACCTTGGTAACAACCCGTATATTAACTATAAAAATACTTACTTATAATGCATAATAAACTGCACACATAGTATAAACAGCCAGAGAACGAGACAGCACATGACATTTGATTTAAATGTCGTCTCGTCCAATTGTCCGAACTGATCGTCCAACGAAGCCTCCCGGAAGTGTAGAGACCATGGTCGCATGTGCTCTATCCGCATTTTACGGTTACTGCTCACTTCTATCGAGTGATTTATTATGTCATCTTCCTGGTAAAGATTAAAAACAATATGAACGTTTGAAAGGTAAGCGCAAATAGATACTATTCATTAAACAGTTGTTCAAACTTTCAACCAATGGATGGATACAGTTATTGTTTTGCTGCGCATCGAATATAGGACATCGGGTTATATAACATAAGTTATGGATGGACGTAGTATCACTACACACAAATATCAAAACATCTTAATACAATGCGAACATGCTTAAAATCGTTCCAAGATGTGTTTTCAAAAATATTTAACAAATTTTTCCGCCTAGAGCTTTTGAATTTTTATTTTCCAAATTTGAATTAAAAAGGTTTTATAATCGTTACCACTTGTTGGCTTTAGCATGCTCTTATTTTTATATAGGTACATTTAAAATATACATTTAATATTAAATGTTTATATGTGTACCTATTCATTTATTACTATATAACGTTTTTTTTATAATTAGAAACTGTCAACACGAACAACAACTATAATTTAATTAATATAACCTAAACTTTCTACAAGATTGGTCCAAATTTATTTAAGTATGTATCTACAATTTACAAAAAAAATACTTACCTCTGTCATAGACGCCATATCAAGTTCTTGCAAATCACTGTTTCTATTTTGGCAACGACGTAATATCCCCGTGCTGCTGTTAAAATACTGAAAACGTTCATATAATATAGATATATAATTAGTACTTTTCAATATATTGTTTTGGTTTAATAAGATATTTATATGTATCTAGATGCAAAAGTAGATTTAAGAATGATCATGAAACAGATTCTGAAATCTAAGGCCAAAACCTAAAGAGGTTGTAGCGCCACTGATTTATTTTTATTTTTAGATGCAAAATAGCAAGGAGAGAGAAGGCTGGCCATGTGTCACACTTGTGAAAGGGTGCTGCTTGTGGTGACTTACCGGAATTGAATTCGTGTAAGTAGTGATATTTTTAATTCAATCCAACATTCGTCACTAATATTATAAAGAGAAAAGATATTTGTAACGAATGCACTGTTTACCGATTTCATAAATTCAATTACCTTAAGAATGCTACATTGTGTCTGATTTGACTGTTTTATAAGCTATCTAGGTATATATAGGTATGTATTTATTTCAAAAATATAAAAAATCTTTAGGCGTGCGAATGGGACAGACTGGTGGACTATGTATTTGTTGTTTTCTACCACGTTTGGTACTTTCTACTACTTACTACCACGCACTTATTTTTTATATATATATGTAATGTTGAGCACGCTCCACTGACGGATCATACCTTATACTAATCTTATAATGCAAAAACACACAATAAATACTTAAATATTTCAAAAAATTATATACATACACTCTGAAAAGGCATTTCCGGTGTCCAATCAGTAGTCAACTCTTCGTCGACGCTGCCACTTGTCCTTCTTGTTGGTTGACCGTTTGTTTGATGTGGGTTTGGACTAAAAAAAAATTATAAAAATCACATAACACATTTTTTTAGAGCAGTGTTGGCCTACTGGCTTCACGACACTTCACGTGCGACTATAATCCCTGAGGTCGTAGGTTCGAACCCCGGCTGTGCACCAAATAATGGACTTTCTTTCTATGTGTGCATTTAACATTCGCTCGAACGGTGAAGGAAAACATCGTGAGGAAACCGGCATACCTTAGAACCAAAAAAAAAAGTCGACGACGTGCGTCAGGCACAGGAGGCTGACCACCTATTAGATTAACAAAAGATCATGAAACAGATACAGAAATCTGAGGCCCAGGACTAAAAATGTTGCAGCGCCACTGATTTTTGAACGCATATAAGTTAATAGGGACTTGAATCCCCGTGTGGTCCCGCCACATGTCGTTGCATTTACACAAGAGCATATAATTTTATTGGTACTCAAATCAAAGTATTTTTTTACACGTACAAAAAATACCTTAAAAGCTAAAACAAAAGTTGAATTACACACAATAATACTCACAGTACCCGAGATCTATTCCTTGTTGGTCGAGGTCTTTCTGTGCTTTTAATTAAGTACGTTTCGATGTTCAGCTCTCTTAGATATGGATTACGAGCCTGGCCGTCGCCACTTTCAACTTCGAACGCACCGTTCAAACATTCTAGTGTTGCTGCTGATATATGGACTCGACTGTATACAAATAATTATATTTAAAGAAAATAAGACCTTTGCTTTATAAGTCATAAATACAATACAATACATATTTGTTTATATATTTGGGTTTCTTTAGTAACATTTGGTGGCTGTTGATAGACCACGGAGCTGACTGTTTACAACAATGTTTTGTTTGAATTATTTTAATAAATAATATTCAGAAAGAGTTTAAATGCACTACGTAAGTGACAATACACAATGATCTCAATAATTAATACATGAAAAGGAAATTTAAATACGAAACGTGTTTTGTTTTCAAAAGTATTAATGGGCGTGTTCGGCCGAAGTAAGTACTTACTAAATTTAGTAAGTCACTTACTATGCTTACAAAATTTTCGGCCGGGACACAAAATAAGTGCTAACGCAGTAAGTATGGCTTAATATACGACGCCATTTTGCTTATTGTTGATGTAAACAAAACGGACAATAAAATATCCAATAAAATATTTCTCATAAAATTATCCATTTGAAACTATTCACAGGTATTAAATTATATTCCTAAATTTAGTACTGTCAATTATATTCAGTCTATGAGGTTATGTACGGGATATGACATAAACCGGTGTTTTGTGTTATGTTAATAAGCCAGTAAGTCTGTCCTGGCCGAAAAGCGCTACAGTCAGCTTGTAAGACTTTAATTTTTTTATGCTTACTGGCTTACTAAGTTTAGTAAGTACTTACTTCGGCCGAACACGCCCAATAATTATTGATTCTATATTTAAATTTTAGTATCATGACAAAGTCATTCATTGATTTGAATTCGGAAAGATTCGAATTTTAAATAAGCGGGATGCGTTTATATATTTTTTTCATTTACGCAGATTATTGCGTACCAAAAATGGCGGGCTTCGTCGCAGTTTGTTAAAAATGCTGTTTCGCGAAATTGTAGAATTATTTAAAACAATAAAGAAGATAAGATAAGGCTCACAAGGTGAATATATTATCAAAAATAATTTTAAAATAAAAAAATTGACATAGGTAATTCGCATAAAATACTTTTCACAATTTGAACATATAGAACAAGTTTTTAAAAGTAAAATTGAATTTCAATAACGTGTATATTGCAATTTCTATTTATTATCTAAATATTTTACCCAGGCAGTCCTCCGCTCTCCATATGGTTGGCGAGTGTGACATCATGTGACCACAAATCAAACTGCCATTTTAGAAGGCCCAACACGCCACACAACACAGTACCACTATGAATGCCGATTCTCATGTCTAAGTCCACCTTAATAAAAAATGAATAATTTATTAATTGTAAGTCTTAAGATATAAAGGTTCTCTTTATAGATATAAGATAGTAAATATATTGTCTATGCCAAAATATCTCTCGCAGATATTTTGGCATAGACAATATATTTACATACATAAACATTTAAATTTTGAAAAAAAATTTACGTAATCCCGTAAAAAGACTAAAGTTTTTCAATTTTTTGGTATTTAAAGGGGAGGAACTCAAAATGGCACATTTAAAACTTAGCTGATGTAACACTATGGACGCATTTGACCCATTTTGGACAAAGGACCTTAAACTCACCTGTGCATTATATCGTACATCCCGTATGGCTCGTATCATATGCAGGCCCATGTTGACGCAGCAGTAGGCGTGGTTGCTGCGCTTCTCTGGCAAACCACTCACACAGAAGTAGCAGTCGCCTAATAGCTTGATCCGAAGACAATGGTTCTCCTACGAAAATTAAAAATAACACAATAATATCACGGGCTAATTGGCACCGTGGTAGGTCATATAGCGAATATTCTATCCTGGATTCGATTTCCGGTGAAACGTTAAGGGTAGGTTCAGAAAACCCTTTTATATCCTAAATTAAAGAAAGAGTCTTGGAAATATTCGGCCCGAAGTATTGTACTACTACAATATACGAACAAATGAAAAAGTCAATTAGTAAAAAAGCTTTATTCTTTTTATAACTCACGATGTAATAATCATACTTAATAAAGCTCGTTATTGTAAAATAAGTACTTTTCTAAGCTTTGTTAAGAAGCGGCCACAACACATTGAGTTATCTCGAACAAATCAAAATATTTTTTTGGGCAATGCCTTAAAATCGATTATTTTATTATAAAAGCTTTAAAGGTATTGCCAATTAGGATTGAACATATTATTTTTTGTCTGCAAGCGCTTCTTCAAGTAGTCTTTTAGATTGTTTTATTCGGAATATTAAATATTCATATACTTAAAATAATTTGGAAACAATAAACTCACCGAAGCTAACCTGTCGAATCTTGCAAATAATTCATTGAGCAACTTGACTAGTTCTTGCGCGCTGCATTTGCTGGATAATTCTGAAGTAAATACAAGTTCTCTAAGTAATTCTATTAAGTCTCAATTGATGAATTTATGTCGTTCATTTATTTGTAGTGATAGCAGGCGAAATAAAATTTTATAATAGAAGAAGATAGCTTGTGGAGCATTTAAAGGTTTTAGTACGGAGTACGAAATTAATTTATAGAAATATCTTACCGGTAAATCCTTTAATATCAGCGTACAAAATGGACACATTTTCGTGTCTCTGTATATATAAATTGTTAAACTGTTGTTCCTGAAACTCCCCTTTCACCTTCGATACATGACTAGATATTTCTTTGGCTAAAAAATCTGGTATAACTGTAACAAAATAACATACTTTTATGGACCTCAAATTCGATTATAGCACCGCACCATATTAAGAATCATCCATATTATAACTTTTATTTATATTTTATACATTTAACTATACGATAAAACATAGTAACTTTTAATGAAACTAGTAATTATTTAAAATTAATTAACCATTAAAAGTTGAAGTAAAAGAGATAAAATAAAAATCAATAAAATTTCGTTATAATTTTATTTTAAATTAGATAACATCAATTATTTTTTTTTAAATTAGATCACATCAATTTTAGTTAATATGTACAATTAAAAACAAAAAAAATTAGTACCAACATAAATAAAAAATAAATGTAAATTTAAAATGAAATAAATAATGCTCACCACTCTGAAATAATTTCCACTGCCGATCACTCTCTCTTTGGGTTCGTTGTCTGGTTACCATTGATCGGCGAGTCTCCAGGAATGCTTTTCTTTGACCCCAGTCTGCCAAATACTTGGCATACATCCCCGCGAAGTTCACCGCTCCATACAACAACGCATTAGCAATCAACAATCGCATAGCACATGATTTAGCCTATAAATAAAATGTTATATTAAGATATTTCAGAATGATTTGTATAGTATACGAAAAATAGTATTCTAATAAGAACAATTTTAACAACTTTTACAGAAATACTGGACGGCAAACATTTGAAATCAAAATAAAGAGAAAATGTAATTAACGTTTTAATTCCGCAGGTTTCTTTTAAATGCAATATTGACTATTCTTCATACGTTCTTTGATATACTTACAGCGTTTGGATTGTTATCCATAATATCCTTAACATCCATTGCAGTAGCCAATACGTGTGAGATCGATGAGAGCAAACCAATAACAATGCACCAGCCTAGAGATAGCGGCAACATCGCGTAAGGAATGAAAATAATGAATAGCATATACCATACTTGATTTTCTGGCGCTTGGAAGCCTATGCCTTGTCCGCTTAAACCTAGAATGTCAAATTATAATACTAGATGTCGCAGTGGTCTAAGTGACACAATCAGACTTGAACTTAAATTACGGCAGAAAAAGGAGCCGCAATCTTTGAAGGCAGGAGTCTTGATTTATTTAATTGTTGACCTTTTGTAGGCTTATAGATGGATAAGAAATCTATAATCATTAAATTTTGCATTATAACTAGTGATGCATCGGATCTCTGTTTCTGTATCCGCAACTGCGGAAGGTCCGCACGGTTTTCAACATTCGTTTCTGCTTTTGTTTCCGCTACTTTTATAACGGAGATACAATCGGAAGTTTCACATTTTCAGGAGTACAAAAAAGAAAAGCGATTGTCTTTAAATGAAGATCCTCTTGTGTGGTGGAAATTAAATTCACACAAATACCGTAATCTTTTGCCATTAGTGCACCAATATTTGTCGGTACGCCCCAGCAGCGTCACCGGTGAGCATTAAATGTTGTTACAAAGTTGCAATATTGTTTTCTAAAGTAGATGTCTAATATATCTATTTCTAATCTAGATTTGGTGTATTTGATACTTAATAATATTATTTAATATGATAATTAATATTATTTACACTTCCGTTTCTGCATCCGTTTCCGTTTTCGTTTCTGCAAAAATTTACTTTTGACATCTGTTTCCGTTTCTGGTACCGCTAAGACACTTCAGTTGCATCACTAATTACAACGTAGTAAATGCTTTTTGAAACATGTTATCACAAACTTTTAAAAACGATGTTTCTAAACGTGTCGATCACGTTAAAACATGGGAAAATTATTCTATGCTCTTTACGATACTATCAAAATTCACCATATATTTTGAAACGTACCTTGAGCAATGAGTAGTATCCAGGTGGCAGCAGCGGCCCAATGCAAGTAATTATTGGCAAAGCATCGCCACGCTCCAAGAAGACAAATTGAGATGTTGAGCAATGAGAAGGCAGCGGTCCACGCTATTTTATACGCGTCAGTAGCATCTTCTACTGTAATACCAAATGCGAAAATGAATATTGTGACTAAAGGTAAATGTTTAATACTCAATGTCAAGTTTAAGTTCAATGTTACAATTTAGTTAAAATACATTTTGAGAAATCGACACTTCATTTATTTAAAGAAAAATTATTATTTCTACATTTATGCATAATAGGACGTGATAACTCGTGACAGGTTAATTTAATATTAATCTTAAATAATAAAACTTACGTTTATTTCGATTTGATAATGTGTAAATGAGAGCTAAACAAATCTGAAAATAAACAAATATTTGTTACTTTAAAATACATTAAAACACTGAAAAAGTTTCTAAAATGATCTCATTTATGTGAACCAAACCGAACCATAATTTCTTCTAAGGTAATTCAAAGTATCGAATGGTAAAAGTAACTCCCATCAAGGCGAACTTTTCATTTAACTTTATAATTTTATTATCGTCTTTAAAATAATTAGCACATATATTGGGGTCTAAAATGTCTCTCCTTGGTAATGTTTTTATTGGAACAGGTTGGTATTCAAATAAAATGAAATGATGAAAATTCTATAAATACCTTCAATGCTAAGTCTACAACGTTGACCATTATGAGTGACTTCTGCCTTTGTCGTCTTGAATACCTTTGATACGACAACTCCACTGTTTCGTCCTACAAAAAATAAAGAAGAAATATAGTTGGCAAAAGAAAATACAAGAAAAAGGGTGGAAAACAGAATCATGAATATAAAGTGAATTTGAATTCTCTTAACAGCTATGCATGTCAATAAAATTTGCTAATTAGAATGATTAAGTATATTCTTAAATATTTATTTACAACTAGATGACCAGGTGAACTTCGTATCACCTACATGTATTTGAGTTAAAACTTAATACTTTTTTTTTTAAACAGAATAAAGAGATCGGTATTCATACTATGAACCACTAATTTCTGAAGGCATATAATATACTAGTGGACCCCACAGACGTTATCCTGCATGATATTTAAAGCGATTAGGATATTAAGCAAAGTATGAAAGTACCGACTGCAGTGCCATCTGCCGGGCTGTTTTGTGAATCTAAACCATCCACGGCTCCACCCAAACGTATACAAAAAAAATCATTCAAATCGGTCCAGCCGTTTAAGAGGAGTTCAGTGACATACACACTCACAGAAGAATTATATATATAAATATGACAATCGAGAGACAATTTTATATTTCTAATATCTCCCACCTACGACCTACGAAAAACTAGTTTTTATTGGAAAATTCAATTGTCGTTTTTAGTATTTTTCTTTACTTATTATTAGGTTTCCTTAAATCTTGACTGAACTTTCAAAAATATTTTAAGATCATAATTAGCGAAAGCGGTTGGCATCAATTAATTATGATGCAATTAAAGTCAACTGATGTGCTTTTTACGGAAAAGCACATAACAAATTGCATCTTCCCCTTAACACGTTTTAATAAATAAGTAGTATTAATATTGCTAAGTTTATTTCGCATAAACTGGGTCAAAGAACTGAACTTAACTGAAATAAACAATAAAGATTTATCTTACTTTAAAACTATTTGTTATTGATGGCCAGTAGATTCCTTTATAGTAAAGACAAGTTCTCAGCATGTTCTCCGTCGCCACTATAAAAAAAACAGATTTTTAATATTGATCAATTAATATTTATATAAGTATGTATTAAACTTTTAACTTTTCGTTTGCCATCGGTCAGGATTTAATAAGACTTAATATTACATGTCATGACTATGCGGCATAGTTGAAACTATGAAAATCACATCAAAACATATTTTGAAAGTTTAATTTTGACTACTTTATTAAGTTAAAAATATATACATTATTATTATATATTATAGTATAACCAACATAATACATATATTAAAATTTTACATACATAAAACCAGAGTCAGCTCTATATAATATATAATATGACTGTTTCAAAACCTTATTTCAAAAGTCTTACCACCACCGGACAGACTTTAAATTTACTTTGATGGTCTTTATACTCTATGAGACCTAGATTATGGCAAGTAGATTATTCAATAATAGTTAAGATTAAGTAAGTTAAGTTACGTACGTATCATCATTTATATGTTTTATTACTTAAGAACCCGATATAAGGAGAAATCCAAAAAATAATCTTTCTCTAGTCTATATCGTATTAATCATAGGAATGAGATTTGCTATCTTAAAGTCCGCTTCTTTTGGAGCGGTTATATTTGTAACATAAGACCGACGCAAATAAAAATATATATACTATCATTTAAGAGAAGGCAGAACTCACTAAATTTATTTTGATGAAAGTTTGGGCATATTTTGGTACATAACATATATTTCTTCTACATACTATTTAATTACCTGGATCACTTTCAGCACGAAATGGATCGATACTATGTCTAGCGCTGTTCGTAGAACCGTCATCGTCACTCACTCGCAACTGAAAAGCAATGTTTTTATACCACAATAGTAATGTCCTTAACCAAATTTGCGTGAAATTTTCTAGGTTTGTTTCATTGCCACACGCCTAGTGGCTTCTAAACTGAAACAAGTATTGGTTTTGACGTCGAACTCAATACAGGTTGTATTGAATGAACCATACACATATATAAAAGCGCTATACCATGCTTTTAGAAAATAAAATTCGTTTAGAAATTTTCTTCCTGAAATTCGTTCTTTAAAAAGTATTATTGTTTCCTTTCTAGGGTTGTTTGTAGGGAACGCGCTGAAAAACACGAAAGCTTTTGTTTTGGAAATTATTAACTATTGTAGATTTATAATTTTTCCATACCTATATCTCTACCTCTCCTACCTATAATGCTACGTACACCCTTTATAAACTCTATAGTATTTCAAATACAACTTTGGATAATTAACTTCTTTGGTCGGATTAATTAAAACTAACGTGATTGTAAAAATGTTTTATCAAATATTGTTTTCAAATATTTTGAATTTTAAATAAAAAATTAATATTACTTTAATCAATTGAAATTATATGTATGGCATATGATTTTATAAGAAGTTGTTGATTAAATTAATAAAGACAAATTTATTAATTTATTTACGCAGATAGTACTTTATTCGCGTTTATATTTATTATAATATATTAAAGTGTACAGGGGGCCTACCATGAACTTTCTTAAAACAATCCAGTTGAGATGCAGTTGAGTTTAGGTACCTAAAGTCAATAGCATTTTTCGTACCATGACCGCCTATAAGCTGAAACGTATTTGCATCGCAAGACCGAATGAAAGAACGATAATTTTATTTGAGGTTTCTATGTAAGTTTTGAAATTTAACTGTCAAACTTTCTTTGACAGATGTTTCTATAAAAATAAATAAAATATAAAATTGTTTTCAATAATTCATCAATCATAATAAGCTATTATGTCTTAATATATTTATTTATTTAATATATAAAACTACTCTTTTGATATATTTTCAACAGTTTTCTGGTGCTATGACAGTGGACACTTATTATTTTTAAACGTTTCCGTCAAATTTTGATAGGAGCTTTCAATATTTTGGTGTTTACAAAATTTCAGTTTTATAAATATAGTTTTACAAATTGTTTCACTTATTAAATAATATGAGGGGGTAAGTATTGTTCACAAATTTGTTGATTAAAAATAAATACCTATATCGAAGTTAATTCCTGATAAAACTCTTTGCAAAAGATATTACAAATCAACTTAATATTCGAAAATCATAATAAAAATTATTTCCTTCAAATTGTACAAATTTAGTTTATACGTTAACTAATTCATATAATATAAATATGTAATTATATTTTCTTTACAGCTTAAACCTGACAAACTCGCTGAATTGAGAGAATGAAATATATGAATATATGGTTATATCCAATTGAACATTGCCTGAAGACACCTTTTTCTGTCTTGATGGAGTCATCTACTAAATAAATACTGTTATTATATTATTTTCAAATGGCTTATTATTTACACGTTATAAAAATACCTATGTTTTTTTAGACAACAAAAAGCAGAGGATAATCAATCAAATCATGAACATAATGAGGAAAAATTTAATTATAATAAATATCTACTATTGATATGGCAAGCTTATTTATTATAAAATCTGATATATTGGGGAATTATGTTTGTGTTAGACATGCCTAAATAATTAATTGAATATTATTGAACAGCTTGTGCAATTATTTTTAGGTACACTAAAATCCTCAACGAATCAAAGTCGTTAATCTATAGCAAAATATAAACTCGATATCTACGAAGTAGGTAGAAGGGCATTGCCGTCTTGTTTCTCATCTCCGTCGATATTTTAATAATTAATTTATAATGACACTTTCTAAACTCAAAATACCTCAAATTATCCGAAACAGACATAGTAGATACATACTATACAGTATACTATATATATCTATAGGTTCTTAACTATTATTTGGACATTTCGATACAAAAAAGTTGGACAAAAAGTAACTTTTTTAGAATCGCTTATTCTGTCATAGTTGGAAGGCGCAACTGTCAAATTTCGGTTCAGCCGAGCGGTCATGGTACGGATTTTCATACAAATTGAACGAACGAAATCTGATAACCGCTAAGGTCACGTGGGAACCTAAACTGTCTCGTTTTTTCGATGTCATGGTACGAATTAGCGATGCGTCTCAGTTGTAGGTTGTCAATAGGCTCGCAATAAGAGTTCATGGTAGGCCCCCAGTACTTTTTTACTGCGCCATCTCAATGTTGCGACATCAACGCTACGGATATTGACAACTAAATCGAACTTGCATACAAAAAACCTTGGTGTCGGTGTTACTCTTGCTTTGGATCTTGGCGTTGAGGATATGGGCGTAGGTGTGGTTTAAGGGTGCATCTACACCATCTCTACATCTTCATCATGAGGAAAACAAACGCTTTGTTTAATTTAATAAAATACATACCCATACGTTGGATTTTTGTATTTTATCAAGTAATAGTAATAGTAATTTTAATATGTAAAACTTGTGTGCTAAAATGTTAATTTACGCATGAAAAGGATAAGTAGTCCCAAAAGCGTCCTACCGTACTCAGCTCGTACACGCGACACAAACCCCAATTTAGCTGATAATTAATGGCCTCTGTCGTTAAAATTACTAGTTTTATAAACAAGACCGTAGCACTTAAGTCAAAATTTTATAAAGAGATTTACTATAAAAATCAGTAAATGTTGAGTCGTTTGTTTTTTGGCTCATATAAGTTTTTAAACTTATAGTTATTTACTATGTAGTATATACAGTCACAAGACATATTTCCTAATCTTTAAACGGAAACACCCACGCGTGTTCTCACGGAATATGCTGACGGACTGTCTAGCTCCCAGTCTCGATAATTAGATATTAAGTTAGTCTTAAGCTAATCACCAATGTAACCGGTTGATTAAATATTAATTAAAAATAAAATTTTATTCTTTTTAAAAACGCTCCAGCGCGACCTCGCGTTTTGACTGGCGCAGCCGGTAGGATTTTCACATCCCGCGAGTATATAACTAAATTGAAAATACTCAAATCGATTTTCTTAGTTCTTGAAATACCGTGGACTGTCTAATAGCAGAGTGAAAATCCGCGAATCAAATAAATAAGTCAAATAGAAGAGCATTAAAATAATATCCGGTGCAGTGTGTGATTAGTGACTCAGGAAGAATGGAATTGGGCTGGCGGTGAGTAAACCTTTTCACTTCCCGCTAAAAATTTCATTTTATTCCACATATTATATATTATTACATTATCTGATTTTGTTTCGTACCAAATCTACGAATAAAATTGTACTCAGAGTGTAATTAGATTAGGAACTGTAGTTTTAAAATTATATTGCACAAGAATAGGCAATATAATATAGATTAAATATATAGATAGATAAAACCAAAAATTATATTGCACAAGAATAGGCAATATAATATAGGTTAAATATATAGATAGATAAGAAATTATATTATTAATTAGTACGGATTTCTTGCAAATTCAAAATTATATAAGTAATTTAAAGAAGTGTAAGTGATTATATTGTATTTTTATATATAAAAATTAAAGAATAAAAATGTCAATGGAAACATTTAAATTTGTACCAAGGGAGGTTTTGTCCTTGATTCCCAAATATGATGGGACAGAAAACTTACTAAATTTATTTATTGCAAAAGTGAATATGTGATAAAAGAATTTAGAGTCGAAGGTAATGCCGCCCAAAATTTATACTTATTTCATGCAATAACTAGTCGCTTAGTGGGTAAAGCGGCAACGCTATTAAGTGAAAATCAAAATATTACATCATGGGATCATTTTAAAGATATATTGACTCAACATTTCGGCGACCCGCGTTCAGAAGAATGTATAGCAATAGAATTAGAATCATTAAAAATTAAATCTGGAGAATCATATATAGAGTTCTGTCAAAGAATACAAAGTGTTAAAAGTTCCCTAACCTCAAAGGTTAATAGGTTAACCGATGAGAGTATTAAAGCAGCCAAATTAATCATTTATAATAATACGGCTCTTAATGTATTCCTTTATAATTTATCTGAAGATCTTTTACGTATCGTTCGTCTAAAGGGCTGTACTAATTTAGAGAGTGCATTAAGTGTTGTTACTGAAGAGGTTAATTTTCATTATCAATATTCTATTAAAAATAAATTGTGGAAGAATAGTGCATCCCCCCAACAAAATAATTTTAAACCTGGTATTCCTTCTCAAAATAATTTTAAACCTGGCATTTCTCCTCAAAATAATTTAGCATCAAATGTGCCTCCACAGAATAACTTTAAATACGGAATTCCCCCACAGAATAATTTAAAATACGGAATTCCCCCACAAAATCACGTTAAGTTTGGAATGCCCACACAAAATAACTTTAAATTCGGGATACCACCACAGAACAACTTTAAATTCGGGATACCACCACAGAATAACTTTAAATTTGGAATGCCCCCGCAAAATAATTATCGGTTTGGAATTTCGCCTCAAAATAATAGTCGATTCGGTATACCTCAACAAAACTATAAATTTGGTTACCAGCCACAGCAGGGTCCTAGATTCGGTATACCACACCAAAAACAGAATCCACAACCAGGTAACACAGACGTTTCTATGCGAACCGCGCCGATAAGACAAAATATGATTAATGACTCTGAATATTATTACGAACCATACTATTACAACGACTATAGCGATTATGATAACTATGACTCAAGCGAAACAGCCATGTGTGAAAATTTTAATTTGTTAGAAAATCAAGAAAATTCTAAAGACAACGAGGAAATAGAATCACAGGAAGTAAATTTTCAGGAAGAAGCCTCGAATCATATTCCGAAATAATAAATCTTAACTATTGTGATAGCATTTTAAAGTTACCACACATATTAATTCCGGAACTAAACTCAAAATTTCTTATAGACACCGGTAGTAGTCGTTCGTTTATCAGTCCTTCTAAAGTAAATGAATTTTTTAATGAATATAAAAGCTATGAACCATTTACAGTCGTTAGCACTCATGCTCAAAGTACACATAACGAAGTAGTATACATCCCTTTGCCGTATATTTTTAATAGCCCTTTAATGCATAAATTTTATGTATATGATGTAGATGCTAGATATCATGGTTTAATTGGCTCAGATTTATTAAAGGAATTAGAAGCTAGCATAGATATGAAAAATCAAATACTGTATACAACTGGTTCTGCCATACCTATATTATATAGTCCTCCATACGAAGTTATAATTGAACCCAGAACAGAATCAAAAATTAAAATCCCTACTAACCTACAAAATGGAGATGCCATAGTAGAACAGGTCTATTTCAGTACTGGCGTTCGTATGCCAAATGCTATCGTTACATGTGAAAACTTCTTTGCAACCACCGTTATACAAAATGTATCCGAGAAACTATTTAAAATAACTTTTAAGGAACCTATTAAAGTCTCAGTTTTTAAAATAAGTGAAATTTGTAAAAGTAATTTTATAAATGATACTTTAACAATTGATAATATTTTAAAAGAAAATTTGTCCAAGCTTCGTTTAGATCATATGAATAGGGAGGAACGTGACGCAATCTCTAAACTATGTTACGAGTTTCGTGATATATTTTATTCTGATAAAATTCCTTTATCATTCACAAATCAGGTTAAACACAAAATTAGGACAGTTAACGAAGACCCCATTTATATTAGACCTTATAGACATCCTGCTTCTCAAAATCAAGAGATAGAAAAACAGGTGGATAAACTCTTAAAAGATAACGTCATACAAAATTCATTTTCCCTTATAGTGCACCAGTTCATTTGGTACCGAAAAAGCTAGATGCGTCCGGCGAACCAAAATATAGAATGGTTATCGACAATAGACGTTTGAACGAAATCACAATAGATGACAAGTATCCTTTGCCTAACATATCGGAACTTTTTGATAAATTAGGTAAATCACAGTACTTTACCACAATTGATTTAGCAAGTGGTTACCATCAAATTGAAGTCCAAAAGGAAGATCAGCACAAAACAGCGTTTACTACACAATCAGGTCACTATGAATTCAAAAGAATGCCGTTTGGCTTAAAAACAGCACCGGCAACGTTCCAAAGAGCAATGGATAACGTTTTACGCGGCCTACAAGGATTACACATAGGGTTGCCAACCATACTATATAATAACGTATCCTACTTTATTTTTGGTAATTATACTTTATACTTTTACATACAAATAAAGTATGCAAAAATACTTTATTGTCAACCTTTACTGTGGTGCGTAAAACAAAATACTCATTATGGGTACTTAACGATTCATAATTGCTGAACGAAATATTTAAAACGGATAATGGAAACAATTTGTAATTACTGAACGAAATGTTAGATGTCAGTTGTGACTTGTGACATTTGTCAATTGTCACAGATGTCTTTCATTATCGACGAAATTGTACAAAACTGGTCCGTTAGTTTTGTTTATAAGTGAAGAATGCATTTTAAAGTAAATATTAATGCTGAAAATTAGGAGTAAATATTAATGCTGAAAATGACGAGTAATTCTGATAGCGACACACCAGTGACTCCTAAAAAAGCTAAAATAACAAAAGTTTTACAAAAATATAAACCTGAGTGGGAAAAACAATACAACTGGCTAACAAGTGATCTTCAAAATAAAAGTAATGCAAAATGTATTATCTGCGGCGTGAATTTTACAATCAGTTCAGCTGGCATTGGACAGGTATGAAAATTTGTAAATGTGTTCAAATATTGTTAAAGCTACGTTGCCTCTCCTTTCGTATAGTTATTTTATTTACATTTTTTAACTTACTTACCTAACCTAATTCATTAGGTTTTCTTACATCTTTACAGAAAAAAGTCACCAGTTTGTATATGATAGGACTTTGTACTGAAAAGTGTTAAAAACAGTTATAGTTGCATGTATTTTTGAAATTTAGTTTGTATTGACAATTTATACATTATTTTTTAAGCATGAGCATGGGAAATTAGTTTCAATGTTTCAAATTCTATGAGTTATTTTAAAAATAATCTTATTACTTGTTATTATAATAATATAAAAATATATATATTTTTCATACTAATTGTCAGAATTCTGAAATGTTTATATTCTCATTCACATAATAGGGATGATGACTAAAAAATAATAATTAGTCCATCTTTTAGAACGCCAGAAAATAGTAGATACGTATTTTTTCTTTTGCTTCTAAAACTTAAAATAACAAAGTTACAGAGCGGCGAAAGTTCGCGCTACGTCATTATTTCGTAAAATTTTTACGAAAGAGTGACGTCACGAGCCCCTACTCCTGAATTTGAATGTGCTGTATCTTTGTCAATATTATTCGTATGGACAAATAAAAAATACGTATCGAGTATTTTTCTATAATCTAACTGACGGACTAATTAGAATCTTGTTGTTTTAACCCAGGAGACATCCCTATTGTTTTTGGATAAAATTATATTAATAGACATTTTAATATTTGTCATTCAATTGAAGAATATTTGAAGAATTCATGATTCAGTATTATTTTGAAAATGGTGATGGATTAATATGGTGGAGGTTCCAGTTTTTGTTTTTTTCTTTCTACAGATTAAGCAACATCAAAATACTCAGAAGCATAAGATAAAAACTGAAATGAAGAAAACATCTGGTGCATTACAAAATTTCCTTACATCAGATACTAAATCAAGATGTCAAGGATCTAGTGATGATGAGAATATTATAGCAGCGGAATTAGCATTGACTTTTCACACTGTGAAGCATAATTTATCTTATAATAGCATGGATTGTCTAAGTAAATTAAACAAAATTGTATTTGTAGATTCTAAAATAGCTAGTAAAATACGCTTGGGAAGAACTAAAATGGAAGCTTTAGTGATAGAAGTGTTAGGTCCATATTCTGTGGAAAGTGTAATAAATGATTTACATGATGATGTATTTTTCTGTCTTCAGACTGATGCATCAAATAAAAAAAATATTAAGTTATTTCCTCTTGTAGTGCAATATTTTTCAATAAATGAAGGGATCCAAAATAAACTGATCGATTTTTACGAAAATTCTAATGAATCTGCTGATGGCATGTTAGAAGCTATAAAGAAGTCTATGGATTCCCACAACCTGTCATTCAATCAAGTATCAGGTCTCAGTGCAGACAATTGCAATGCTAATTTTGGCATTCATCACTCATTGTACACAAATATTAAAAAAGAAGTACCAAACCTTATAAAAGGCAACTGTCATGCACACATTATCCATAATACAGTGAAACATGCTATGGGCTACTTGATTTGTGACATAGAAAATATTGTTTTGAAAATATACAGTCATTTTTCGGTATCTGCTTGTAGACGAGATGATTTAAAAAAATTTGTTACTATGGTTGATGGTGAATTTCACGAAATCAAACGTCATATTGGTACACGGTGGTTATCACTACTTCCAGCCGTTGACACCCTTTTTACTTAATTGGGAACCAATATGTAATTATTTTATAAGTTTAGGTGATAATTGTGCAATAATTATACAAGAATTATTAAAACTAAGTGATCATCAGGATAGGGAGGTTGTGGAAATTTATCTACACTTTACAAGCCACATGCTTAATATTTTTAATAAAACGATAAAACGTCTGGAAGGAAATGATGTAACTATACTAGATGTCTATAATATTATGGATAATTTAAGAAACGAATTAGAACAAAGAAAAACTGATAAGTACTTTGGTTATGAATCAAAAATGAGATTACAAAAAATTCAAAAGTCATCACCCGAAACATTCAATACAGTTGTCAGTAACTTTTCGCTTTTTATTGATATGAGCTTAAAATATATGATAAAATGGTTTGAGTTTAGCGAAGATAACTGGCTTTCAATACTTCCTAACATGTCTTTGAAAAATGAGGTAAAATTTGAACATTTTGAAATGGTTATTACAAAGGCCAAATTACAAGACAGATTAAATATTAAGATGGACGATATGTATTCCGAATCTATAAGACTTAGAGAAATCCAAAGAAAAGTCACTAATGATGATAAAGAATTTTTAGTGAAAAGTACAGTAGAAAAATGGCAATATATACTTAAAAATGCATCTGATAGCTTACCAAATATAAAAAAAATTATTTCTTACCTACTCTCCGTTCCTGCAACTTCAGCTTTTACTGAAAGAGTTTTTTCTGTAATGAATCTGAAGTGGCGAGAAGAGAGAAATAGAGCATCAATAAATTTAATTAAAAACGAATTGTTTATCTATTTAAATTTAAATATTGATTGTCAAACAAGCTTTGTAACATTTAAAGATAACAAGAAATTGTTATCATGTGCTAAAAGCACACAAAAATACGTTTTTAAAGCAAAAAAAACAAAATTTGAAATATACTTTTTTTCTTCCTAATACTTTATTTTTTTCCTATCCAAACCACTGTTATACGTTTAATTTGTCAAAAAAAGTTGGCAACCCTAATTACACTGCATGGTATACTTAGATGACATAATTGTATACTCAGCTAGTTTACAAGAACATATAGTAAAACTTAAGAAAATTTTTGAACGTTTACGTGAGACTAATTTAAAGGTTACACTAGACAAAAGCGAATTTCTCCGAAAAGAGGTTCTATACTTAGGACACACCATATCTAAAGAAGGCCTTATGCCAAACAATGATAAAATTAAAGCAGTTTTAGAATTCCCGATTCCACGTACATCAACTGAAATAAAGAGTTTCTTAGGCCTCGTTGGTTACTATCGAAAATTCATTAGAGATTTCTCTAAAATAACACAGCCATTGACATCTTGTTTAAAAAAAAAGAATAAAATTGACATCACCAAGCCCGAATACATAGAAGCCTTTGAAAAGTGCAAGGAACTTTTAGTTAACGCGCCTATTTTACAATTTCCGGATTTCAGTAAACCATTTGTCCTTACAACAGACGCATCCAATGTCGCATTAGGTGCAGTACTTTCCCAAGGTCAAATTGGTAGCGACAAACCCATCGCTTTCGCAAGTCGTACGCTGAACGAAGCAGAGACACGCTATAGCACAATAGAAAGAGAGTTGTTGGCCATCGTCTGGGCGACAAAATATTTCCGGCCTTATTTATATGGACGTAAATTCACGATATACACCGATCACAGGCCGTTAACCTGGCTTAACTCAATAAAGGAACCGAATACCAAATTAACACGTTGGAAATTACGTTTAGCCGAATTTGACTATGATATTGTATTTAAAAATGGGAAGCAAAATTCAAACGCAGACGCATTATCCAGAATTAGGATCAACGCTTTGGGCAATGATGATATCTCGCTAAAGGTAAACGTGGACATAAATGAACGAAATCTTCAAGGTCACATTGACAATCTAACAGAAGAGATAACCCGCTTAGCTAGAAACCAACATCAAGAAAACCCTCCAACACCTATGGAAGTATCTCCAGCTTCTGAACGAACACTCAGTGTGGAATCATTAGGGTCTAGCACCATTACTGCATCTGAAATAATGAGCACAATCCATTCCGCGGAGGATATAGATACAGATGGTATATGTATTCTGCAAGAAGCTATAGACACAAAGCCAAATCAAGTACTTGTATTCCCCTGGAATAGGAAAGAAATATTAGTTAAAAATTTATCTAGGCCGAAACAAAAAATATTAGAGGTACACTTACCTGTGAATAATATAGACTTAATTAAAAACTTTTTAAAAGAATACACAAAACCTAATATAAAATATTTCTTTTACTTTGAAGATGGACAGCACCGTAAGGAATTTGCGGCGGTTACAATATCACTTTTTAAAAAAGGCACTGTTAAATTTTATGAATGCACAAAACGAGTCATTTACGTAGATAATGAAGAGGAACAGCGAGATATAATTATCAAATATCATGATGGGAAAAATAGTCACCGTGGTATTAAAGAGACTTTAATTCATTTAAAAGAACCTGTTTCTGGAACAACATGGAACAAACTGTTGCGAGTGTAGTTAACGCTTGTGAAACTTGTAAAAAGATGAAGTACGATAGGAGACCTCTAAAACCTGAATTGCAATTGACACAAACACAAGATAGACCGTTTCAGGAGTTATTTATCGATACATTTTCAATAGAAGGACAATATTACCTCACTATAGTAGATGGTTTTAGTAAATTAGGACAGGCATTTTTAATAAGTTCACGCTCAACTCCCGAAGTAGTTAGGGCTTTAATAAAATATTTTTCTTTATACGGCGTACCTGGACGAATTAGTGCGGATCCCGGAGCCGAGTTTAATAATGCATTATTAAGAGATCTTCTATCATTTTACAAAATAAATCTTCACATTAGTACTCCACATAACCCCAACTCAATGGGGATAGTCGAAAGATTTCATTCCACCATCATCGAAATATATAGAATAGCTAAATACGAACGGAAGATAACTGATGCGACGGATGTAATGACTTATGCGATTATGTCTTATAATCATTCAATCCATTCTACTACAGGCTTAACACCCTTTGAAGTCGTATTTGGCCATACCGAGTCTAATCATATATTTTCTGTAGATTTTAATAAAATGTATACACAACAATTAGTTAAGGAACATGCTCGAAAAACTAAATTCTTATATCAATATTTAACCGATAAAATCATACATCAAAAACAGCATTTAATCGAGAAACATGGCGGTGAAAAAGAGTTAGAAATAGACATAGGCGATACCGTGTTTATAAAGGGAGTTAACACGCGACGTAGTAAGGATAAGGCACGTTATCAAAAAGCCCGAGTATTGGGTCCGATTCATAGAAACGTTGTTCCAGTGATAACTCAGAAACGAAAAACTAAGGTACATACTAAAGATTTAAAACGCCCTTCACAGGTTGTTACTCCTGCTGGTACATCTGACCCCAAGCCAGGCCCTTCAACTGCAAAAGATTAATAGAAACCCAGGCCTCCTACCCATTAAAGAAGGTCAAGCAGTAGTAGCTTACGACAGATGGACCGTGATAAAGATTTTAGATTTTAAAGCTATCAACGACGAACTAGAACTAAATATAAATAACTTCTTAACACTTAAAACCGAAGTACAAAATTGTTTCGACACTAGCCTATTCAATTTGCACTTCCAAGAAGTACAGTTACAAACTAGTTTCATAATGAATATAACAGTGGAAAAATATAAACAATTAGTTCCGACTTCAAAATCTAAACGTGGTTTATTGAATCCTATTGGAACATTCATTAAAGCAATAACTGGCAATCTTGATAATGAAGATGCTATCAGATATGAAGATTTAATTAATAAATTAAAAACTAGACAGGACGCTATTAGTAATAAAATAACCATAGTTTCCGAAATGATGAGTACTGTAACAAAAATTATTAATGTAACAAGGAATAATTTCATTCAAATTAAAGAACGTTTTGAGGACATAGATCTCAGGTTAAACAATTCTAAAATGTTACAAATGAGTAATGAAATTATTCATTTTTATAATATTTTTACCCATAACTTTCAAACTATTTACTCAAGACTAAATGAAATTGAAACAGCTCTCGCTTTTGCTAGGATTAAAATATTACATCAATCTATTATTGATACTAAGGAATTACTGTCAATTTTAAAAGAAATAGAATCTATGTATAATTTAGTATTTCCAGTGAATATTGAAAATATTGTAAAAATTGAACTGAATATTGAGATGGAAGCGTATATCAAACAAAATCAGATAAAGTTTATTATGCACATACCCTTAATTAAAAATGAACTTTATAATTATTATAAATTAATACCTTTACCAGTGCATAGTTATAGTAATAATATATCTAACATTATCCTTCCTAAGTATCCCTATGTCCTAGTGAAAGGGTTGAAAGTCGAGCCGCTCTCACAACCATGCCAAGAAATAGATGAAAACCGATTTTTATGTCCTGAATTTGAAACTACACTGGTATTGAAGGACGAATGTATTACTACACTAATGAATTTTTCCCCCAACACATCTTCATGTCGTCCTGTGCCCGTTTTAATCGAAGATGTCAAGATTTATTTAGTACAACAAAATCATTGGATAATATTTTCGAGAATAGAAACCATTATATCTAAAACGTGTGACAACGACGTTTCACATGAGCCATTAATGGGCACTTACCTGTTAACCCTAGATGATGATTGTTCGATAAGAATCAAGGATTTCAACTTAAAAAGAAACGAACACCAGGGAAACGATATCGCGTTTACCCGATTCCCAATTGTAAACCTACCGTTAATCTCCAGCGAAATTAAGTCACAGAACAAGCGTCTGAATTTAGATGGAATCGACCTTGCAGACGTTCAACTCTTAAACCTTTTGGTGAAAAATAGTGTTCCTACAAGTGTTAGTGAAAGTGAATTAAATCAATGGTTCTTTGGTATAATTAATATAGTAATAAGTTTTTTACTCATGACATGTGTCATTTTATTAGCATTTAAAAATATAATTAAGAAAATTATGTTTCAACCTAAACAGAATATTCGAGATCATCCAAACCCTGAGGATAATCTCGATTCTAAGGAGAGAGGAGTTATACAGTCACAAGACATATTTCCTAATCTTTAAACGGAAACACCCACGCGTGTTCTCACGGAATATGCTGACGGACTGTCTAGCTCCCAGTCTCGATAATTAGATATTAAGTTAGTCTTAAGCTAATCACCAATGTAACCGGTTGATTAAATATTAATTAAAAATAAAATTTTATTCTTTTTAAAAACGCTCCAGCGCGACCTCGCGTTATTTACTATGTACTATATACACGAAATATTTGTTTTGCCGAGAATAAACGTAAACATCTGAATCGCTATATGCCCGAACCAAGCATGGGTGGGTTAAGACGTATTATTTTGGAGGTAAACATTAAAAACATTACTTTGCTATTTACGAATACGTAGAAAAGTTTATCTAGAACATATCATTGCGGCGGTAAAAATCATATTTAATGACAATATTTAGTCATACATGTGATCAGATAACCGTTGCTCATTCAAATTGATGACGAGAATTATTGAGGCATCGTAATAATGACTCATCATAATATTTCATAACAGTTACAAAATACCATAGACATAACATTTATTACTAACGAAACACACACACAAAATAATAATAAAAATAAAAAAAATTATGGAAAGAAGAAATAAGGAATAAGGTACATTTTAAGTGTGTAATGTGTGTGTGTTGTGGTTGTAACTGAACCTGGCTCAGCATTATGCTGTGGAGCAGACGTGTTCCACAGCGCTGGTCATTCTGCCAGAGACCACAACTGTTAGTTTGCGCCTCAGATGCAAAAAAGAAAAATAATGTAATAATAATAATATTCGAAAAAATAATAATAAAAATTAACAGTGTAAGTAGGGTTGCCAACTTTTTTTGACAAATTAAACGTATAACAGTGGTTTGGATAGGAAAAAAATAAAGTATTAGGAAGAAAAAAAGTATATTTCAAATTTTGTTTTTTTTGCTTTAAAAACGTATTTTTGTGTGCTTTTAGCACATGATAACAATTTCTTGTTATCTTTAAATGTTACAAAGCTTGTTTGACAATCAATATTTAAATTTAAATAGATAAACAATTCGTTTTTAATTAAATTTATTGATGCTCTATTTCTCTCTTCTCGCCACTTCAGATTCATTACAGAAAAAACTCTTTCAGTAAAAGCTGAAGTTGCAGGAACGGAGAGTAGGTAAGAAATAATTTTTTTATATTTGGTAAGCTATCAGATGCATTTTTAAGTATATATTGCCATTTTTCTACTGTACTTTTCACTAAAAATTCTTTATCATCATTAGTGACTTTTCTTTGGATTTCTCTAAGTCTTATAGATTCGGAATACATATCGTCCATCTTAATATTTAATCTGTCTTGTAATTTGGCCTTTGTAATAACCATTTCAAAATGTTCAAATTTTACCTCATTTTTCAAAGACATGTTAGGAAGTATTGAAAGCCAGTTATCTTCGCTAAACTCAAACCATTTTATCATATATTTTAAGCTCATATCAATAAAAAGCGAAAAGTTACTGACAACTGTATTGAATGTTTCGGGTGATGACTTTTGAATTTTTTGTAATCTCATTTTTGATTCATAACCAAAGTACTTATCAGTTTTTCTTTGTTCTAATTCGTTTCTTAAATTATCCATAATATTATAGACATCTAGTATAGTTACATCATTTCCTTCCAGACGTTTTATCGTTTTATTAAAAATATTAAGCATGTGGCTTGTAAAGTGTAGATAAATTTCCACAACCTCCCTATCCTGATGATCACTTAGTTTTAATAATTCTTGTATAATTATTGCACAATTATCACCTAAACTTATAAAATAATTACATATTGGTTCCCAATTAAGTAAAAGGGTGTCAACGGCTGGAAGTAGTGATAACCACCGTGTACCAATATGACGTTTGATTTCGTGAAATTCACCATCAACCATAGTAACAAATTTTTTTAAATCATCTCGTCTACAAGCAGATACCGAAAAATGACTGTATATTTTCAAAACAATATTTTCTATGTCACAAATCAAGTAGCCCATAGCATGTTTCACTGTATTATGGATAATGTGTGCATGACAGTTGCCTTTTATAAGGTTTGGTACTTCTTTTTTAATATTTGTGTACAATGAGTGATGAATGCCAAAATTAGCATTGCAATTGTCTGCACTGAGACCTGATACTTGATTGAATGACAGGTTGTGGGAATCCATAGACTTCTTTATAGCTTCTAACATGCCATCAGCAGATTCATTAGAATTTTCGTAAAAATCGATCAGTTTATTTTGGATCCCTTCATTTATTGAAAAATATTGCACTACAAGAGGAAATAACTTAATATTTTTTTTATTTGATGCATCAGTCTGAAGACAGAAAAATACATCATCATGTAAATCATTTATTACACTTTCCACAGAATATGGACCTAACACTTCTATCACTAAAGCTTCCATTTTAGTTCTTCCCAAGCGTATTTTACTAGCTATTTTAGAATCTACAAATACAATTTTGTTTAATTTACTTAGACAATCCATGCTATTATAAGATAAATTATGCTTCACAGTGTGAAAAGTCAATGCTAATTCCGCTGCTATAATATTCTCATCATCACTAGATCCTTGACATCTTGATTTAGTATCTGATGTAAGGAAATTTTGTAATGCACCAGATGTTTTCTTCATTTCAGTTTTTATCTTATGCTTCTGAGTATTTTGATGTTGCTTAATCTGTAGAAAGAAAAAAACAAAAACTGGAACCTCCACCATATTAATCCATCACCATTTTCAAAATAATACTGAATCATGAATTCTTCAAATATTCTTCAATTGAATGACAAATATTAAAATGTCTATTAATATAATTTTATCCAAAAACAATAGGGATGTCTCCTGGGTTAAAACAACAAGATTCTAATTAGTCCGTCAGTTAGATTATAGAAAAATACTCGATACGTATTTTTTTATTTGTCCATACGAATAATATTGACAAAGATACAGCACATTCAAATTCAGGAGTAGGGGCTCGTGACGTCACTCTTTCGTAAAAATTTTACGAAATAATGACGTAGCGCGAACTTTCGCCGCTCTGTAACTTTGTTATTTTAAGTTTTAGAAGCAAAAGAAAAAATACGTATCTACTATTTTCTGGCGTTCTAAAAGATGGACTAATTATTATTTTTTAGTCATCATCCCTATTATGTGAATGAGAATATAAACATTTCAGAATTCTGACAATTAGTATGAAAAATATATATATTTTTTATATTATTATAATAACAAGTAATAAGATTATTTTTAAAATAACTCATAGAATTTGAAACATTGAAACTAATTTCCCATGCTCATGCTTAAAAAATAATGTATAAATTGTCAATACAAACTAAATTTCAAAAATACATGCAACTATAACTGTTTTTAACACTTTTCAGTACAAAGTCCTATCATATACAAACTGGTGACTTTTTTCTGTAAAGATGTAAGAAAACCTAATGAATTAGGTTAGGTAAGTAAGTTAAAAAATGTAAATAAAATAACTATACGAAAGGAGAGGCAACGTAGCTTTAACAATATTTGAACACATTTACAAATTTTCATACCTGTCCAATGCCAGCTGAACTGATTGTAAAATTCACGCCGCAGATAATACATTTTGCATTACTTTTATTTTGAAGATCACTTGTTAGCCAGTTGTATTGTTTTTCCCACTCAGGTTTATATTTTTGTAAAACTTTTGTTATTTTAGCTTTTTTAGGAGTCACTGGTGTGTCGCTATCAGAATTACTCGTCATTTTCAGCATTAATATTTACTCCTAATTTTCAGCATTAATATTTACTTTAAAATGCATTCTTCACTTATAAACAAAACTAACGGACCAGTTTTGTACAATTTCGTCGATAATGAAAGACATCTGTGACAATTGACAAATGTCACAAGTCACAACTGACATCTAACATTTCGTTCAGTAATTACAAATTGTTTCCATTATCCGTTTTAAATATTTCGTTCAGCAATTATGAATCGTTAAGTACCCATAATGAGTATTTTGTTTTACGCACCACAGTAAAGGTTGACAATAAAGTATTTTTGCATACTTTATTTGTATGTAAAAGTATAAAGTATAATTACCAAAAATAAAGTAGGATACGTTATTATATAGTATGGTTGGCAACCCTAAGTGTAAGGTACCATTTCATTATTTTCAACGTAGACAGTTTTAGGTTAGGACTTTTTCGTCTTTTTTAAATCTATTTTCTATTTTTTTTTATTAAGTGTTAACAATTTTTATCGTGTTTAAGCTGGATGTATGAACGTAAAGAGTTTCAATAGCTTTGAAAAATATTGGCATAAAATATTTTTCATCCTGTTAGTATTATCGCAATGGTGACCTCGTAATTTTAAGCTGTCAAATCATCAAATCTCTAATGAATAATAATAGTTCAAAGTTACCCGTATTATACATAGTATATATACATACCTGTTCTTCTGGTAGTGTACATACAGTATCAGTCGGACCCGCAGTTGGTTTTGGCAAGTGATCATTCTGTGGCTCAGCTTCGTCGCCCTCGCCATCACGCGCCTCCTCACAGCAATTACCCTGGAAAACAATTCAATAATTAATCTGAATCAAAATACTACAACTTTAACGCAAACAAAATTAAAAGAGAATAAGTTTTTCTAAACTTAACGTATAGTTTAAAATTAAATTTTTCTTTGTCACAAAGTTAACCGTTTTTTATCCCACCTGAATCCTGCCTTGCCTGCCTACTTAGGGTATATTTAGTTATTTTTTCCTATCTTTAAATTAATTAAAAACCAAATTAAACCAGATATAACCAGATGTGTTAAATCTATTACAAATAAATGGGTACATTCCAACCATACATGCAGCATTTAGAGTTAGAGAATTATTCAGTCGTTAAATTAAATACTTGCGTCGTAGCGTTCGTAGCCGTAGCACTGCCTCTTATATTCGTTTCTCTCGCGTTTGTAATTCTTTTATATTTACTATACGTATTATCACTTATAAGTATTACTATTAAGTCAACTAATTGGTATCGTAATATTTTAGTTACGAACTTCAATTACTTTATATAATTTACCTTTATAAATATCGTTCGACTAAAACTGATAAAAAAATGTAATTCTTCAAAGCTCTTGCACAGTAGTAATAATTTATATTTATTGTTAGTTATAAAAACACGGAAAAGTTAAAAAACTATTAGGTGATGTTATTGTTTCAGACACTTGTTATTTATTTATAACTATACAACCACCCTAATAGCTAATAGCCAATGCGATAGTTCTATAGAAAAAAAAAAAAAAAAAAAAAAAAAAAAAAAAAAAAAAAAAAAAAAAAAAAACACAAACAGAGAGAGGGCGGCAGACAGAAGGGGGGGGGCCCACCGGGGGGGCGGGGGGGGGGGGGGGGGGGGGGGGGGGGGGGGGGGGGGGGGGGGGACAAGGAGGGGCCGAGGAGCAGGGGGGGGCGGGGGGGCGCGCCGGGGGGGGCCCAGAGAGACAGACGAACCCCGGGGCGCCCCCGAGCCGCAGCGGCGGGGGGGGGGGGGCGGGGGGGGGGGGGGGGGGGGGGGGGGCGGCCGCGGCCGCCCCCCCCCCCCCCCCCCCCCCCCCCCCCCCCCCCCCACACCCCCCCCCCCAAAAAACCCCCCCCCCCCCCCCCCCCCCCCCCCCCCCCCCCCCCCCCCCCCCCCCCCCCCCCCCCCCCCCCCCCCCCCCCCCCCCCCCCCCCCCCCCCCCCCCCCCCCCCCCCCCCCCCCCCCCCCCCCCCCCCCCCCCCCCCCCCCCCCCCCCCCCCCCCCCCCCCCCCCCGCCCCCCCCGGGCGGGGGGGGGGGGGGGGAAGGAGAGGAGGGGGGGGGGGGGGGGGGTTTTTTTTCCCCCCCCCCCCCCCCCCCCCCCCCCCCCCCCCCCCCCCCCCCCCCCCCCCCCCCCCCCCCCCCCCCCCCCCCCCCCCCCCCGCGGGCCGCGGGGGGGGGGCGCGGGGGGGGGGGGGCGGCGGGGGGGGCCGCCGCGGCCCCCCCCCCCCCCCCCCCCCCCCCCCGGGGGGGCGCCCCCCCCGGGGGGGGGGGGGCCCCCGCCCCCCCCCCCCCCCCCCCCCCCCCCCCCCCCCCCCCCCCCCCCCCCCCCCCCCCGCGGGCCCCCCGGGGCGCCCCCCCCCCCCCCCCCCCCCCCCCCCCCCCCCCCCCCCCCCCCCCCCGCGGGGGGCCGGGGCGCGGGCGGGCCCCCCCCCCCCCCCCCCCCCCCCCCCCCCCCCCCGCGGGGGGGGGGGGGGGGGGGGGGGGGGGGGGGGGGGGGGGGGGGGCGGGGGGGGGTTTTTTTTCCCCCCCCCCCCCCCCCCCCCCCCCCCCGCCCCCCCCCCCGCGGGGGGGGGGGGGGGGGGGCGGCGCCGCCCCCCCCCCCCCCCCCCCCCCCCCCCCCCCCCCCGGCGGCGCGGGGTGTGGGCGTTTGGGGGGGGGGGGGGGGGGGGGGGGGGGGGGCCCCCCCCCCCCCGGCGGGGGGGGGGGGGGGGGGGGTGTTTTTTCCCCCCCCCCCCCCCCCCCCCCCCCCCCCCCGCCCCCGCTTTTTTTTTTTTTTTTTCCCCCCCCCCCCCCCCCCCCCCCCCCCCCCCCCCCCCCCCCCCCCCCCCCCCCCCCCCCCCCCCCCCCCGGGGGGGGGGGGGGGGGCCCCCCCCCCCCCCCCCCCCCCCCCCCCCCCCCGCCCCCTTTTTTTTTTTTTTTTTTTTTTTTTCTCCCCCCCCCCCCCCCCCCCCGGGGGGGGGTTTTTTTTCTTTTTTTTTTTTTTTTTTTTTTTTTTTTTTTTTTTCCCCCCGGGGGTCCCCCCCCCCCCCGGGGTTTCCCCCTTTTCCCCCCGGGGCCCCCCACCAATAACTTAATTACCGTAACATAGGAATTTAACGTCATTTTTTCAAATTCGAACATATAAAAATGTCAATCGTTCAGAGACAGTATTAAGCACTTGTAACGCTCTCCTTAAAGGGGACCTGGTGGCACAAATCCGTTTCGCCCTTAGGGACTCCAAAAAAGCTCCGCTCCGCTGTCTCGAATAGCCGTTTGGTACAAATAAACTGCGTTCTTGCAGCACACTAGGATTGCTAATAATTCCCAAAAAACTTTAACAATGTAGCAAGCTGTAACTCCCGTCGGGGTTCTTGCTTGTTGTATATAACCATCCCTATCACAAACAACGTTTGATTACATTAAGGGTATGACGTATGGTTTTTATACCATTGGTATAAAAACCGTGTAAATTTATTCTGAATATGCTCCAACATGAGACAGTACTTCATCTCATGTGGAGCACAGACTGACGAGTTAAACGCAGGCATGCTTCTAATCAACGCATTATACAGGCTTGAAATAACTTAAATGTTCGTGAATGTTGATGTTCTTCGAAGCACAAATCGTAATATCTTATAGGCTTTTTTACATATGTCTATTATGTCCTCCCGGAATCTCAATTGTGCATTCATTTGTACTCCAAGATCTATCGAAAATGTTCCCTTTCTTAGTGTTACCCCGAAAATAAAAAGTCAATGTAGCCAACGTAATAATATTAACGCGCAAGTTTTAGTAAGTTAATTAGTTAGTGTTTTCGTTCTCGTGTCACGGTGTTTGTAATTAAACTCCTCTGAAATGGCTCTACCGATTTTCGTGAAATTTTGAGTGCATATCGGTTAGGTCTTTGAGAAAATCTATTTTATATCCCTCTATTTGTGGTCCACCTCTAACTTTTTTCTTTATTTTCAGACAATTTTTTTTTATGATACAGCATACCAAAATATATACAACTCTTAATATTCAAACCTCTAAGATCAACCTCTTCTTTTATTATAGTAGATAGTTATTTTTATTGAACTAAAAGAATGTTTCCTAGAAATGATATCCATGGCAAAACAACGTTTGCCGGGTCAGCTAGTTTTACTATAAGAATTGTGTGCCTACAAAACATACATATTACGTCACACGTGTTTACCATTTTATGGTCATAGTTATGTTAAGTACTGTATCAATAAATATTAACATAATAGTAATGGGGCAATGATGGGTAGCTGCTTCTATAAGGGCAAGGCTCCATACTTGCCAACTGCGCATTGGCGGATCATATACATCATCAATTTTGTTTCTAAGGCGTGTTAGTTTACTCACGACGTTTTCCTTCATCGAAAGAACCAATATTACTAAAATAAAAAACGTTCAGCCAGTGTTAAACATCATACAAAATTAAAAGATATTCAGTACTCTAGTGGACACACACCAACAATTGAGTTTAGATATATAAAGCAGTATTTATAGCAGGCGATTAAGTGATATAACGCTCTTTTAAAAAGCAGTGATTTATTAAAGATTCCCCCAAGACTTATACCGCAGAATATTGCGCTTAAAACGAAGAACAAACTTAATATTTTTATAAATGAGATTTCAAATAAAATGGAACAAGATTACATTTTCAACAAGCAAACAAATGCTTCCGTCTTTGTGTTTGTCCAATGGGAATTGATCAAAGGGCCTGCTCATTAGAAACAAAGTTATGAACATAAATAGCGGTAAAGCGGTCGGAACTTTCAATTTCAAGGCGCGTAATACCTCGTAAATTACGTTGAACTCAACGAATAAAAAGCAAAAATTAATAAAACCCAGCATATTTTAACCTCAGCTTTAAGAATTATTAATATAAATTATCTTCAATAAAAAATGGTGTATTTGTATTCTATAAATTTAGATCCATACAGCCAATTCACAATGAATATTTCCACACCACTTCTTTACTTTATACATTAAGAATTGTAAGACATTTTATTGTGAATTATAACTGTAGTGAATATTTATCCTTTCAATCGCATAAATCACTTAGAAGCTTAGTTATCCTAGCCTTTACGCCTCCGCGGGCTTTTAGCAACACTTATCTCCTACTAAGTTAGGATGATAGCTTAAACTTCTGAAAATAAAAATAATAATACATTACATAGCGCAAACACATTATCAGGCTACCATTTTGACCTAAAGATTGCTTCTATCTCATGAGGGCGATGGGGACTCGCATTTAAAACCTCTATTGCCTTTGAAAATATAACTTCTATATGTTATATTAAATATAATTTAACTACTTTTTAATCTATGTAATGTCACAAACCGCCCACGATCGCTAGTCTAGCAAGGTAAGTGTCCCGTATCACTGTGCAAACGCATTAATACCCTGTCTCGCTATCAGTTATCAATAGTTCACGATAACACTGTTTCAGCTTTCATTATCATGTTTTACCTGGCGCTTATGATTTTACGCTATTTGGAACTATTTGAATAGTCATGCTTATATTATGAAATGCTTTAATATATTGAAATGAGTTTACTTTAATTAATTCACTTATTTATATGCTATAAATGAGAATATTTATTATCTCTAGTTATGTAACCTGTATTAGTTAAATTATATATATATACATATTTTAGTTATTAATTAGAAGCGCAAACCAAATGTTGGCAATCATCGCACACTTGTAACCAGTATAAAATAAAATAAAATAAAAAAGCCTTTTATTTCCAGTATTATATAAGTTTACACTTTTACAATTTATTTTTAGTGTTAGTTCATGTTATTAATCTATATTAGTTAAAAAATATATACATATATATTCCTTTTAAATACTTAATCTACTGGAACCCCAAGTTGGGTGTAGGCCTCCTCCAGTGACGCCCATTTATCTCTGTCCTCGGCCACTTCACTCCAATTTCGACCAGCTATCGCTTTAATGTCGTCTTCCCATCGCGTAATAGGTCTACCTTTTGTTCTTTTGCCTAGTGGGCCTTTCCAGAAAGTTACTTTTTTAGTCCATCTATGGTCAGTTAGCCGGGCAACATGTCCTGCCCACTTCCATTTCAGTTTTTTTGCGTAGCTTAAAGCATTTGTTGCTTTGGTTTTTTCTTATTTTAGTATGGCGTATTTTATCGATTTCTGATTTTAGCATACTTCTTTTCGAGTCCTCTCTGACAGACGATTATCTTTTTCTTGTTTCAGCAGTGAATTTCCACGTTTGGCAACCATATGTCAAACAAGGCAAGAGGCTTGAATTCATGATTTGGTTTTAATGTCTTGTGGTAGATCACCTTTAAAAATTTCCTTGAGACCCCAAAATTTGTTCCATGTTAATTTTATTATTTTCTCTATTTCTGTTTTTTATTTTTTTGTGAAAATTATGGTTTTTCCCAGATAGACATAATCTTCAACGTATTCCAATGGTTTGTTATTGATTGTATTGGGAGAGTTGATGTCTTAGTTTTTGTAAGTAGGTATTTTCCATAGTTGGTAGGTACATGTCTGTAGTGGGAAGATGACTCGGATAAAGTACTAGGTATCCGCGATTCAGGTGACTCAAGTAAGTACCGTCTATGTATAGACCTTGTTTACTCCAATCTAACTTGCTAATGATCGACTCAAGAACAGCTATGAAATTGTTGGAGACAGCGGGTCCCCTTGTCTTACTCCTCGTTCTATTGGAAAACTAGGGCCTAATGTTTCAAGCTTAATTTTACCTTTATTGTTTTGTATATGTGAATTTTTATATATATTTCCTCTACTCCCTGTTCTTTCAAGCTTTCCCAGATGTGTTATGTTTACTGTATCAAAGGTTTTGGTAGTCTATGAAGAATAAGAGTGTTCTTTGTTCCTGATACTTTTCCATATCAACTCAAGGGTATGGAGGGTGACTGTTGAAAAGCCCCTTCTGAAGCTGCGTATGGTGTTTTTTTTAATGTTCTCTAATCCTTATGTTTATAATTGTGGAGAAAAAGTTTATATAGACTGGCAGAAGCTGATTGGTCGGTAGTCCGATATCTTGGGGTTTTTTGTAAATTAGTATGATTGGATTTGGACCATTGGGAAGGTGTTCCGACTTTGCAAGATTTGTAAACGTTCCGAGGGAGTGCTAGAGTTTTGTGTCCAATTTTTAGTGTTTCGTTCGTAATATTATCTGAACCAGGGCTTTTATCTAGTTTAGTTTCTTTATTGCTTCAATTATTTCTGTTGCGTTATGAGTTTAACGTTATTTCTAGGTGTAGCACTGTTTCTGTGACAAGATTAAATGATTTGTGTTGTAAAGATGTCAAAAATTTTTGCGGTAGATATGATTGTTAGGTACATTTCTATTTTTTCCTCATCCTTCTATCATGATGCATTTAGCTCTATAGGTTCTTTGTACTTCCATTTCTTTGTAATTTTTTATTGTGTCCTAATGAGCGTAAATATGATATTTGAATGCGGACAATTCATTTTCTGACTTCGTGATTTTTAGTTTCGATCCTTCCTTCTTTTTAGTAGTTATGATTGGAAGTATTTTATTTTATTTTCTTCTTGGGGAGTTGTTTCAAGTAAAGTGATAGTTTCTATCAGTGAGAGTATTGACGGGTTGAGGTTGTAGAAGTGTGAATTAGGTTTTGTTGAATACTTATTTCCTCTTCGCTCTTTAATTTGGGTTGAACTGGTTTGAATTTTTGTTTGTAGTGATGTGATTGACTATCTATGATCGGAATTGTAGTTCAGATTGAGCGTTCGATGTTTTGGAATATTCTATGTTGGTTAGACAAGATAAAATCGATTTCGTTTCTGTATTGTCCGTTAGGAGATCGCCAGGTCCATCTTTTGCTCTGTCTTTTTTAAAACATGTGTTTATATCATTAATTTGTGTTGGAGGCAAACTTTATAGTCTTTGTCCTCTTTCGTTTCTCTCGCCGTATCCATGTTTTTTAGTAACTAAATATTCGTCAGCTTTGGGGGTTCAAGTTGGCGTTGAAGTCACCCATTAATATTATGGTTTTTGCGCTGTGCCAAGGTTTCTCAACTGTAGTGTAAAATTCTTCTATATCAAGGTGTTGCCGCTTCTGTTGGTGCATAAACTTGTATAATGGATATTTTATGTCCTGTAATATGTTAGTGTTGCACTCGCTTGTTAGCATTGAAGCTATTAGGTTTTGAGAGACTTATTTATAATGAAGCCAACTCCATGTTTGCCAGGGGGTTTGCCCTATGTAGAAGTATAAAATTTTCGTACTCTTCTATTTTATTTCCATGTCTTCTCATTTCAGATATTCCGATGATATCGTATTTAATATCTCTTATAGCCTCTTCAAACTCGAGCAAACGGTCATACGATGAGAGGGTTCGACGTTGTATGTTGCGTCATTAATTTGTTTTTATGAAGGTGTTTCCCTGCTCCGTTGGTGTGATCATTGGAGGGTTTTGGTAATACTGTGTGTTGTGTTAAGTGTTGCTATATTGTTGCCAATGTACCCTGTTGGATGGAGGGTAGTAGTGTGAGCCCCAGGTGACCAGCCGGCTTGGGGTGGTTGGGATGTTTTCTTTCGTTGTCCTTTGTTGGTGTTGATTAAGTTAGATTGTTTTTGTTCCGGTGTGGGGGAGTTAGTTGTTTTTTGATACCTCTGAAAGTGAGCTAGACCTTCCCCTTGCTATATAATTTAATAAATTAGGTTTTATTACATCCTTTGTATTCGTTGAGTTGGCTGTTGTTTGTTAGGGTTTGACCTCTTTTGTGTAGGTGATATGGCGAGCCACTCTGTTCCCGCTTCCTTTTTCACGGCCTTGATCATTTGGTTTCTTAACGATTAGTTATCATATTTGATATATGAAAGTTACCCTTGTTTCTTTCTTCCTTATTTTGGTTGAGTTGTTTCGGGTTTCTAATATGTGTTTCGGGTAGTCTTCTTTTACATAGGTCCCAGATGGAAGGTGGATTTATTTTTAAGTATCAAATGTTTTTTCCAATTTGTCGACAAGGAAACGAAACTGGCCGATTCTTGTTAGTTTGTGCTCCAATTCTGTAAACATTGTTATTTTTGGCTGTCTAGATGTAAACCTGTATGTTATAATTTCTTTGATATAGTTAAGTAGATTCCCTTTTTTCCCTTTTCTTCAACTCCAAAAAATACCAAATTCTTTTTTCTTTTATTATTCATTTGATTAGTTTTTGTTCAAGTTTTGATGAGTTTTTAATTTTTGTTTTCTTGAATAATTGAATCCATCTTATCATTTATCGTTCCATAAGTTTGTGGTTACAGCTGAGTTAAGTTAGATTGTGGTCATTTTTCCTCTAATTTTCCCAAAGCATTTCGATATTTTTATCCATTTTAGGGAAAAGTGGAATTAATAAATT